TTGTGGAGCACAGGCTCTGGACGCGCAGGCTCAGCAGCCATGGCTCACGGACCTAGCCGTTCCATGGCATGTGGGATCTTCCCGGACCGGGGCACGAACCTGTGTCCCCTACATCGGCATGTGGACTCTCAACCACTGCACCACCAGGGAAGCCCAAGATGGTCATATCTTTTTTTATCCTTCAGTTTGTTAATATGGTGTATCACATTGATTGATCTGAGTATACTGAAGAATCCTTGCATTCCTGGGATAAACCCCACTTGATCATGGTATATGATCCTTTTAATGTGCTGCTGGATTCTGTTTGCTAGTATTTTGTTGAGGATTTTTGCATCTTTCATCAATGATTGGCCTGTAGTTTTCTTTTTTTGTGACATCTTTGTCTGATTTTGGTATCAGGGTGATAGTGGCCTCGTAGAATGAGTTTGGGAGTGTTCCTCCCTCTGCTATATTTTGGAAGAGTTTGAGAAGGATAGGTGTTAGCTGTTCTCTAAATATTTGATAGAATTCGCCTGTGAATCCATCTGGTCCTGAGCTTTTGTTGGAATTATTTTTTTTTTTTTGTGGTACATGGGCCTCGCACTGTTGTGGCCTCTCCCATTGCGGAGCACAGGCTCCGGATGTGCAGGCTCAGCGGCCATGGCTCACGGGCCCAGCCGCTTCGCGGCATGTGGGATCTTCCCAGACCAGGGCACAAACCCGTGTCCCCTGCATCAGCAGGCGGACTGTCAACCACTGTGCCACCAGGGAAGCCCCTTGTTGGAATATTTTTAATCACAGTTTCAATTTCAGTGCTTGTGATTGGTCTGTTTATATTTTCTATTTCTTCTTGGTTCAGTCTCGGAAGGTTGTGCTTTTCTAAGAATTTGTCCATTTCTTCCAGGTTGTCCATTTTATGGGCATACAGTTGCTTGTAGTAATCTCTCATGATCCTTTGTATTTCTGCAATGTCAGTTGTTATTTCTCCTTTTTCATTTCTAATTCTGTTGATTTGAGTCCTCTCCATTTTTTTCTTGATGAGTCTGGCTAATGGTTATTCAATTTTGTTTATCTTCTCAAAGAACCAGCTTTTAGTTTTATGATCTTTGCTATCATTTCTTTTTCACTTATTTCTGATCTTTATGATTTCTTTCCTTGTGCTAACTTTGGGGGGTTTTTGTTCTTCTTTCTCTATTGCTTTAGGTGTAAGTTTAGGTTGTTAATTTGAGATTTTTCTTGTTTCTTGAGGTACGATTGTATTGCTGTTAATTTTCCTCTTAGAACTGCTTTTACTCCATCCCATAGGTTTTGAGCCATCGTGTTTTCATTGTCATTTGTTTCTGGTATTTTTTTTATTTCCTTTTTGATTTCTTCAGTGATCTCTTGGTTAAATAGTAGCGTATTGTTTAGCCTCTATGTGTTTATATTTTTTACAGTTTTTTTCCTGTAATTGGTATCTAGTCTCATAGCGTTGTGGTTGGAAAAGATACTTGATACGATTTCAGTTTTCTTAAATTTACCAAGGCTTGATTTGTGACCCGGGATATAATCTAACCCGGAGAATGTTCCATGAGCACTTGAGAAGAAAGTGTATTCTGTTCTTTTTGGATGGAATGTCCTATAAATGTCAATTAAGTCCATCTTGTTTAATGTATCATTTAAAGCTTGTGTTTCCTTATTTATTTTCATTTTGGTTGATCTGTCCATTGGTGAAAGTGGGGTGTTAAAGTCCCCTACTATTATTGTGTTATTGTCAGTTTCCCCTTTTATGGCTGTTAGCAGTTGCCTTATGTATTGAGGTGCTCCTATGTTGGGTGCATATATATTTATAATTGTTATATCTTCTTGGATTGATCCCTTGATCATTACGTAGTGTCCTTCTTTGTTTCTTGTAATAGTCTTTATTTTAAAGTCTGTTTTGTCTGATATGAGAATTGCTACTCCAGCTTTCTTTTGATTTCCATTTGCATGGAATATCTTTTTCCATCCCCTCACTTTCAGTCTGTATGTGTCCCTAGGTCTGAAGTGGGTCCCTTTTAGACAGCATATATACGGGTCTTGTTTTTGTATCCATTCAGCTAGTCTGTGTCTTTTGGTTGGAGCATTTAATCCATTTACATTTAAGGTAATTATCAATATGTATGTTCCTATTACCATTTTCTTAATTGTTTGGGGTTTGTTATTGTAGGTGTTTTCCTTTTCTATGTTTCCTGCCTAGAGAAGTTCCTTTAGCATTTGTTGTAAAGCTGGTTTGGTGGTGCTGAATTCTCTTAGCTTTTTTGCTTGTCTGTAAAGGTTTTAATTTCTCCGTCGAATCTGAATGAGATCCTTGCTGGGTAGAGTAATCTTGGTTGTAGGTTTTTCTCCTTCATCACTTTAAATATGTCCTGCCAGTCCCTTCTGGCTTGCAGAGTTTCTGCTGAAAGATCAGCTGTTAACCTTATGGAGATCCCCTGTATGTTATTTGTTGCTTTTCCCTTGCTGCTTTTTTCTTTTTCTTTGTATTTAATTTTTGATAATTTGATTAATATGTGTCTTGGCATGTTTCTCCTTGGATTTATCCTGTATGGGGCTCTCTGTACTTCTTGGACTTGGGTGGCTATTTCCTTTCCCATGTTAGGGAAGTTTTCAACTCTAATCTCTACAACTATTTTCTCAGTCCCTTTCTTTTTCTCTTCTTCTTGGACCCCTATAATTCGAATGTTGGTGCATTTAATGTTGTCCCTGAGGTCTCTGAGTCTGTCCTCAATTCTTTTCGTTCTTTTTTCTTTATTCTGCTCTGTGATAGTTATTTCCACTATTTTATCTTCCAGGTCACTTACCTGTTGTGCCTCAGTTTTTCTGCTATTGATTCCTTCTAGAGACTTTTTAATTTCATTTATTGTGTTGTTCATCATTGTTTGTTTGCTGTTTAGTTCTTCTGGGTCCTTGTTAAACGTTTCTTGTATTTCCTCCATTCTATTTCCAAGATTTTGGGTCATGTTTACTATCATTACTCTGAATTCTTTTCCAGGTAGACTGCCTATTTCCTCTTCATATGTTTGGTCTGGTGGGTTTTTACCTTGCTCCTTCATCTGCTGCGTATTCCTCTGTCTTCTCATTTTGCTTAACTTACTGTGTTTGGGGTCTCCTTTTCGCAGGCTGCAGGTTTGTAGTTCCCGTTGTTTTTGGTGTCTGCCCCCAGTGGGTGAGGTTGGTTCAGTGGGTTGTGTAGGTTTCCTGGTAGAAGGGCCTGGTGCCTGTGTTCTGGTGGATGAGGCTGGATCTTGTCTTTCTGGTGGGCAGAACCGTGTCCGGTGGTGTGTTTTGGGGTGTTTGTGAACTTAGTATGATTTTAGGCAGCCTCTCTGCTAATGGGTGGGGTTTTGTTCCCATCTTGCTAGTTGTTTGGCATGGGGTGTCCAGCCCTGGAGTTTGCTGGCCATTGAGTGGAGCTGGGTCTTACCATTGCGACGGAGTTCTCTGGGAGAGCTCTTGCCAATTGATATCACGTGGGGCCCGGAGGTATCTGGTGGTCCAATGTCCTGAACTTGGCTCTCCCACCTCAGAGGCTCAGTCCTGACCTCTGGCCAGAGCACCAAGACCCTGTCAGCCACATGGCCATGTACGTGGGGAGTTTCTTGCCTTTTGGGAAGTCTGAGGTCTTCTGCCAGCATTCAGTAGGTGTTCTGTAGGAGTTGTTCCACACGTAGATGTATTTTTGATGTATTTGTGGGGAGGAAGGTGATCTCCACATCTTACGCCTCTGCCATCTTGAAGGTCCTCTCAGTCACCCTGTTTTTTGTTTTTGTTTTTTTTTAACTTATTTTTAAATTGTGAGGTTTCTGCATTTTATAACCACATCCCCTTACCCTTGAAAACGTGAGGTCAAACCTTTAGGAATAATAATGAGATGGGTGTTAAATTTCTTTGCCTCCATTACAGTCCCTTCAGTTCACCCTCTAAACATCCATAAGTAGCATTGATTGAGTCTGCCCCCAGGCTAATATATCTTCCCCAAACAGTTCTTTGTTCAAAATTAAGCCATTCAAAGTGCTCTATAAAGTGAGAAGCATTATAAGGACTCAAATATAAGGTGACTCCTCCTTTTCTGAGGAATAATTTGAGGAACACATCTTACTGTACATTCAGTGACAAGTGGAACTTTAGAGCCACACTTTCTAGGTCAATAGCCATATTAAAAGCCTTCATAGGTAACAGAGATGCAGCTTGTGTGCCTGAGGCCTAGCCATCGAGAAGCCCTCTGCTTCTGCCGGGGTCAAATTTTTGTGTAACTCTTCAGAGTATCTCATATTGTCATTCGCTTCTTTCCCATTTTTAACAGAGATAGAATAATAGCAGTAGATGAGAGGAAAGCTTTGCTAAATGTGGATAAGCCTGCAAGATAGTTTAAAGCAGGGGTTGGCAAACTATGGCCCATGGGCCAAGTCCAGCTCACCGCTTGCTTTTGTAATTAAAGTTTTGTTGGGAACACAGCCACATGCATTTATTTACCTATTGTCTATGGCTGCTTTCATGCTGTGATGGTAGCACATTGAGTAGTTGTGACAGAGACTGGTCCAGACTGAAAACCTAAAAATACTGACTCCCTGGCCCTTTCCAGAAGAAAATTGCTGATCCCTGATTTAAAACATAAACACTGAGTCAGCAGATCTGGGTTCTGTTCTTGGCTCTGACACTTACTGGTTGTGTGATTTGGGGCCAGTTACTCAATCTCTCTGAGCATCAGTGTCCTCCCTTAAAATGGTGATAACATCGGGTTTCCCAAGGTGAAAAGGAAATAGTGCCTGTGAAGTATTTAGAATGGTATCTGACACATAGTAAGCACCCATTAAATGTTAGCTGCTTTTATCATTGTTGTTCTCATGGTGATGTTATTCTTCGTAATTGCACCTTCTTTCTCTCAACATGCGTTAAATGGTCACCAATAGGTTTAAGTGTTTTGTTTTCCCGAAGGAGAGGAGACATAAGGGACCAGGTGGAGCCCCACCTGAAGCTTGGGTTTCTCTATCCTTTTCCAGGTCTCACTTACCTTGATGACCTGCTGCCCAAACTTTGGGCGTTTATCTGTGAACTGGGGCCCCACGGAGGGTTAAAGCTCTTCTTGGAATGCCTCAACAATGACACTGAAGAGTCTAAGCAGCTCTTGGCCATGCTGATGCTGTTCTGTGACTGTTCCCGGCACCTCATCACGTAGGTTGACTGCTGTGGGGCTGAATTCCTTTCCTAGAATGTGGAGAGACCAAATTACAGTGTCAGCAAGGACGCATTTGTTAATGTGATTACTGCAAGCGTTTGGACCTGTCATTAGAAGAATTAGACAAGACATTTACAAAGTGGGTGGCACTTAGTAGGGATTCAGCAGTTGTTAGTTCCCATCCTTTCAGGAGAGCTGGGTCATTACCACTTATGTGGGCTTTGGGGTCTTCTAGAGCTCGGTTCAAATCACACCTCGGCTATTTACTCACTGTGCTAGGTAGTTAATTGGAAAATTCCAGAGCCAGTGTGCAGAACCTGGCTCAGCCACTCACTGAGACACCCTGGTCCAGAGGGGAAGGGGCTCCACGTCTCTGGGCCTCAGTTTCCTCATCTATAGATAGGAATTCATAGCACCTACCTCTTAGCCGCGTGGGAAGGTACAGAAGAGATCAGTGATAGGCATAGTCCCAGGCACTGGAAGCAGTCAGTATGTGTTGGCTGTTATTCTTACAACTGTTGTCAAGCTGACCCTGGGCAAGTTGCTTAACCTCTCTGAGCCTCAGTTTCCTCAACACTGGAATGGAGACAACATTACCAATCTGATAGGGAGTAAATGAGAAAAGGATTGTCAAGTACCTAGTACAGTGCCTGGCACAGTGAGAAATTAACAAATGTTAGTCCCGTTCCGTTCCTTTTCTTTAAGCTTACGTGTCTACTTGAGTATTGGTATTCTTTTAATCCCACTTTTTCCCAAAAGGTTGGTGAAGAATTGTAAGATAGAATGGACCTCAGGAAGTTATATTCAGTCTGGGAGAGATTGGCAGGAGGGGATTAGGGGTATGTAGGTGGCGGATTGGGTATGAGTCATGGAGGGAGGGCCCAGTGAGTAGTTAGAGGGGAGAGCAGGGGTCTTTGGCTGCTGGTGACACCCCCTTAATTGCCTGGTCAAGGGTGACCCAAGGGTGAGTCAGGCTCTAAAGTGAATAGAGCAGTTATAGGAGATTTTCAGATAGAGCTGCATCTTATGGTTCATTTATTCATATATTCTTTCAGACATTTATTCATTCACCCTCAAATACTTATCAAGCACTTACTCAGTGCCCCTAGTGTCTGTTACAGATGCAGAATAAGATTCCACAACTTCCCTCAGTAGACACAGACTCTCAGTCAAGATTCCTTAATAATTCAGACATGAATTCATAAGCAGTGTCACAGTCAGATCCTTATGAATAAGAAAAGGGTAGAGCAGAACATGTTTCTTTCCTTTCTCAATTGTATTTTTTAACTTCTTACTATAGATGATTTCAAATAAATAGAAAGTGGAAAGAATAGTATAATGAACCTTCACGTACCTGTCACCAATTTCGTTAGTTAGTTATTGACTCATGGCCACTCTTGCTTCATCTATACCTCCACCCACCCTTCCATCATATCCTTTTACCTGTAAATTTTATCTAACAGATAGAGCTTATTTCATAACATTATTTTGTCTAGTATGAGGAATAGATCTTTTTTTTCCCCTTCTTTTTAGTGGGAAATTATGAATAATTTTCTGTCTGACTTAGGATCCTTGATGACATTGAAGTTTATGAAGAACAGATTTCATTCAAACTAGAAGAACTGGTCACCATCTCCTCTTTTCTGAATTCCTTTGTGTTTAAGATGATCTGGGATGGAATCGTAGGTAAGGTAAAGATGTCAGCCGTTGTTTAATTGCTGCTACACATGGGAAGTCTAGAGTCTATAACATCAACTGATTCTTAGCCTTGTTGTCCATCAAAGTTAATTCAAAATGCACATTTATTCACATAGTTAGAGGTTTTATTTCTCCACTCTTTATGACCCCTTAAGATAGTAGTGTGGTTATGGAAGTCTTACTCTCCCAGGCATCCTTCAGGATTTACATGTGTGTGTGAAGGATTATTCATGATTAATTCTGCCCTGAAACTCCTTTTGATTCTTTGAGTTGATTTTCATGAAGATAAGACACGTGCCTGGTCCCACTTCAAGTTAGAGTCTACCTCCTGAAGTGTTTCCAGTCGTTCAGCACCAAACTCCTTAGATTAAAAGGTCCTTTGGATGACATACAAGTGGGAGGCAGTGCGAGTGATTGTGTCTGAGACATTCCCGGGTCCCACAGGCCCTTAGAATGTACCCAGGGAGCCTTTTAATTCTGTTGATTCCATGTAACGTTCAGCATGAGGGAGATGAAGACTGCTGGGCCTCGGGGCTGACGAGAGGAGACACGGGCTATCCTCCTGTCCCCTCGAGTTCTGAGCAGCTCCGAGACTGTGGCTCTCCTGGTTGTTTGCCCCACAGAGAATGCCAAGGGTGAGACCTTGGAGCTGTTCCAGTCCGTCCACGGGTGGCTGATGGTGCTGTACGAGCGGGACTGCCGGCGGCGCTTCGCCCCCGAGGACCACTGGCTGCGCAAGTGAGCTCGGGGTGGGAAGGGCGTTTACGGAGGCTGGAGTCCCTCTGTCTTGCCGCTGGGACCATTGTGGCCTGATGCTCAGCACTTATGTTTTAGGGCAGAGAGGACTTGGTCCATCTTCTTCATCTTGTCCTTTCATCTGCATATGTCCCTATAAAGCACCTGTCAGGACAGGTCACCTCGCAGCTGCTTCTGTTAGGACACAGTACGCTGAAGGTGATTAGAGCTCAGTGTTGGCAGCCAGAGCTCGCACTGAGCAGATGTTTCATACGCAAACTGGAAAGGAAAGTTCTTTCAGCTGAACTAAGCAACAGGTTATGATCATTAAATGGCAGTTTTTATCAGCAGAATTAGCGGGATAAAAACCACAGCTAGGCTTGTTGGGGGGTAGGGTAGGGAAATCCTCTTGCAACAACTAAACATAAGATCATGTCTGCCTTTTTTTAATCAATGACAGATCAACTCTTACGTAACTATTGAAGTTGTGGCAGTAGAATAGAGATTAGCAGACTTTTTCTGTAAAGGGCCAGACAGTAGATATTTCAGGCTTTGCACACCAGACAGTGTCTGTTGCACCTACTCAACTCTGCCATTGTAGTGCGAAAGCAGCTAGAGACAGTACCTAATGAATGGGTATGACTGTTCCATTCAAATTTGATTTACAAAAATGGGCAGCAGGCTGGATTTGACCCGTAGGCTGTAGCTGGCTAACCCTGCACTAGAGGATGGTTTTCTTGTTCTTTATCCCAAATCCATGTCTTTGTTTTTAAGGGATCTCAAACCTAGCGTGCTCTTCCAGGAACTTGACAAGGACAGAAAACGGGCTCAGCTGATCCTGCAGTACATCCCGCACGTCATTCCTCACAAAAACGTGAGTTGCACTCAGAGCTGGGGTCCTCCCACCAAGTTCCTGACTGTCCATTTTTGTTGTAGCGATTATTAAAAATGAGTAAAAACGATCATTCAGTAAACACAGATGCTGACTGGCTCTTACGCTGTTGCAGCTGTTATGCCAAGTGCTGGGGGTGCAGAGATTGAAGACAGTGTGAACTGTCCATTTGGCTAGTGTGGGGTGGCTGCTATGGGGATGGATGCCGTGGGCATCCAGGGCAGGGGCTCAGGAGAAGACTCCACAGGTAGTCGGACTGTGCTTGCAGGCTCAAGGTGAGAGAGATTGTGGTGCCAAGGGAGAGCCGGGTGGAGTCAAGAAATGAAACTGAGGAGGTTCGTAGGAGCTGGAGCAGGAAGGGCCTCGTAACCCAAGGGTGGGAGCGTGGATTTTGTCTAGAGCCATCGGAGAGTTTTTAGCTGTGGAGGCACCTGGTCAGAGCTCTGCTTTAGAAAATTCCTTCTGGCCGTCTCCTGAAGGACTGGCGAGAGGCAGGTGTCATGGCCAACTGGCCTGAACTCGGGTGGGCCCACGGGAGTAGAAAGACAATGACATCAAGAGATTCTGAAGGAGGTAGCACCTCCAGGCCTTGAAGAACGATGGCACTCCGGGGGAAGGAGAGGAGGAATTCAGAGCATGCTCAGGTTTCTGGCTTGGGGGCCTGGCTGCTCGAGAGGGCCATTCCCAGAGGTGGGGGCACAGGCAGGAGCGGGACTGGGAAGAGCCGGGAGCAGGCGACGTGTCTGTGGCTCCTCGAGGGTCTGGAGTGCAGGAGAGAGGACGGGGCTGGAGGTGGACTCGACATGCGGACGGCTTGCGACCTCCTCGGTGCATTCATGGATGAGGCTGAGGTGGTCAGGGAGCCAGAGGGAGTGAGCAGACCGGGGACGGAGGCCAGAGCCCTGCACGGGGAGAGGAGTGATCAGAGGAAGGAAGAGAACCGGGGTGTGTGGCATACAGAGCTATGGGGCGTGAGAGCCTTGGGAAGGGCCAGGTGCTGCGGCAGGGGCGCCCGGGAGATGAGGGGCGTCCCTGGTGTGTCGTGAGCGCTCCAGAAATGTCTGCTCCTTCGGGGGGAGGCTCCTTAGAACCCACAGGTGCCCTTTCCTTTCTCTCCTGACTTACTTAGTCCTCCTCACTGTTCTCTGGTATTGTCTTGACCTTGATGTCATACTTGTGGCTGTCCTTCTTTACTTCCCCTCAAGCAGCGGTTCACAAACATGTGGCCGTTTAAATTCTTACTGCGCCTGACAGCAGAGCCTCTCAGAAGGCTTAGACAGAACTAAGCCTCTCATGGAGATGACTTAGTCACGCACCCTCTATGCATGAGCCCCTTCAGCGGCATCCCTGCCCCTGCCTCAGATAGAGGATGCGCAGCTTTGCAAAGCAGGCCATTGTATGGCTTCTGTCTTCCCAGTGGTGGAACATCCTTCCTTGTCTTACACAATCTACTTCCCTGTAACTTCTACCCTTTGGTCCTTGAACAGCCACTAAAAGTGGATGGTGTCATCTTCTGCGGTTTGCTTTCTGGGTGGTCTGTTTTCCAAGGGTGGTGCCCTTCCCTTCTCCAGCCAGTCCTCATTTGAAGTGGGTTCCAGCCCTTCACCTCGTGGGTCTAGTCCAGGTTGGTGGAATCTGACTTAAAATGCGGCTCCTCGCCCCGTTCCTGGGTGTCTGACTTCAGCCCTGGCCCACAGCGTCCCCACAGCGTCTGGTCTGGAATCTCCACTCCGTGTGTCTGCAGTTAACAAACGGTGTGCTGGGGCACCCCGGTTGCTACAGGATATTTTAATTTTTTGAGGGAAACACAGTGAAATCTGTTGGGCACCGTGTGAAGTGCTTGCTTGAGTCCACAGCGTCAGCGTTAAATTCTGCTCCATTCTTCTCGATGATGTCCTATTTGCTAAGCTGGGTTTTAAAAAAATGAAATTAAAATATTTTAAATTTCAATTTATGCGTGTTTTTTAAATACAGCTACTAAGTTCTTAGGACATAAACACTTAATAAGTTGTTAGGACTTAACTGTCTACTAAATGGAACTGTTACGTATTTCTTTTGACCTAAGATTGCAGTAAGAAATATTACTATTACTGAGCCGTTAGGGGTGCTGAGAACAGGAAAGTCTGGGAAGCTCTGGGTTTAGCTGACCTGACATAAGAGTCCAGGGTGTATGGTAATCCTCACCAAGGGGCGGGGTGGGGGGCGCTTAAGATCTACATCATGAAGATTATGAGCCATTCGTCCTTGGCTCATAAATCTATTGCCTCCCTTGGGAAAATAGGGCCCTTCTTCATCTTCTGGCCCCTGTCCTGCTCCTGTGATGGCACCAGCAGGCCTGGCATAGTGTCTGAGGCTTGGCGTGTTTTCTGTGTCTCAGGCTTCCCCTCTCTCTTCAGAGCGTGTGTGCTGTTCTCTTCCGGTGACGTTCTTACTGGGGCATACAGGGGGTGAAAGCCTCTCTCCAGGCCTGCGTTGTCTCTCTCATCTGTTACTGTTATGCCATCTGCCCTGGACACCGAACCTCTCCCTCATTCTTGATGCCACCTGAGTGGGTGGCTTATAGTGCCTTTATTGCTTTCCTTAATGTTTTTAAAAGTCTCAGCTTGGCCTGGTTCACACACGCAGCACTTCAGCCTCTGCACTCTCTTATGTTGCTTTTACATGTTTACACGCAGTTCATCTCCTGACTGGTACTTAAGGCCCCCCTCCCTCCCTCCCTCCCTCCCTCTCTCTCTCCCTCCCTCCCTCCCTCCCTCCCTCTCTCTCTCTCTCTCTCTCTCTCTTGCTTTGGCCTAGAAGGCCTAGGGCCACGTGTGGGGGGTAGGGCTGGGTAGTGTGGTGGTCTGTGCATGGGCCCTGGTCCCCCGGGCACCAGCTGGTGACCTTGCACGACAGTTTCCTCATCCGCAAAGTGGGATGATGATCCTTACCTAGGTGTCCCCTGTGCTCACTGAGGTCTCCTAGCCCCTTGAGAGCTGGTGAAAGTTACCCCAAACCTTCTTCCCTGCCCCACGGAAATCCAGAGCCCCATCCAGTCTTTCTGCAATTCACGGGAGGCCGGCAATGTTGTGGTCACCTCTGTAGTTCTGCCTCTGTGTCCGCTGTCTCTGCTCCATATGGTATTAACCTTGACAGGAGGCTTATCTTCTGCCTCAAGTTCCACAAGACAGCAGCCCTTGTTCAGGTGATCGTGCTAAAGACTTGGGGGTCACGGGAAGCAGTCATGCCACATGGCCCCCCGTGAGTTAAATACCTGTGCTTGTCTCCAGCTCCCCAGCACAGAAGGCAGAGGCGAGAGTCCCCGCCATGTGCATCTCCAGCCACCCTCACTGTCCTCAGCCCGCGCTCCCCCTTCCGCGTCGCCAAGGAGCCCCGAGAGCTTTTGCTATTTTTCAGGGCACTTCAGTCCTAGTTTCTAGACTTGGAAACCAGCCACATGGCACCCCTTCACTGACTAGTCCCTCCATTGAGCACATCCCCCATCTCAGGAGGTTGTCGGCAGTGGCTTTTTCTGTCACCTTATTTACTTCAGGGAGCTAATAGAATGATCAAATGAAAATGCAGTAGCCTCCCCTCGTGTATAGTCAGCTCTTATTACTACTGTTATTACTAGTGGCTGTTACTACTTATTACTACTGTTATTACTAGTGGCTGTTATTATTATTACTGTTATTATTTGTATTTAGCAATGCTCTTGACTTTGGGGAGATTTCCGTTTTTCAGAAAAACAGCTGAGGTTGGAGTTATTCGTTCATTCCGCTGACATGATTTGAGTGCTATTACAGGATGGGGCCAAAGGTCAATGCTCTCCTAAAGGAGCCTGTCAGAATCTTGAGAATGCAAGAGGGTTCTATTTAAATGATACTTGAGAAATATTACTGGTGGGACTGTGATGTGCTTGAGGAGACAGAGGAGGCAGGTAGAAAGGTCAGGGACCTTTATACTGTAGGGTCATTTACACATTTCTGACAGCAAAAAATATATATCTTTGAAATGTTTCTGTGTTTTAAATTCATGCTGTTGATTTCCTCTAAAGCAGGCACGGCTATATAAAGCACCCTCTGTAATGCGTGCTGCCGCAAGGTTTTTACAGTGGATTATTGACTGAACAAGGAGAATGATTTTTCTCCCAGACTGTTCTTAGCTGGGCTCTGGCTGCAGCCAGACCACTCTTTCTGGAACCTTTCCCCTTGGCATGTATTCAGCTATATTTCTAATTCCCAAGAGCATTTGGGGGGAAGTTTACTGTCCTCACAAAACACTTCTAACCTGTAGCACACATCAAAGCATCCCATTCTGGGAGCCTCTCACGTGCTTACATTTCATTAATTTTGTACAGTGTGTTTTAGGGGATCCTCAGTTGTTGACCCCTTTATCGGTCTCACCTTTGCTCATTTCAGAGAGTTCTCCTGTTCCGAAACATGGTGACCAAGGAGAAGGAGAGACTGGGGCTTGTGGAAACCAGCTCTGCCTCCCCTCATGTCACTCACATTACCATCCGCCGGTCCCGGATGTTGGAGGTGAGAAGCCTGTTGCAAAGTGCGCTCTGTAAACCGTAGGGTTTCTAGTGGATGACCTGTTGCCTCTGAACTGTTCTTATCACTCCTTGATCTAATGACACTGAAGCCAGGGCTGTGGGTGCAGGAAGGGCCTGTTTGTCCTGCCAGCTGCTCTGAGCACTGCTTGATTAAACACGCCCTCAGTTCTGGAGACCCCAGTGCAGCATTTCCCTCCCTTTACCCCACGAGGTGAGAGTGGCCAACACTCTGTGCCTCTGAAATGAGGACAGACACGCTTATACCTGTGCAGACTCTGTCTGTCCTGGCAGGCGCTTTGCCCAGCCGCCCAGCTGTGAGTGTGGAGGCTGGAGTGCGGGTGTTAAGTTACTGAGCCATCCTGGGAAATACATCGATCACAGAGCTACACGTTCTTTTTGGACATAAACTTAGGAGCTGCACGTGAAGCGGCCCACCTATGCCAAACCCAGCGTCCAGGGTTCCTCCCATGCAGCGACTTTGTGTGACTTTGAAATAGGTGCCTGTCCTCAGGACACTGTCCTCCGTATGTCAGGAAGTTGTCATGATATGTTGATTTTGCTGGAACAAGACCCTGAACATTGTCATAATAAATGCACGCACCTGCAGTGTCTGCATCGTGCCTGCCACACGCTCCTCCGGCATTGTGCAGCGTATGTGCGCGTATGGTGATTGAGTCCCATGTCCCCGTTCCCAGGAGCGGCTTGGCTTCGTTGATACGCCCATGCTTGCTCTCTTGCCTCTCACCACACTCCGGCCACAGTTCCTGGTCGGCATGCTCTGCAGCGTAGAACAGCCAGGGGCTCCCGGACAGCCCGGGGCCGCATCGCCAGCCACCAGCAAACGGCATCGGCAGCAGCCCTTCCTCCCCACACGCTTTCATCTCTGCCTCGGGGCATCTGTGCTGTGTTTGCCGCTCCTGGAGAACTTGTTTAAGTTCTCTGACCACTGGTGATTGACACTGAAAACTGCCGGGGAAAGGCAGCAGGTGGTGAACAAATGATTTTGACATTCTCAAAATTAAGGATAAGAAATGTAAGTGCCCCCAGGGGCCCTGCCAGTCATGGAGATGAGTAGCGCTCGCTGAGAGTGTCTCGGCACGGGGCGTTTTGTTTGCATGCTAAATGAATAGAAATATTCTCCACTTCCACTGCTTGCTCCCGTTTTTCTTGAAGCACAGCCCTTGGACTGACCTCACAAGTGAGTTGATAAATGACAACTGACAACCAGCCTCAGTGTTGGGGCTGGTGGAGAACACATGCCTCTAAAAGAGGCCACCTGAGTATTGCCTTGTGGAGATTTGGGCTCTATAATGCTCCGGCTTGTTAAGAAAAGACCAAAATTTAGGGTTTTGTGTGAAATCCACAGATCCTTTGTGTTATGAACCAGTCAGGTTTTGTAAAGTACCTGGAAGGTCAGATAACACCTGTCTGCCCATCAAATTCAACCTGCTGGCCACCAGTTTGCGACCTCTGCTTTGACTCAAAGAAAAAAAAGCCCAGTTGTGTTGTAGGAACTCACTTCTCCAGCACTTTCTTTGTTGGACCCAGATGCACCTTTCCTGTCTCTTAAACTCCTCCATCCCACCGTCCGTCATACCCACTCCCATGTGGCCAGCACAACAGGGAGTCTGGGTGGTGGAAACTGTGGTGTCTCCTGAGAGTGACAGAATCCCCGACACCCTCCTCAAGTGTCACTGGGAGATTTACCAGACACCCGCTTACCCTGGGCCAGCTTGTTTAAACACATCCCTCAGGGACCTCAGAGGAGGGATTTCTGTCTTAGATTTTAGGCAAAGTCCATTTTTCTCTTTACGTTTCATTGGGATAGATCCTGTCATGAAATTGATCACTGGTGTTCGTACTGAATTAGGAAGGAGAGAGGGTCATTGATTCAGTTACCCCAGTTCTCACGATTCAGTGGTTTGGGTATCAGAACTTGAGAGCCCAGTGGCCTTTGCTTGATTAGGACACAAGGGGGCATCAAAAAGCCGATGTTTGACCCATGATATCCTGGGCTTTTATTCTGTCCCCTTGTTTATGGTTTGTACTGAAGGTGAGGCTTGTGTATTAGGCTTCCAGGTGATGGTCCAAAGTCCTGCAGGAAGGCCTCTCCTCACAGGGGTGAACGGGGGCCAGAACACCGGCACTGCAGAACTAGAAGGAGCTGTGGACACACCCTTGCTCATCCCTTTCCCCTCACCCCATCAAAGGCAGGACTGAGGCCAGAGGAATTCAAGGTCACTCGGGTGTCCGTGGCAGAGCTGGGCCTGGAAGCCAGTTCTCCCGTTCCCCTTCAGTGTTCTGTGCATCCGCTCTTTGAGATGCAGAAGAGAAGAGGGACGCCCAGTCCCCCTTTCACCTTCCCCTGGGGCACAGATAGAGAATCCTCCAGAGGGGGCAGTGGGGTGCAACAGGAAGTATGTCAGAGGAGGTGGGCAGCAAATTCCTCTCTACAGTGTTTCAAAGGGAGGCTAAAGTGGGGCTGATCCAGCAAAACTGAGATTTGAGTCCAGCAAACATTCCTGGAGCACCTGCCATGAGTTTGACCACTTGCTAAGAGCTTTCACATGGACCATCTCGTTTAATCTGCATGACTCTGAGACACCTCCTAACACATGCTAAGGTTAGGGAGGCATCATTTTAAAGCAGAATGGAGGAAGTCCTGCAGGCAGGGGCATGTTAGAATTCTCTTCCCGTCCCCACTCAGTGCCAAGATAATTACCTTACATTTAGGCAGAATGACTGAAATGCTGCAGCAGCTGCCTGGTGACTCCCTGTTTTTCTCTCCTTTTTGTCTAACTTAATGATTTTCATATTTCATGTGCATAAAAAAGTACTTTTCAGGATTGTGCATTCAAAACCGTGTTCTTATTCCTTCAGGTGATTTAGGGGACTTCAGAGGTAGTTTTTTTTCCCTGCTCACTAACTTTGGAACCTAACTCCTAAATAAGATGGGTAGCCACCATGGCACAGGCCTTTGCATCAGTAGGTGAGCACAAGGAAAACATGATCGGCAGGAAGGCAGCAAGCGTTCCCCAAAACGGGTCTTGCCATACTGGCCTCATTTGCTTTGTGACAAGGAACCAGACTGGCAGGTGAGTGGGTGCTGTGGAGATGGCCTGTCTGATGTCGACAGAGCATCTGAGAGCACTGCACTTGTGCCTGAGGGGAGGAACGTGGGGTGGCCACAATAGGACATGGCAGCTGATTTGTAACCTATTCTGTGACAGTATCTAAAGACATCGGTTTGACCCTGGTTATGGGGCCTCTCAGGCTGGGCCAAAGTACTCCTCCCTGGGCCCTATCGTGTTCTAAGCACGGTTTTTTATAATTACTGCTCTGAAATGAAAGCCTAAGCAGCTTGCCCATCAGCACCCACCTGCCAGGAGTACATTTGAGGATAGGCTCTGGAGCCAGGAAGGCCTCGACAGATCAGAATCAAGAGATAGACTGTGCACGATGATTTAGCAGGAGAGCTCCAGAGTCATGTCCTAGCTTTCTGGACAGCGAGACATGCCCAGTGGCTGCGTGTCTCAAGGGAGCTGACCGCAAGCCGGAGGTGCTGAGGCCTCTCTTCCCACCGCTTCTGCCCTCCTCCAGGCCCAGCGGCACTCCTGGCACCCATCTCCCTGCTCCCTGCCATCCCTCTGCTTTGCTTCCAACAGAAAAATCTTCCTAAGACAGAAAGCCAGCCATATGACTCTCTGCCTAAACTCTTCTGTGGCTCCCCAGCGCCCTCAGGATATAACCTGAATTTTCCAGCATGACTCACAGCCTTTCATGATCTGGGGAAAGGTACCAGGAGTTGAGTGGTGGGGGGCTACTCTGATTTTTCATCTTACAGCTTTCATCTTGTCTCAGCGTCTTCCGTCCTGTCTGATGACCGAGAGCTTGTCGTGACTCATCTTGTCTGATCTCTCCATCTCCCTGCTCTGCATCCTCCTGAGGGCAGCCTCCCCTTGCCAAAGAGTGGTAAAGTCACATCCCCAGAATGAGTTTTTCTTTTAACAGGCTCTCGTCTAGAAGCAGGTGAAAACTGCTGGCTCTCCTCATGCACCCGTGCGTCCTGACACATTTAGTAATTACACTGGGAATGCTTCCCACAGGGGAGAGGGAGCTTTGAGGAGGGAGCCCTGAATTATGCAGGGGGCCTTGGGTTCCTAATGGGCGGTAATTCTGCCCTTGGCAGGACGGCTACGAGCAACTTCGGCAGCTCTCCCAGCATGCCATGAAGGGCGTCATCCGCGTGAAGTTTGTCAATGACCTCGGGGTGGACGAGGCAGGGATTGATCAAGACGGTGTTTTCAAGGAGTTCTTAGAAGAGATCATCAAAAGGGTGTTTGACCCAGCGCTCAACCTGTTCAAGGTATTTAAAGGGCACGAGAGCGTGGTTGACGGCAGCCAGATTCGAGGTGACAGATGAGAAGTGAAGGCCTTGCTTGTTGCAAGGCATTTAACTTCCCTGTCCCTACCCGTCCTTTTGCCTTGCAGACGACCAGTGGGGACGAGAGACTCTACCCTTCGCCCACGTCCTACATTCATGAGAATTACCTGCAGCTGTTTGAGTTTGTGGGCAAGATGCTGGGGAAAGCTGTGTATGAGGTAGGCACGTTAAGAACCAGTGAACAGGAATGGAAAATAAAATGTTCTAAGTACTGTGGGCTTCATATACATGTAAGTGATCAGGTACATAGTGGCAACTGCCTGTCACAAGGATAAAGGTGAGGAGAGAGGGACGGGAACCAGCACCAACCGTGTTCTTGTCAGTGAAGCGGGGATAGTAGAGCTACGTTATTGGGTTGCTGCAGGTGGTAAATGAGGTAATACAGGTAAACATCTCCCATGGTGGCTGGCAGCTGGTCACGGGGGGAGTCGGAGCTGCCATCCTCACTGTTATTAGGAGGAAGGGTGTCTGAGCTTCTGCTCCTGGTGTCACGGGGCCGGGGTAGTGTGGCCTTCCGCAGGCTCTGGGCGAGCCCTCCCAGCTCCTGGTCCCTCTCCCCTGAGAGCCCACCAACTGGCAGGACTGCTTCCAGGTGGCGCTTTACCCCCTGCCCTGAGGATCCTGCTTCCCAGGAAGGAAGTAACGCTCCACCTTCAGCTCATCAGCAGCCTGTCCCTGTGGCCTCACAGTGGACTCCAGAGCCACAGGAGACCAGTCCCTCCTCCCCAGCCTGCCTCACCCCCAGCGGCCGCCACCTGAGTAGTGCTCGTGTCACACCCATCACAAAGCCCAGGGAGGCCAGGATGCCTTCCAGAGGCAAAGAAGCTATAGCGGGCCAGGCTGAGAGAGGAGGTCATGTGGGGTGAACATACTCTCTAGTCCATCATTCTCTCTGTGTAAACAGCCCCGGTCCACGGCCTCAGCCCTTGCTGTGATGATGTTAGGTGCCCCATGTGAGTCCAAGCACCCTCCAGGCCTCCTCCTGCCCTGGACTGGTTGGGTGGCCTGGGCTCATTCTCTGTGCTTCTGTTTCCACATCTGCAAAATGGAGACAATTTCTCAGTTGATTCCCCTTTTTTACAAACAAAACAAAAAACAAAAACAAAAAAAAAAACCCATGAGGCCCTGCCTGGGCATATGCCGTGTTTTTCCTTTGAACGTGTAGCTGTGATGAGACCCAGGAGAGGCTGGGCCAGCTGAAAAACACCACTTCCTCGCTTTGTAAATGTCCTCCCCCACTTCCTGGGCCTAGCCTCCGTCTCCTCCCTCTCCGGCAATAAGGACCTCCTGGGTCCTGATGAGGAGTGGCCTGTGTTAACCCACTTCACACTCGTCCTCAGGACGGGCCCGTTGTGGGGTTTGATTGGCTCTCCCTTCTCAGTCTCTCCAGCCCGCACACCTCTCTCCACTCAGTACAGTCTGTCTGAAGTTCCTGGCGTTGTGCAAGGGCTTCCGGGCTGTGTCCCTGCCTCCAGGCCATTCCCCACAGGACGTACCCGTGCGGAGAGCCCTCCCAGGGCTCCCTGCTGCTCTCTGGATAGAAACCAGACTCCAGGAGGCTTATGAGCTCTTCCTGATCTGCCCTGTTTGCCTCCCTGGCCTTCTCGCTCACCCCCTCCTTCACACCCCATGCTGGGGCCAGACAGACCTGTGTTCCAGCCCTGGAGGGCACCTGTGAGCCTTGTACTAAAGGCCTCCTGCCCAGCTATCCCTTCCTCCTGGAAACTTCCCCCACCTTGCTCGTTTAACCCTTAAAACTGAGGCTCTTCTGGTCCCCACTTACAGATGATAAAGCCAATGCCCCATGGTCTAGCAGCAGCGGAGCTGAGGTGTGATCCCTGAGCTGTGCCGCTGCAAAGCCTGGGCCCTTAACCACTATGTGGTAATGTCCCCAGGAGGCGCTCGACTGTGTTTAGGTGGTAGGGATGTATCGCTCTCCAGATTGAAAATTTAGGAAGTCTAGAGATGTCATTGGCGCCCTCGGAGCCCCATCTGCAGCCGGAGCCGCCCTGGATGAGATCACCGAGACGGGCTGCTGGGCAGCAGGTGGCAGCTCCTGTCTCCTCTCTGGCAGGGAATTGTGGTGGACGTGCCCTTTGCATCCTTCTTCCTGAGCCAGCTGCTCGGGCACCACCACAGTGTCTTCTACAGCTCTGTGGATGAACTGCCTTCTCTGGATTCCGAGTTCTATAAAAACCTCACTTCCATTAAGGTCAGTGTGGAAGGCGGCATGGCTTAGCTGAGTGCCGGTGTGAACTCAGCCAAGTGACGCCCCATGGGGTTCAGCTCTACCCCGTCGTCATGGGGTGGAGTGGGATTTCCTGCTGTGGTGAAGTGGCACACTCCTTAGCCACTGCAGGGCCTCGTGTCCCCTCCTGAGCACTTCCTCCCGGGACTGATGCTCACAGCCTCCTTCCTCCAGGTGATGAGTGGCCTTTTCCTTTGTTTCAAGTTGTACGGCAGCCACAGTGGTAGCTGCCCGAGCCGATGTCATAGGCGGGGAGTGTTAAAACCTTCAAGGATGTAGCGCTCCTTGGCCCTACATGGTCCCTTTCTCTGTTGCTTTAGCGGTGCGATGGGGACATCGCTGACTTGGGCCTGACACTGTCATATGATGAGGATGTCATGGGTCAGGTAGGTGGGCCTCTGGCTGAACCTTGTTCCCCCCGCTCCCCACTTTGGCTTCCTAAGACCTGCCCTAGTCTGGGTGTTTTCCCCAGGAGACCCGCAGACTGGGGCTGTGTCTGTCTGTCTGTCCACCCTTCTCCTCTGCCTCCCCAGCCCCTTTGCCACCCTGCCAGGAGGGAGGGCGCTCCCCTCCCCTTCCCAGCTGACCTGGCCTTGGCCTGCTCGCCACCCAGAGAGCTCCCACCGAGACCCTGCTCTGCTTCCAGGGCACTTTGGGGTCATTTCTGATGGAAGCTATGACTCCTACTTTGTACACTGCCTTTCGTTACCATGGTGAGGATTAGCTGTTCCAGAGGATCATGACTGAGACATGGGGAAGGAACAACCTGACAGGGTGTGCCTCTAACAGAACCCTGTCCTTGCTCCTCCTCGGCATGGAGAGCAGAGCCGGGAAAAAAGACCCTTGAAGTCGTGGCAGCAGAGGGGCTTCCCCCAGACCTTCTCTGTCCTGATTTTCCTTGCAGGGCTCCCAGCCCCTCCATTTGCATCCCCAGACCCCTGCATGAGCCCCAGTGTGCATGTGGTGTTAGGGCCGCTCTGGAGCTCGTAGTACAGGGCCGACTTCCCAGGGCCTCAGCGAGGTCACTCAGTCTCCCTGAGCCACACTTTCCTTATCTCAACAAATACCATTTGCCGAATTAGTCCTTGCTGGGACCAGTGTCACCAGATGCCCTCTAGACCGCACGCCCTGTCCTCCTCCTGAAGAACCACTGAGCACGCTGGCACGTCAGGGCCCTAAGAAGCCCATGAGAAAGAAACCTGCTGTGGTTGTGTTAACCTCAACCTTCCCCAGCTCATTTGGTCACAGAACTCCTCTTTCAGGGAGGGCACACCACCTCACAGATTCTCCAGATGGTGGTGCACAGATCAGGAGTTCCCTGGAACCTATTGTGGGAAACACCCGGCTGGGCATTCCTAAGGGCCATCCAGCTTTAACATCCTGCAGCGTCAGCCCCGAGATGTTGATAGCAGTGGGACTAGAGGGCACCGTTACTCCTTTCCAGGTCTCTAGAGTTACAGTATATTATGTTAGTAGAATTTCTATTAAAATTAGCTTTGAAATGATGCATTCTTTGATTTTTAGGCGACCCACAAGACTTCTTGAAGTTGAGGAAAGCAGTTGATTCTATAGCGTTTTTGAATCTTTAATCAGAGACTTTAATCTTTAATTTTGAGACTTCTTCCTGACATTCTTAATTTTCTGTCCTGACTATAAAAATAATGCAAACTTCTAACCAAAAATTCAGCTACAATAAAAGTATAAAGGTGAAAGTGAAAACCACCTATAGTGCTGGTGCCTGGAGAGCGCCACTGTTAGCATGTGGCCTGAGCCTTTTTAGGGTTTTTCTCCCTGGGCACATATATAATTTTTTGTGTACCTTGACTGCTGTTATATAATCTGCTCTTTCCCCCCCACCTTCTCAAGAAATATACTTTTTCATCATATTTTTTAATAACGCCACTGTATTCCAAGGTATGGTTGTACCAGCATTTATTTATCTGTCCTCCTGTGCTCTTCATTGCTAACACGTTCCCCTCCACAACACCCCGGAGCCTTAATATACACGTTTGTACGAGGATCAGATGAGAAGGAACCTGTCATATTGATCATGCAGGGCCGGCTTGTTGATATTTAAGCCCTGGCTTTTTGTGAAAATGATTGTTCCCAAACATGTCTCATCTTCCTCTGTCGTTATTATGGATGTCGGCATCAGGCCCTTCCATCTTCAGGAAGCTTTATTTTCTCATTAGAATTCTCTTGAGTAATTGTTCCCCTTCCTCTCCCCCAGCTTGTTTGCCATGAACTGATTCCTGGAGGGAAGACCATTCCTGTTACAAATGAAAATAAGTGAGTATGGCAATTAGATTTTTAAGGTCACCACTTGAAAAGACTTCATTCTGGCTCTCTGGGCTTACTTTGAGAATTTATTAAGATAAATTGAAGTAGAAAGAGGCCATAAACATCATAATGGAATTTACTGGTTACAGTTCATAGGCCGAAATCGTATTAAATTCGATTTGCAAAATAAGAATTGACAATTTATATTTTGCAGTAGCACTTCTAAGGTCAGAGGCACCCAGGCTGTGGTGTTCCTAGGAATTTAATGACGGCTCTAGATGCAGACAGATGGGTTCTGAGCCGGTCGGGCACGAAGTCCTGAACCCAGAGGGCACAGAGGTGGAAAGACTCCTTGGAGGGGCAGATCATTTTAGAATGAGGGTGTGTGGCAGTTGTATAAAACACTGTTCTTGAGAAGACACAGTGATGAATTCAGATGCAGCAGACAGGTCCTCGGACGTGGGGAGACCCTGAGGCCCAGCAGCTCTTGTCACAGATAACAGGCTTTTAGGAATCTATCATAAATGGTCCCTCAAAGCAAAGCCCCTCCATGCGTGTCTCCACCCAGCCCTGCACTCACCTAACTAAACGGTAGGACCCGGCTCAAGGAGTAGTTATTGGCCCTTTTGTCAATCTGTCAATCTCCTGCCACTAGGCTCAGCTGAGCATCTGAACTGTTAATCTGAGCATCACTGTCTTCAGTGACAAGTGAGAGCTTAGTCCCACCCGGTGAGTCATTTGGATCAGAGGCACCTCACAGCCCAGTGTCCCCAAGCCTCGTGTCCCTCTCGGGTCGGATCAGTCAGTCCACGTGCTCGGGGAGCTTTTATTTAGACTGTCAGAACAGTCAGGAGAGCAGACCCAATTCTCATCATGATTGAAATACACCCATTTTGACTCTTGGCCACGGAGCCTTAGAGTGACAGAAAGTACAGGGGCCACAGGGTGGGTGGAAGCTGCCTGGGGGTGTCAGAGAGCAGGGTGGGTCCTGAGCCTGCCCACCGTGTGCCTGTAATCATCCCTTCAGAGGGTTTCACATGAGAATGCATGTAAAGTACCTTCCAGGATGTCTGGCTCAGAGGAGGCCCTTAATAAATGAGAGCAGTGATCTCACCATCATCAGATATGTTACCCTCAGATGGGCCCTGTTTTGCCAGGCATGGCACGGGGATGATGGTAGGAGCCGTATGTACAGCAGCCGGTGGAGGTGGGTTGATACAGCCTGGGTTGGAGTGAGGTTCCTGTCCTGCCTGGAAACCTACGTGGAAAGTCATTTCACAAACTCTTACGTGTTCTTAGCATAAAACCTCAGTATAAGGGCAAGGACGTTCAGTCCTGCAGACTCTTAAAAGACATCACCAGGACCTGCTCCTGCAGAGATACTTGAGCTTGCACTTCCTGGGTGTTCGATGGGAAAGTCTCCGAGGCTCCCTCCCTCTTTTGGTAAAATGGAACAGTATTAGTCACCTGCTTCAACGAGTACATGAAAGAAATAGCAGTGATAGAAAAAAATCAGATTTAAGTATATCAGTGTGCAAGCTTGCCACTGGAAGCTTTTTTTAAATAGGCATATTTTCCAGGTTAGTAACTCAGATCTGAGCATCGTGGGGTAAAACAGATTTATTTGGACTGTACTAATTTGGAATTTTGAGGGTTGTACCTGGGCTGGGCTCACATTCTTTCATCTGAATGAATGGTTTGCTAAGAAATCAGCAATGCTGGCAAGCCTGTGGAAAGGGATTTCACCTGGGCAGAAGCATTGCACTGTGCCGTGCAGCTGCAGGTGAACTACTTGTGTTGGTGAAAGCAGACCTGGAGGACCGGCTGCTTGGAACCGTTGTTAGTGCTCCAACTTCCTCATTAAGCCTAATCGTCAAGCCAGCTGCGTGTGATTAAAACTTTCCGCAGCCTTACCTTCTCATGGCCTAGACTTCTTGTCCAGTCTAGCAAGGTTTTGGTTGAAGTTTCAACATGAAACAATTTTCTCTGGAGGACTGAACAGTATCTTAATTGGTTTATGTCCAAAAGGATGAAGTTAAATAAAAGTCCCTTTGTCCTAAGAAGGGCCCTCTCCTTAGCTGGAGATGCCTCACTTTGATTCTTGACAGTGAGGTTACCCCAACGTCTGACCCACTGGCTTTCGCGAGGAGTGCATGAGGTGATGCCCTTGACACTAACGCTTTCACAGTGGCACACCGTGGGCTGTTCAGGAGGGCTGTCATCCTCATCGCCGTTGTTCTGGTGAAGTGCTCTGGTGCTATTTGTGTTTTTGTAAAATGGTTCAGAACTGACTGGACTCATCTTTCAGCCCGTCAGCAACCGCCCACCCTGTCCTGTTAATTTCCATTGTTTTCCCTTGTTGGCAACAGAATTAGCTACATCCATCTGATGGCCCACTTTCGAATGCACACTCAAATCAAGAACCAGACAGCTGCCCTCATTAGTGGATTCCGTTCCATCATCAAACCTGAGTGGACCCGGATGTTCTCGACCCCTGAGCTACAGCGACTCATCTCCGGGGACAATGCTGAGATCGATCTGGAAGATTTAAAGTAAGGAGTGAGTGCAGGGGCAAGGTTGACATTCTTAGGCCTCCAAGAAAGCAAGCTGCTCCTTTTTTTGGGTTCCTTTTGGAGAGTTTTCAGGGTCCTGTGTCCAGATGGACTCCTCTTCCCTGATCTCTGGGTGAGTTGCTTTGGAAGAAAAGCTCAAGCCCTTGTCTGCCTGGAGACTGAGAAGCAGAAGCAGAGCTTGAGGCCCGTGGGGCTCTCCAAAGTCCTAGGAAACAGTGGTGCAGGGTCTCCTGTCAGCTTCTGCTGGGAAACAACAGGGCCTACAATGCAACGCTCCACCCACTGAGCTTCCGAGACCTGGGGTTACTAAGGCATGAACTTCTGGCTTAAGAGAAGTTTGTCGTCACCCAGGCTGGCCAGAGTTTGCTGTGCCGCTTGTCTAAATTCCATGCCTGCCTGTGTCTGTAAGCGCCCATCAGAATGTGTGGTTGAGCCCTTGTCTGCATTGTTTTCAGGAAGCACACAGTGTACTACGGTGGTTTCCATGGAAGTCATAGGGTCATTATCTGGCTCTGGGATATCCTGGCCTCTGACTTCACGCCCGACGAGAGAGCCATGTTTCTGAAGGTATTTCATATGTTATCTATACGTGCAGGGGGCCAATTCCAGAAGTTGATTCTCGAGAGAACCAGTTTTTCCAACAGGGCCTCTTGTAGGCATAACAATCTCTGCCAACCTGTAGAGCTGCTTTCCCCCCTCTCCTAGAAAGAGGAAAGCCAGTCTCTCCTAACCACGTGGTCGGTGCCCCTCACAGCAGGCATATTTATGTCTCTGGGTGGCCTGTCACCACACCTGCAGTTCCTTGCCCTGTGCCTGCCCTTTTCTGTGGCTGCAGACAGCCCCAGAGCCAGGGGGAAGCCACAGAACTGTTGTACAGGAGAGAATGTGACTGTACTTTCTTTAAATATAGTGATAGCAGAGCCCCAAGGCTCTCCCTGCCCTCCAATTCTCCTCCTGTCCCAGGAGACTGACCACCCCTCCCTCCCTGGACCAGCTCTGGCTGGCAGCGGGCAGCAGGCCTGATCAGCCTGAACTGGGAGGGGCAGAGACTCACCTGCGTCTGTTTCCTCATCCTTCAAACGGGTCGAGTCACACAGCACCTGTGGTATGATTAGCTGAGCTTGGGTTCACAGAGGACACAGCATGGTGTGGAAATGCTTCTAAATAGGATCTGCTGCTGCGTTCTTTATGGGGGAAAATACAGGATATTAGGATAGTAATATATCTTGTCAATACGTTTTTGAAGCATGACACGTAAACTTTTTGGATCGTCTCAGGAATCTCACTACCATTTATGACACTGTTTAAATGGTAATATTTATTTTAAGGCCTGACACGGAGTTTTGAAGCACAGCTTGGTGTTGTAAGTTAGCAGGTCCCTAGATCCCCTGGAGAAGGGAGAGCGTTGGGCTAATGTTGAACTAAAGAAAGTGAACGGTTTCTTAGGATTTCCCTGTGCAGGTTAAGCACTTGGATTTCCAGGTGGGTAGATGCCTTTGTCCAGGCAGGACTAGTCATTTGGGGAAATGACACAGGAGCTACCATCTGGAAAATGCAAGGAAGTCCAAGAGTGTAGCAAGGAAGCGAGGCTGGCTGCCCACAGGCCCCACTTGGGGCATCTAGTACCTTGGTCTGCCCTCAGCCCCGCTGGCTCCTGAGGCCTCGTTTTTGTTAGCGTGCTGAGAGGAGATTAGGAACCAAGCTCACAGGGGCTGCCCGGCAACCCAGCAGGCCCGCGTGCACATCCTCTGCGTGGCGAAGAAGCCGAGCGGCAAGGCAGGTGCAGAGCGAGCACTCACGATTGGTGGTGTGCTGCGTGCCCCTGGCCTCGGCCCTCGGCTCAGGCCTCCCCCTGACACGCTTAGCGGGCCCACTGGCTCCTCCCTCTCCGGTGCTCTTGTCGAGTGGTCTCTCCCTGAGGACGGCGTCAGCCAGGCCCACTCTGACTCCCGGCCCTGCTTTGTGTTGCAGTTTGTGACCAGCTGCTCCAGGCCCCCGCTCCTGGGATTTGCCTACCTCAAGCCTCCCTTCTCCATCCGCTGTGTGGAAGTGTCGGATGATCAGGTACCGCTGCTGGGGAAGAGCCGGCCCCTCTTGGTGAGGTCTGCTGCACCTACCGGGTGGGGCGCTTGCCCAGTCGTATCCACAGGGCGGGCAGCCAGGCTCCTTGGCCGGTTGAGGAGGTGTCGCGGTTCTCGGGCCAGGAGCACAGGTGGGCCACTTTGGGGCCTCAGCTCTCCTGGAGGTCCCTTTCTCGTTACTCCCTCAGGGAAGAATACCTGCGGGGCATTTTTCGTAGCTGCTGGTACAGGTCTGAGTGGCAGTGTGGGAGAGGGGTTGGAACGTGGGCTCAGGAATTGGACAAGCGCAGGCTTCAACTCCTCCACCTGCCGGCTGTGCACACCTGGGTACGCGGCCTCATTCCCTCCTCTGCAGAGGGAAAGTGGACGCCCTAGGGGTTATTGTGTTCTGTGTGCCACAAGCCTGACCCATAGTGGGTGCTCAGTTGGTAGCCGTTGTTATAAGTTTCTCACCCCCACAAAAACCCAGTGGCCTCTGAGTGTAGCTGCATTCCACGATGCCACCGCCGTCACGCCGATCCCTCCTCTTAGGTGACACTAGACGACCCTCAGCCCCCTTACTTAAGGAAGGCTGCCCCAAGTTACGGTCTGTCGCAGGCCGCAGCGCTGGCAAGGTCAGGAAGGAGTTTGTTACCATAACACTTTTACAGTGTTCCGGCTCTTTGCACATTGGTTTACCGATGGTTAGCAGTTAAACCAGAGGTCCTGTTTCCAAGTGCTGCTTCATGCAGGCTTCCACCATGCAGGACCCCAGGAGCCAGGCTTGCTTCTGTGCAACCCACCTCTCCAGGCTGGTTGTCCTCCGCAGGGGGCCGGTCTAGCCCTCTCCCCAGGCGCCCCCCAACCTGAGGCTGTGGGGTGTGCTTGCAGGACACCGGCGACACCCTGGGCAGTGTCCTGCGTGGCTTCTTTACCATCCGCAAGCGGGAGCCAGGTGGCCGCCTGCCCACCTCCTCCACCTGCTTCAACCTGCTCAAGCTGCCCAACTACAGCAAGAAGAGCGTCCTGCGGGAGAAGCTGCGCTACGCCATCAGCATGAACACGGGCTTCGAGCTCTCCTAGCTCCCAGCCACCCTCAGCCCCAAGAGGCGGCGTTCCCCTGGGAGCACGACTGACGTGCCAGGGGATGGTGGCCCCCAGACCCTCTCTGTAGCCATGAGACGTCCCCTGTGGCCTCAAGAACTTTGGATGCACGTGACAAAGCTACCCAGCACTCTCCAGGGGACACTAACAGGAAGGGGGTGTTGAAAATAAACCTCCAGATTCCTCCAGCATTGGTCCTTCTTTCCTACTTTACAGTGGCCTGAAGCCGAGGCCTGTGATGGCAGTGGGGCTTCTGTTTTTGTTAATTTGGTGTTTTCGTGAGTTTCTGTTCCTTAACTTTCTGAGCGAGCCATGCATGAACAAGTCCCAGGAACACCAAGGCTCCGGAGTGGTTTTCAGGGCGTGGGCCTGAATGCATGAAGCCGACCTAACGTGAGATGCGTCCCTTTCGTTTCTGAAAACTCTTTACTCAGGTAAGGCCTCGCCAAGCCTCTATGCACCCTGCAGAGTCTCGGCCTCTGTCCCGTCCGCAGCAGCCTCTCTCCAGATAGCCAGGCCCACCTGCTCCCGGGCAGCAGAGGTGCCTGCTGGTGAGACCACGGAGCACTGGAAGCTCAGGGCGCTGCTCCCACCTCAGAGCCACGAGTTCCACTCGGCGGCGGTCCTCTGCCCATTCTCACCTCAGATGCTCCGGGTCCTCAGCAGCCGGGCTGCCAGGGAGCCCCTTCTGGCTTGCTCCCATCTTGGGCACTCACGTTGGCATCCGGGTTTGGGAGAAAAAAACCGTTGTTCCTTAAAAGCAGCTCCGTTTCCAAAAGGCACTAGCTGTTACTCGAAGCCTGCTGATTCCTGGGGAGGGCGGCTGCCTTTCCCCTGCTTGTTGGCCACACTTGTCGTCTAGTGAGGAACAAACACCAGCTGAAGGTACCTGTCCCATCTGGGCAGTGGCTTTACTCTGTAGATTGTAAAAGTCCCAAGAAACTTGGGTCTTGTTTCCCGTCCTTCCTCAGCACTGGGAACCCGGGAGCCCTTTGCACTGACGGAGGCTCATGAGGCTGAGGAGACTCACGGGCCCTCCGGGTTTTTTGGTTTGGGGTTTTTCACTTTGTTTTCTCTTCCAACCCATTGCACTCTTCTGCCGTCATTCTTCACCTTATCACGAGAACTGTACTCTAGATCCAGGGAATTGAGGCAGAAGCCATGTTATTGTTCTGTGTGGACAGCCACCCACCTCGCCCACGTCACCACACTCCTGGTGCATCCCCACCAGCCAGATTGAAGCCAGACTAGAGGCCAGGAGCTGGCAGAGGACTCGCAGCTCTCTTCCACATAGCAAAACACCTTCCAGAAAGAACCTTCCATGTTGGTGGCAAAGCGGGCAGGACCTGTCTCCATGGCCTCCGGCAGAGGGTTTCAGCCAGGTGCCGGCATCCTGCCCAGGCTCACGTTTGGCCATGTTAGAGCCCCAGGCTTCTACAAAACAGAGCACGTGTTTTACCTTGATGGGGAGACGGCAAAGAATTTAAAGACAGATAGGAATTTATTACTCTTATTATTATTAAGATTTGTCAGTAATCTCCAATTCTGTGGACTTGCCATTATCTTTAAACACTCGATTCCTTGGAAAGTTCCTTTTAAACGTGCGTGTTGTGCTCTGGGCGGGTGGGTACATTTATGCTGGTGCCTAAAGGATTGTCAACCTGCACTAAGAGGTTTGATTCTTACTTCCTAGGGGTCTGCCAGTGTGGGATGCAGAGAGAGTGGGTCCCTAAGCACCAGCACCGACTTTGTTCTGACGAGGAGGGGTAGTTTGTAGTTTCATTGAACTTCAGCAGCTGGAAGTATTGCACTATCTGAAACCCTGAGTCTGTACTTCTCTAGGTGGTGTTCACAGGCACCTCGATGGCTCTTGATGGCTCTAAAAAGTTGTGGGGTGGAGCTTGTTTTCATAGATAACTTCGGATTAAAACGACAAAAGCTTTATTAAATTTGTACTCAGCACACAGTGGCTTTGTTCTGCTTTTTATGTCGGGAAGGAGCACTTTGCAACCGAGTGCCTGGAGAGCTCAGGATGGGGCATCTGGGGCTTAAAGGGCGTGCAGGCTTCCACAGCGGGAAGAAGACACAGAGGAGGATGCAGCAGACAGCCGAGGCTCACTGCCTCACCGGGGTCAACAGTGCTGGACAGTGTGTCACCTTTCAGGTAAAGCTAAAGCCCCCTTAGGCACCCTGCATGCTCCCCATCCTTCTCACGCATTTCCCAGAGGCAGCCACCACCCTGGATTACATGCCTTCCCCGGTAACGTAAAATGGTGACAGGTGTTTATTGAAAAAAATCCAGATAATTCAGAAGCGCTCAAAGTAAGATTTTCCAGCTAATCTGGGTGTATTCGGCTTTCCTCCATTACTGAGGGTCGCATTTGCAGGACACGCCAGCCCTGTCTCTTCCTGTTACACAAGACCAGGTTTACACCCAGCAGAAAGCCCATCTCAACCCTGCCAGTCTTTCCAGCTCCTCCCGTGAGTTTTTGCTGCCTCCCCTGGCCTGGGGGCACCTGAGGATCTGAGCATCAGGAGAGAGGTCTTGAAAGCCTGCCAGTTGGGCCACCTGGGCTCCCAAGAGGAATTCGCATATGCCAGGCTCCCTTCCACAGAGCATTTATATCCTGCAAAGGAAAAACATTCTGCAGAGTCCCCCAAATCCATCAGTGGCCTCCAGTGTGGGACACGCCCACCTAAAAAACTAAAGCCTTATCCTGTGATATTTTGGCTTTTAATTACAAGTTAGTACTGCAAACAGAAAGTTTGTCTTTATAACTAGGAAAAACAAGTGGGTGTTTTCCATTACTATTAAAATGAGGACAATTCAATACACTGATAGAACTTGCAGGTGCCTAAGAATATTTAGGTGGGACGCAGTTTGAGGAACACAGGTCACCACTGTTTCTGACTCCAGCAAAGCCATCAGCCTATGTTTGTGCTGCTGATGTAGCCGATACACGCTGCTAACTGTGAGAGGTACGGACAGGCAGGTTGTCTCTAAGCCTGGCTAACGTGTAGACCCAGGGCCCCCCTTAGGCTGAAGTCTTATTTCCTGGAAATGTCTTAAATTGATAAGAGCTGGTGGAGAACTGTGGAAAGTGTTCATTCGGTGTCTTTTCCAAGAAACAGAGGCACGTGTGCAAACCCGGTCCCTCACTTCCTGCTCTAATTCTCATGGGGTGGCCTGGCTGTGTGCGTTTCCGGGAGTCCTGGTGCCACCACGGGGGCGGCCAGAGTTCAGTGGCATGATGTGCACCCAGCATGAGTCAGCACTTAGATGTCAGCCCTCTTCCTGCCCTTCCTCACCTTTCACGTTGCGAAACCCGGGCTGCCCCCGCACCTGGTCGTCGGGCTCTGGCCAGGCTTCCAGAGTAGCTTCTGGTGCCACCGACAGTCACAGCAGGGTGAAGAGAGATGACACGGAGGAGGGTCCTCTGTGATCTCTGTGGAGCTTCTGCGGAGTGGGGAGAAGCACACGCCCTCCTCTGCACTGCCTGCGGCGCAGGGCTGAGCAGGAAAGGACACAAGCAAGAGCACGTCAGCCAGAGGATCCTGGCCCAGGTGTTCCCAGGCTTGTGCCCCCCATCCCCCAACCAACACACACACACACAGCCACACACCTACACAGTGTGACACTTGAGTAACACTGAGAAGGGGCTGCTCTGAGGCCCAGACGGGATCCACGGTTTTCTCCAGCCTTTGGAGCATGGAGTCAGAATGAAGCAGCCTCTCATTATAATCATCGTGATGGTTAACATTTGTTACAAGCATGTGCTTAACAGGTGGCAGCTGACTCCCGAGCCTGGTGGAGTGCAGCTCTAACTGAGGACGCTAGAGAGAGCAAGGGCTTCGGAGCATCTGGAACTGGGTTCGCGTTCCAGCTCTGCCTCCCGCCAGCTGGGAGGCTGTGGGCGAGGCCCCTCGCTTCCCCGGGCTTCCATTAAGTAGGCGAGCGGCACTCACCGTGCCACGGAGGAGTCGGAGTCAGCGGCCGCAGGACCCCAAGGAGCTGGGCTCCACCACGCTCAGCCCAGCCCCAGGGGTGCAGGTCCTCCTCTGCCGGAGCCCTGGCGGAGCTCTGCGCTTCCCCGCGCACTCAGGCCAGGCATCTCCCCAACCCAGGACTCACAGCTGCATTCCCTTTGTGGTTTTCTCACCTCTTGGAAATTTGGGGGTACTGGGGTGGGTCTGTCAGTTTACAGACCCTACACCTAGAAGCCAGACTGCAGGGATCCCCCCAGCGACAGCAGAAGACACCCCACTGCAGCTGGGCCGCAGAGGAAGGCAAAGCAGAGCGTCGAAAACACGTGCACACGAGTCCCCAGGGAGATGCTGCTTCAGCTGGTCTGGCTGGGGCACTGCGCCACAGACCACGCAGAGGAGCAAGGGCTGGAGTGTCGTCCGCTAAGCCCCAGTGATCAGGCTAAGACCCTGGACTTGGCATCAAAAGCTGAGTGACCCTGAGTAAGTTTCCAGCTCCCTGAACCTTCTTTCCTCATCAGTAAAATCACCCCAGCGATGGTAGTATCTGTCCTGAGAACCTCACGAACAGCTGGGTGGAAACATGTACTGTGGGGTCACACACGGGTGCCAGGCCCATCCCGGCCGCTCATCGGCTGCAGGAGCTTGGACCACCTCCGCCAACCTCTCTCTTCTTATCCAAGAACTGGGCATAGTGAGTCGTGCCTTAAAGAGCATCGTCATGGTAACAAGTAGTGTGCGGGGGTCAAAGAGGAGGGGTCACATCTGTTTAGGCAGGAGGGGGCCGTAAAGGAGGTGTTCTTTCATTTTCACTTAGAAAGAGGGTTTCCACTTCAGAGATGGGAAGGGAGGTATTTGGGGCAGAGGAAGCAGCCAGACAGAAGGCGTGAAGGTGGTGGACAGTGGGAACTAGAACACATCTATCACCAAGGACGGGAGTGGGAGCGTCCTACCGTAAGTGTAGTGATGGTAGCTGCCATCCCTAGGCCTTCGCCCGAGCCCAGCACTGCGCTCAGCCCTCTGCACGAGCGGTCACGTCCAATCCCCCCGGGGACCCTGGGCCCCGGGAGTGTAACTGGTCTGCTTTGCAGTGAGGACACAGGTTCAGAGAGCTGGGTTCGCTTGCATGAGGCCACACAGCTCAGAAGTGCCAGAAGCGAGATTTGGCCCTGCGTCTGTGAGACCACGGAGGTCCCCCTTCCACCACTACTAGCACTGCCGCCAAGGGGAATGGTCTGTGCAGGACACCCCGTGCCGTGAGGGGCGCTGGAGGTGGCGAAGCCTAGGGGGCTGGAAGTCACTGGGTGCAAACAGACCCAGGGGGGCTGCAGGGGAGGGGCTTCCAGGGGAGGCCGGGGAGCCTGAAGTTAGAGGCAGAAAGAGACAGGTCGGGGAGACACAGTGACACTTTGTCCTCTTGACAGTTTGGGCTGCTCTGGACACCTATCCCAGACGTCAGGCTCCATGGTCCTTTCTCTTTCCCTCTGGGCCTGGCCCCACTGACTCCCCACCCTGCTTGTGGCCCACCCAGGGACGCTGTCCAGGGAAGGGACCATCACCCAAGTGGGGCAGTGCAGGGCCGCATGGAGTCTGCTGTGCAGCGTGGATGGTTTGGTCACCGTTACAATGGTGCCAGATGGGCCTGGCAGCTGGCAGGTGTCCCAGCCAGGAGCTGGCCCAGGAAGCCATACTGCCAGGGAGCTCAGGCTCATGTCCATTCATCTAACAGATAGCCAGGACCTACTATGCTCTGGGCTGGGCTCGGTGCTGGAGGTACAGAGAGAAGAATGTGGGCACCACCCTGCCCCGCAGAGCTCGATATGGGGTGGAGGAAGAGGCGTAACTAATCCAAGGAGGACGTGTGTGAGCACATACGGTCATCACTTATCTCCAGTGTGGTGCTGCTAGGATGCTCACTTCACAGCTGGGAAAACTGAGGTTCAGAGATGATAAGCCCCTTGTCCGATGTCTCAGCATCAGTAAACGGCAGAGCCAAGGTTTGAACCCAGGTCTGCCACGCTCCAGAGCCCTTACCTGGTTTGAGCAGGCAGAAGAGGGCGTGGGAGAGCCTTCTAGCCAAGGGGCCAAGCTTGAAGGAAGCCCCAGGGGCTGTTCTGTCCCTTGTCCAGAGCCCGCTGTGTCTGCTGCTGTCCCCTGTCCCACCTACCCTCTTGGGGGCTGAAGGAAACAGACAAAATTGCGCCCACTTTGCAAATAAGGCCCTGCAGCACTTCTAAGGACTTGCTGAGGACCCCAGAGCTCAGTCTCCCTGAGTCCTGGCAAAACCAGGAGAAGTGACAGTTTGCACAGCCGCGCAGGTCCCCAGCTAAAGAGCTAAAAGGCAGGGTTGGATTTGGGAGTGTACCTGATAAGGGGTGCCCTGTCCTGTCATATTGTCACTCCCCCGGCCCCTCGCACAGGTTGGGGGCTGTGCCTGTCTGACCCTCCAGTGTATTCCATTGCAGCTTTAGCCTCACACATTCCTCCCTCCTAACAGAAGTTTATTAAGACACCCCGTCATAGAACTACCCCTGCTTCCTTGAACCTTCCCCAAAGGACCTGACACAAGCCCAAATCCTCTAGGTCCTTTCTAACACCCTGTTCCTGAAACACCCCGTGGCTCTCTGTATTGTGTGCTCTCTCATTGCAACAGGACAGTTGATCCAACTTTGCTCAACTACGGGTGTGGGTGTGTTCTTAGAGGTCTTTAGCTGGAGATCACTGTAAATTGGAGACCCAAAAATGTCTCCCTGAACAAAGCGTTTGCCTTAACTAAATGTAGCACTGCTGGCTTTAATCTTAACTTTGCATGTTTTAATGTGAAATGTAATTACAGATTCTACATTCTGCTGGTGAGCTCATCAGGGCTGACTGATCAATTAGTCGGACTTACAAGTGTTTGGGTCTCAAAGATCTCTGACCCTGGTGTGTCGTCTCAAAGCCCTGAGAAATCCCTGTCCTGCTGGTTTGCTCTCTTGGGGAGTTGTAGGGTTAGGAGAACCCTTAGGCAGCCTGAAGACCCATACCTACCTCTGAGGTCCCCACCCTTTTGAAATCTGCGAGGGATTTGGCCCAGGAATTCAGAAACGTCAAATACACATTATTTATTGCATTACCTCCGTAGGAAGCCATGGCAGATATCACTAATGGATTACCAAACTCCTTCCTGCTGAATCGGATCCAGCTTCAGGCTCCTTACCACAGCCCTTTAGGCAGCCACTACCAATCAGTTGGAATTGGCATTTCTTGCCCATCCCTGGGATAAGCCCTGTCTCAGCAGAACAGAGTTGGACAAGGAAGCTGGATTCTGATCTAGGAAGCCCGGGTTGAGTGCTGGTTTTTCCACTTGCTGACTACGGCACATAGGATTCATTACTCTACCCGATGGGGCGCCAGTTTGTCCAGGTAAAGTTAGGGTGATAATCCAGAACAAAAATCCACATAAAATAATTAAATGTGAAAGTCCACTGTCTACTCTCAAATTCTGTACAAGTTAAAGATGCAGCAGCCAACAGAGGACAAAGAAGGATGCCAGCATCCTCAACACCCTGTGAAAAGCTGGTGTGATTACCCGCCGGGGGCACTTCAGTGGCGCTGCGATCATTTTTCTTCCCTCAGCTGTTGTCCTAGAATGGAAGCCAAGCGTCCACATTCAGGCTGCACAGGGGCTGCACTCCAAACAGCCAGCTGTCTCCAATAGAACGGACGCAGGGCACACTCACCAGGCTTCTAGTTTTTGGAGGGGCCCCGTGGCTTTGGCTGCTGGTGGGCGCCCTCCCCTTGGGCTGTTCTCTTGGCTCCAGACATCCCAAGGGAGGTAGATGATTTATTATAGGCAGGGAAAGCAGTTGTCAAGTTTCTTTACACTTTTTCAATCATGTTTATTATACAAGTACGCCTCTGTCAAATCTAACCCAAATACATTGTAAAAAAAAAAATAGGAAATCCAAACAAAAATGTAAGTAGAAACCACCCAGTAATCCCACGATTTAGAGATAAGCATTATTAACATATAGAATGAATCCTTGCATCTTTTTTCTATGGTATATTTACACTCATGTTTCTTTTACAGGATTTGGATCATTCTATACCTACCATTTTATAATTTGGGGGTTTTTTCCCCACTTAATAGATTGTGAACACTTTTGCATAGTAATAAATATATAGGCACCATCATTTTCAGTAGCTTTATGATATTTCCTACAGTCCCTTATTGTTAAATATTTCTTCTTTAATAATAAGCTCCCTGTTGTTGGACATTTGTTTCCAGTTTTTCTCTGTAATGAGCAGCATGCACTGAAAAAAAAAAAAGAAACCCTATGACTCCACTGATGAATCTATTTCCTTCCGAGAAATTCTCAGACACGGAATTGCTGGGTCAGAAGGACGCACATTTCCAGGACTTGGATAGACATTGCCAGATTGCCCTCCTGAGAGGTCGTACCTAACTCCACCCACCACAGTGGAGTCAACGTTTCTCTCTCCCCGCTGACACCTGCAGGTGGAGATCCACAGGCTTAGAACTGGCTCCAGCTGCCAGTCCTGCAGCCGGACCCCTGAGGGCTGCAGGAATCAAGTTCCTCCCCTTCCATGCCCCACCCCAAAGCGCCTGAGAGAGCCCGTCTGCCAGGCAAGGCCAGGGTCCCGATGCCACCCGGTGCGGCCACCCGCAGGCCCTGACCTCCTCCCCTTCCACGTAGGCGCCTGCTGTCTCTCCTTGAGGCCTGTAGCCCACACCTCGTGACAGGACAGCGAGCTTCTGAGTTATCGGCAGCCTTATTTCCCTCTACAGCTCCTACGGAGTTAACAGATGTACACACGTCTGAGGCAGTCATGCGGCAAGAGACTTTGGGGCCAATCCTTCCCGTTTTGACAGTGTGTAATCGAGGTGAAGCCATAAATTTTATAAACAAGAATAAACGACCCTCAGCAACATATGTCTGCTCGACCCTTCCAAGGTGATCATAAATAAAGGCACCTGCTCACTGGGGAGGGATGTGGGCACTGCAGATGGCCAAAGACTAGGGCCAAGGGTTTGTGCCTTGGGAGCAGCTGGTGCGGGGAGGACCCCCAGGTCCTGGGTCAGCTGGACGCCTTTCTGCCATTTATTCAATCCCTTCCCCAGGCTGCCTTTGCCCTGGTGCACGCTGAGCTGGCCTGCTGCTCACCCTTCCTCAGAGAGGTAGCTTGTAGGGGGCTCCTCCCGGGTTTAGGTCCCCTCGTCTCCTCCTCTGCCCCAGTTATTTGTCAATCATGTCCTCTGTCCCAAGAGGACCCCTTGTGGGAATCCGAAGACCAGGTTCTGCTGCTGCCCGCGGGGAGTCCTCGGGCACTGATCCCTTTTGGCTCTCGCTGTTCTGTGACCGGGTCACCCTCCCTTTCACTTCGGCCTGTTGCTCCTGGAGCCACATCCCCCTGGGCTGGCCTGGCCCAGGACCCTCTGGAGGCCCCCATCTCCCACCGGCTCGGGAAGTCTTAACAAACCAGAGGTGCTACTCCCGGTCCTGTGCGCTCCACCTGGGCCTGAGCTATTTGAAAGTGCTTTGAAAAAGGATAAAACCTGATTCAAAAGTAGCTACATTTTATTTTTGTTGAGCTGCTGCCGTGTGCCAGGCCCATGGACATATTTCCTGAACCCTTGGAAGTTGGTATCATTGTCCCCAAAAATAAAAGCTGAAGATTGAGGTTCAGAGTGGTTACAGATTCCCTCAAGGTGACTCAGCTAGGAAGTGACAGAGCTGGAACTTGATTTCAAATAATAATAATCAAAATAATAATAGCTAACATGAGACGGGGGAGCATGCTAAGCCTTTTAAACATTGCCTCATTAAACTCTCCCAGTGGTCCTGTGGGGTGGATGTGATTTTCATTCCCATTTTACAGTTGAAGAAGCAAGTCCAAGGAAGACGGAACGACTTGCCCAGAGTCGTGATGCTAGGAAGTAACAGAGCTGGTCTTGGACCCAAGTCTGCCTGAAGCTGACGCTCATGCCGAGCGTTTGACTGTTCTCACACCACAAGCCTGGGGCTCCGCAGAGCCAGCAATGAGGCCGCTGGAGCAGGCAGCCCTCTGCACGGATTCACTCCTGAAGTGGGTGCTGCACTGGAGAACTGAAAGCAGAGGTTCTTCCCCGGGGCTTCCACGGGTTGTACGCAGACTGCTGTATCTACTCAAAGAACTTCTCTTGTCCTTTGCAGATGTTTCACTACGGTGGGAGAGGATGCACAGAGCCTTCATCAGAAGTTTGTGAATCTGTGGAGTGGGAGAGCACCGGGACACCCCCAAAGTTCCTGGGTGTCCCCCAACCTTCCAAATCCTGGTGTCCCCAACCAGCTCATCTCCTGCCTCTGCTTGCGCCCAAGCACTGTCTTCCACGATGGACTCCAGAGAAGAAAAGTGACAGGTCAAGGCAAATGAACACTGCACCCTGGCTGGGCTGCAAAGGGGGCATCAGTCCTCTCCCTAAGCAAGGTGGGACCAGCCTGGGTCCAGTATCAGCAGTGGGCCTGTTCTGAAGGGAGGGGTGAGCCACAAATCCTCCCAAGGCACTGATTTATGTAGCATTCATGTGGAATTTATTACACAAAGGATTTTATTCAATTAAACTTGAAATGTGTCTGGATTCTTAAAGGTTCGGTAATGATAACTGGGACAGAGGGATCATAAAACTGTATGGGTTGTCGGAGGAAGGTGTGAGGGTGGGGTGGGGGGAGATGAGGGTGACATTGCAGCTGATGGGCATTTGGTACCGGGGACGTTTGTCATTGGGATGCGTTACAAGTTCGGGTTATGAAAATTACTCGGTGAAAAATGCACATTAACAATAGCCATGAAGTATCAGTTAAGGGAAAGTAGGTTGAGAAATGAGACAGCAGAATCTATTAGTGCCTGACATTGTTCTCAGCGGCCCAGGGCGTGATTAAAATGACTGTCAAGTGGCAGTGGGGGGAGGAGCACTGGGCCGGGAGTCACAGGGCTGTGTCCCTGGCCCACATCTTGGCACTGACTCCCTGACACAAGCTGGTTTGCAAGTCTGTTTCCCCCCTCCTGCCATAGACAGTGCCTCCCTCGGGGTTGCTGTGAGGTTTCAATGTGATGATGTTTGTGGAGCCCCTGGCCTGGGGCCTGGCATGTCAAGCCCTTCGACAATGCTGGCTGGTGGGCTTCTCCCCGCTGGAATATCCAACCACCTCTGACTGTGGCCCTAAATACGATCCTGAGAGCCAGACCTGGACCAGCGAGAGGCAGGTGGAGCACTTTCTTGGGTGCAAAATGTATGGGAGCACCCCCAAATCCAGGAAGCGAGAGAAATAACTTTCGTGCAATGTTTTTTACAGAATTTATTCCACTGCAGTATTTTTTTTTGATGTGGACCATTTTTAAAATCTTTATTGAATTTGTTACAATATTGCTTCTGTTTTATGTTTTTGGTTTTTTTGGTCGCAAGGTATTTGGGACCTTAGCTCCCTGACCAGGGATTGAACCCACACCCCCTGCACTGGAAGGTGAAGTCTTAACCGCTGGACCACCAGGGAAGTCCCTCACCACGATATTTTTAAAAATCAAATTTATGCAAAAACAAAATCTATGATCGACAAGGTATCACCATTATATATAAAAACAGCCTGCCATTTCTCTCCCGACCTGCGTTGCTGTGTGATGCGGACGACCATTTACAAGGGTTGACAGCGGTTGCAGACGGGCTTTATATACAGTCATGTGTTTCGATCATGGAGTTTTCATTAACTTTTCCCACTGGGTTCGAGACCGAGGAGGATGTTTTGCTAAGTGTACGGGGGTGAACACATTTTTCCTTTTGCTTCCAGCTCCCACATGGCTATGTAAGGTACAGCAGAGGAGCGAAAGTTTCAAACTGACCCGTCCCCTGGGCGAGCCCTTCCCCAGCAGGCCACCTCAGTTCTTCCCAGGTCAGTGGCACAGGACATGCCTGCACCTGCATGTTTCTCAGGGGTGTTTGTTTCTCGGGGATGTTTGCTGGTGGAAGGGATGATGCAGGGGGCGTGGGACCTGGGAACCCAGAGTTACCATCTGGCCTGCGACAGCCCCTCCCAGCAAGGGCTGCTGGGGAGGGGATATGGCTACAGGAAAAGGCCTTGTTTCAGAGATCATCCCATGAGGACGCTGTGTCTACTCAAAGAACTCCTCTTGTCCTTTGCAGATGTTTCACTACAGTGGGGCATGTGGGACTTTTTATTATGTACGTCCTGCTCCTTCCAGGAAGATGCTAAGGTGTGGGCAGGACCTAGTCACTTGGATTTGCTGTGAGCTCTTGGAACATAACCCTCCCCGGTCCAGCCTGAGTGCCTGCCCGACAGTGAACCACCTTTAGCCTGTTCTGTAATGTTCTCAGTTCTGTTCACACAGGCCGAGTGCCCACCATGCACCAGACCTGGCGCCAACTGCTGGCCGGGGCCACTTCCTGGAGGGTTTTCACTTTCACTCACGGTCACCTGCACCTCAGCCACTTTGCCCAAGTCCAGGAACGAAAGGACCCAGAAGGGACGAGATAATGATGTTCCTCCAGCAAAATGAGCAGGTAAGCTGGTTAAGAACGAAAGCAAAGCTAGCACAAAACTCATCATTTTAATGTTTCCTAACTGCTGGCAAGGATGGCTGGAGGGACCAGACTTCCGAGCTTCAGGCTATTAAATGATGGCTGGATGGAGTTCACTGGGCGTTTCCGCCCTGACAGTTAGTGAGAGCCTGCCCTTCCCAAGTTGTTTCCTGCAATTAGTGGCGTGGAGTCTTCAGGTTCTCAGGGCTGCCTCCTCACCCTTCATAAATATCCCCCTTCCCAAGGACACACCTGGCACTGGTAGGGTCACTTCCTAGCGGGAGGGAGCAGCAGTGACAACTGAAATAAAATACAGCTGTGGCCCGGATCTCAGAGGCATAAACCAGCCAAGTGCAACATCAGAGAAGTAGGTCTGGTCTGCGTCAGCCTCGCTGGAAACATAAGAGCTTATAGTCTGAAGCTGAACGCAGTTCATCTCTGACCCTGGACGCCACCTGCCCGGGCAGGACATGCCCTCATTAAAGTGGTGGTGTTCCTCTCCCCGGGATGTCCGTCGCTTGATGGAGGAAGGCTCCCCTTTAGAGAAGATTCTCCAGGCTGCACCCTCGCCACACATGCACTTCAGTCCAAGTGTTTCCGAGGCCTCGCCTGTCAGTCTGCAGCCGTCCTTCCCCCTTGGTGAGTGGCTCAGAGGTGACCAAACTCCAAATCCTGTCTGCCTTACTCTTTATAAATGTGACATTTTAAAGCCCCTTTGGCACAGGTAAATCACAATTACATTTCCAAGGGCCTCTGGTACCATTCCAAATGAGCTGCCAGTGGAGGGCATCCGTCTCTCTCTCTCTCTCTCTCACATACCCACACACACACCCCCACACACACCCCCTCAAGCCTTTCCCACTTTTATTCTTTTTTGGAAGGCTGAGGAGAGCCCAGGGGAGGGGGCTAGAATTCTCCACCGGCCTCAGCTCCTGAAGGAAGTGGGGGGCCCTGAGACGAAGCGGAGTCTGGACAAAAGACCAGCTTCTGGCCCCTCTGGGTGAGATCTTCAGGAATCAGGACACGAGGGCAAAGTCTTCCTTCCCCGTTGTCACTGTGGAGGAGTCTGCAAAGCTCCCTTTTTCCATTATTTCCAAGCGCCTCAGGCATGGACCAACAAGTCATTTTTCTTGTATATTTTTTCTGGATTCCCCTCCTTCATGGCTGTGTATCTGGCTAACGTGAAGAGATAGTCACTGAGTCTGGAGGGGCAGAAGAAGGCAAATGGAATGATCTGAAATGAGAGATCAATGCTAACAGGGTCCTCCCTATATTAGCCTTCTAGGAGGAAATATCAGTCACGTGCCCCAGGAGCATCGGGTGGGACAGCGGGTGCTCAGCCAACCTGGGCTTGATGGATGGCGCTCCAGGCCAGCTTCCTGAGAGCCCAGCGCCCGACTCTGGCGCCAGGGCTGGGGTGGTTCCTGCAGGATGAGGCCACTACCCTGTCTGACCTCACAGGGCTGGTGACTTTGGACCACTCCCTGGTTTCTGCACCTTCCAGTGAACAGGACTGGTGCCTCCCAAACTGGGGTATGCACACAAGTCAACTGGGGATCCTGGTGACATGCAGATCAGATTCTGATTCGGGAGGACTGGCTGGGCCAGGCCCAGGATTTGGCAGGTCTAAACTGTGCCCAGGTGATTCTGGTGCTGCTGGTCTACTCTTTGAGTAGAGGGAGCCTAGAGCAGGCTTCTCAACCTCGGCACTAGTGACATTCAGGATCATTCCTTGTGGCTGGGTGATTCTTCGTGGCAGGAAGAGGGAGCTGTTGTGTGCATCGTAGGACACTGGGCAGCACCCCAGCCCCCAACCACTTGTCTCCAGACATTGCCAGACATCCTGGTTGAGAAGCACTGGCCTGGAATGTTCTAGTGGGCTAGACCCTAGTGCCCCCCTCCCTTCTTTCTTTGACCCGGCGGTGATGGGGCCTCTGGGCAGGGCTGGGTGGGGAGGGAAACAGGAGAGGCAGCAGCGAGCCTGCCCCTCAGCGGCTGGCAGTTAGCTTGCGAAGCTGCCCTGTGCTCTCCCTTGTTTCCGGGCCGCACTGACCCCACCCTCCTCTTCTCTCCCTGCCCCAACCCTACCCCGAGGCCAGCTCCATGCCAGGTCCTGCTGGAACCTTCCCTGACCCGTGCCCCGTCCTGGACCCATGCCCCCCTCCTCCTGATGCCTGGCTGTCTCTCTGGGAGTGTGGTGGGGGACTGGGCAGTGGAAGAGACTCCGCTCTGGGTGATCACCCCCGCCACAGAGCTGTCATATGCTGGTTCCTCATCTGTGCGGTGATGCCTTCCTTGCTAAGAGAACGAACTGGCTCAGCCCACACAACCTACATGGCTGGAAGGCTCCCCAGGATCACTACTGTGACATGAACAGAACGGTCCTCACTCCCCTCCCAGGAGGAAAGGAGCTGGTCAGGACCATCAAAGCCCAGGCCATGTCCTGGGGGAGGAGTGACCACATCAAGGGGCCAGACCCTGGCTGTGAGGTCACTTTCTGGACCCCAGGCAGCTCCTGGGGTCCCTCAGCTCTCAGCCCTGGCCTGGCCCACGCTGGAGCCGCACGAGCAAGGGCTGGAGCCACGAAGTGCCTACTTTTTCAGAAAGACTCTCCAGATCCCATCTGAGTACCTGTTTAAGAACTTGGCCACGTTTGCATCCGTCTCACCGGACTGGACAAGAGGCACCACGCTAGAAGGGGAGGAAACACAGCATCACACTACGTTATAGGCTCAACACGCTTGGGGGCAGGAGCTGCGTCTTGAGTCAGCATTTCACTCCCGCTGCAGCCTCGCCAGTCTGTGTGCAGACACGCTAGATGGTGCTGTCTGCTGAGCGCTAGTGAGCTGGCAGCCCCTCCATGCACGTCGCCTCTGCTACGTAACTCCTGCTGGGAGGTGCTCGCCCCAAACCGAGGCCCCAGGTTTGTGTCTCCTGCCCCAGGGGCTTTGTCACCTGGGCACGGGTTTGGTGTCCTCAGGACCCCCCGCCCCCGACCCCTGCTCGGCCATTCCCTGATGTTGGGCCTTTGGGTTGTTTCCAGTTTTTTGCTACTATGAGCACTGCTGATGTGGACAGCTTTGTACAAATGACTTTTTTCCTTTTGAAGCTGAAGCTCTTTTGTGACTCGGCATCACTTTAGGAACCACTTGGCCCCAAGGGCCTTTCATGAAAAGTGAAATCTTTATGACATGGGGCTATGGACAGAGCTCAGGTATGGAGCAGACACACCTGGGCTCAAATCCAGACTCTGCCATGGACCACCCAGGTGACCCTGGCCACGGTGTCACCTCTGAGCCCCAGCGTCCTGACTCCAGTAGAGTGGGGGCTGCCACCACCTCTCTCCCAAGGTTACCACAAGGAATCAATGAAATAATGGACACAAAGTGCCCAGCACGGTCCTGCCGGTTATATAAAGCAGGGCTTTATTCCCATTTCTCTGTAAAGCCGGCTGGCAGCCTGGCCTATGAGTGGTGTAAATGGAGATGTTGCAATTACTTTTTTTTTATTTTTTATTTTTTTGCGGTACGTGGGCCTCTCACTGTTGTGGCCTCTCCCGTTGCAGAGCACAGGCTCGGGACGTGCAGGCTCAGTGGCCATGGCTCATGGGCCCAGCCACTCCGCGGCATGTGGGATCTTCCTGGACCGGGGCACGAACCCGTGTCCCCTGCATCGGCAGGCGGACGCTCAACCACTGCGCCACCAGGGAAGCCCCGCAATTACTCTTTTAAAGTTTCCTTGAAAAGGCAGTCAGGAGCTTCTGGCGGGGGGCGGGGGGGGTGTCCCTCCTCTCCTGACTCTGAGTTGGGGGATTGGGGTAGCAGGTGGCTGGTCTGGGCCCTTCTTCACCCAGCAGCCAGCATGTCATCTCATGGCCTAAAACCCATCAATGGCTCGCAGGATAAAGGCTCTCAGGATAAATGCAGAGCTCTCGGGGCACATGAGGCCCTGCCCGGCCTGGCCTCAGCTCAGCCTCTAGCCTCGTCATGCCTCACGCCCCTCACTCTGGACCAGACACTCGGCATCCTTTGTGTGTGTTCCATGCAGACTGCCGCCTCTGCCCTTGCTGTCCCCTCACCCTGGGCACTCTGTCCACTGTGCCCCCAGTACCCCCCATGCCCAGTCCCAGGCTGGGTCACTCTGGTGCCAAGTACCCTCCCTCACAGCTCTTATCATGGTGTGGAGCTTTTCAATCCTTTCTGCTCAGCTGAGACCACCCCCACCATTTAAACTAACCCCAGGAACAGGGAGTCCTCACTGAATACACACCTGAATTTCATACCATGTGAGTGTTATTATAATTACAAATAATCACCTAGACCCGCTGGGCCTCCCCCTCCCCTTTCCTGGAGCTGCCTGCTTCTGCACAAGCTCTGATCCCGACGTGCTGTTCCGCCCCCACCCCACCACCCCTGTCAGGATCACTGTCTCTCTGCCCAGGCCCCGCTCCCTCGGCCCCGCACCCCAGTACCGTCTCTCAGCTCGGCGGCACACGGCCCGACAGAGATGCAGTGCGGAGCTGCTCTTGCCTCCGGACTGAAAGGAGAAAGCAGGTGTTGGCTGGAAGGGCAGGGGGAGGGTGCCCACTACAGGCAGGGAGCCTGGATGGATGGAGGGACACACAGGCCCCGCCCACAACAGGCAGTGTTCTGTCTCCAGGGGCCCTGCCAGGGCACACCCACTGGGTACCCCTCTCCAAAGCAGGCAGGACTGGGGAGGGAGCCGTGACGGTCTGGAGGGGACTTGGGGGCTGGGGGAAAGCTTCTGTCACTGTTAAAAATTAAAAGGGGGGAGGCTGAATCCCTGCCTGTGTGTTTTGGTCAACACACTGGCCCGCAGCCACCCCCAGGTTGAGGCAGCCCAGTACCTACAGGCAGGATGAAAGCCGTGAGCGGGGGCAGCTGGCTGGAGTATCTGTCGATCCACTGCTCCAGCTCCAGGATGGGCCCTGCCTCGAACGTGGCATGTTCTGTGGAGCCAAGGAGAAGGACATGGCCGTGAGGCCACTGCCCCAGGATCACAAGGAGCCCACCCCGTCCCTTCTGCCTGGGTGCCCGCCAACCATTCCCCTGGCTCAGAGGGACCCTCCGTCTCAGGCTGCACAGGCCAGGTTGACAGGGGTCCCAGATGACACCCAGGACAGAATCATTCCCCCTGCCCACGGGCCCAGGCCCCCCGGGGCCCTCTGAGCACACACAGTGGGTTCAGGGAGAGAATTACTTAAGTGAGCCTCCCTGGCTGAGGAGCGCGGTGTTGCCAGTGCAGAGCCGACGTCCTGCAGGGAGCATTGGATCTGGGGAGGAATGGGAGGCGTGGGTGAAGAACCTGTCACGCAGGCCAAGCGGGGCTCTCGTGCGTCCGCGTGCAGGGCTGGGCCTGCCGGGAGCTGTCAGGCCTCTAAGGAGCCGGCATTTACAAAGGCTAATCAGCAAGCTCTGTGAACCTGCAGCGCAGCACATCGGCCCTGTTGGGAGGGGCCCTGGCTCCCTTGGAACGCCTGGGTGACGCAGACGGGGAGTGTCAAGCGCCCAGGGATAGTCAGGAGGAGTCTTCTCACCCCGACCCTCCTCTCCCATGTGCCGGGCCCTTCGAGGGCTTTTTCTTTTCTCTAAACTGACGGCCTTGGTTTTCTAACCTATAACACTTGGGCGGAGAGACCCAAATTGACAGTGCTTTTTAAACTGTACAGGACAGGGCTGTGCCCGTGGCAGTGTGCCGGGAGCAGGACATGGTCGGTGAGAGTAGACGGTGCCCACCCGGGAGTGGACTGGAGCCCTGTTGAGCCGCCGAGCAGCAGACTCTGGGTAAGTTCCCTGACCTCGTGGTGTCTCTGCGGCTTCCGATGGAAAGGGGCGTCACAGTACTACTCCGCCGCCGGCCACCTGCAGCGTTTACCCCGGGGGCTGGAGAGAGGCGGCCCCAGTCCGGGAATCCGATCCCAGCCCCGCTGATTCCTGGCTGTGCGGCCTTGGGCTGAGCCTCAGTTTTGTCCTCTGTAAAACGTGAGGGCTGGCCTCCACCTCATGGGCTTCTGCAGGGAGAGCCGGGAACAGGCTGCCTGGCCTGCCATAGGCCCGGAGCAGCTCCCGGGGGCCAGGCGGGGAACCCAGCTGAACAAGTCACAGTCTGCACCCTTGGGGCGCCCAGGCCACACTCCTGGTGATGCTTGCCTTTAGAGGCAGAAGCACAGGAGCTGCGGAAGCCTGGGAGAGGCACCAGCTGGAGGCAGGGGTGGCCAGGGAAGGCCCCGGAGGAGGTGATGTTGAAACTGTTACCCAAAGGACGTGGTCTAAAGCAAGGGAGGGGCTCATCACGCCACTGACCCCCTCTTCCCTCTGCAAACCCCGCTCAGAGGTGAGCACGGCAGACAGAAACGACCACTGTAGACGCCAGCAATTCCTCATTCTGAGGCTGAAGACCAGTCTCCCTCATACAGGAGGTGCCTCATTCATAGAATGTTCCAGCAGTTTAGGCCTCCCATCTTTCTGCAGCCCCTCACTACCCTGTGTCTGCTCCCAGGGGCCCCAGTGGGCTCCAGCCTGGCCTGGAGGACTGAAGCAGGCCGAGGGCTGACCCTCCAGGGAGCAGCTGACTCAGGTCAGCACGCAGACTAAAACCCCAGGTACATTCTCCATGTTCTGGGGGTGGTGGCCCTGCCTCTATTTCTGAAGTCCTCTCTGTGGGCCAGAGCCCCCGCTGCCTCTTAAGGAACAGAACAGTAATTCTAAGAACCCTACCATCCCCCCCGCCGAGGGCTAACCACAGCTGGGCCTTTCAAGTCTCTCAACCTCAGGGCCACTGACATTTTGGCCCAGGTCATCCTCTGTCACGGGGACCGTCCTGTGCACTGTAGGACGTTTAGCCGCATCCCTGCCTCTACGCACTAGATCCCAGTAGCACCTCCACCTCCAGTGTGACAACTTAAAACATCTCCAGACATTGCCCTGTGTCCCCTGAAGGGCAGAACTGCCCTGGGCTGAGACCACTGCCCTTCACATTTCCCTCTCTGAGGCCAAACCTCACCACTCGCCTGTGAGGGAGGGTCATCTCTGTGTGTCCCCATCTTACAGATGAAGAAACTGAGGCTCACAGAGGGTAAGTGGACTAGTCCCAGGTGACACAGAAAGGAACTGACGGTCAGTTGGCAAATCCAGTTATGGCCACCAGGCCTCGGGGTTGGAAAATCCCAGCTCGGGGTAAGACAACGTTACTCACTTTCTGAAGCTCTTCCACAAATGGGTGGCCCTTTTCTGCAATTAATTCCATAGCAAACCTGTGAGGAGGAAGGAAGAAGAATTTGCCTCAAATATAGCATCCCCAGGCCCTGTCTTGCTGGAAGGCAGTACATTCTCAGGGGACCGGCCATTTTGCTAACTGAGCTGTCACAGGAGGGCCGTTATTTTCTTGCTGACACTGAGAACATCGTAACCTTCCATGTGGTTGGGGGTATTTGTGTTTCGCCGCTCATCCAGCCAACAACTCCTCTTTCAGCGCCTACTCTGGCCAGGTCCAGGTGATTCAGTATGAACAGAGGTGACACAGGCCCCGTTAGGCAGGACAGGGAGATGTGAATCAGATGTCACACGACTGACAGTGAAGTTGCAAACTAAGGTCAGTGCTCTGAAGGAAAGGGTGAGAATCCTGGGATATTTGGCCTTGATTAGGGTTCAGGGAGGGCTTCCTGGAGGAAGCGATGCTGGAGGTGGGACTCTGAAGGCTGAGTAGGAGTTCGCTGGTAAGGCTGGGTGGGGCAGGAAAATCAAAGTGCCCCCGATGCAGGTCAGGACTGTGGCCCTGGCCTCCCTCAGAACACTGCACCCTCTTCTGTACCAGTCAGGGTCCTGGCCGGGCAGTGGTGTGTTTGAAGGGTTCCTGGAGAAAAGCTTCACGAAGGGACTGCTGACAGAGTGGGAAGGCTTATGGGAACTGAGGATGGATGGCAGAGATGAGCAAAAGCAAGAGCCTGAAGGGGCAAGGGAGGGTCAAAGGTGCTACCAACCCTGGAGAGAGCTGCATTCTGGGCAGAGGCCACCGCCAGGAGCTGGGCAGCTGGGAGAAAGCAGTGGAGAGCCCCACAACTGCCAGAGCCACACAGGGCTGGGGGCGGGGTCACACATACCCCTACCCCTCTCACCCTCGTCCGATCTCCTGCTGGTGCTGCCCATTGGTTGGACCAACTCTAAAGCCAGAGGACAAGGGAATCGGGGTGAGACCATCTCCAGGCCAGCCTCCCAGGCACAGGAGAATGGCTTTGAAAGGGCAAAAGAAGAACGACTGTGCATCTTCTAGCCCATCTTACAATCAGAACTAAATAAGCACACACGTAAGCTGTCCCGCGTTGGTCTTCCCCTCTGGATGGTGAGGCGGGGGCGTATGCCTCAGGCCTGGCACATTGGAGATGCTCGGGAATATCTGCTCACCGAGGATGTTCCCACGACAGAGGCCAGCGGGAGGCCCCTCCCCATGCTCGCTCCATCCCCGCTCCCACCACTTGTGGCTGCCCCTCCAGCGTCTGTCAGCTCCGCCCCGCCCGCTGCACCGCACCCCGCAGACCGCAGGCTCCATGAAGGCAGGGCTGAGGCTCCCCACTCAGCAGAGCCTGGCACACGCAGATGCTCCACCAACATCTGAGGACGGAAGAATCCACAACTGAGCTGTGGCCAGTCCCCTGCACCACATCACCTGAGGGATGATGGCCTGCTGATTTGCTAATTCTAAACAGCCAATGCTAGAACCCGCCTTCCCGCCCCTCTGCCCACTTCATCTTCTGTGCACTTCCCCCTCGCCACACCCTTCTCACACACACCAAGGGGTCTGCCCTCTCTCCTCTGCTGGCAGACTAGCTACATTATCTTTCCTGAGAACCTCACTTAGGCCCATCACTGAGAAATGGCCACCATGAACAGGTTTTAATAAAATTATGATGATAATAACAGCTAGCATTATGATTGGTGCTAGGTACTGTCCTAAGGGGGAAACATGGAGTTCTCTCATTACATCCTCACAAGAACCCAATGAGATTGGATACTATTACTAGGATCACTTGACAGAATAGGAAACTGAGGCTCAGAGAGGCCAGGTGATTTGCCTGAAGTCACACAGCCAGTCAGCAGTGGGAGAGAATTTGAACCCAGGTCTGTCTGATTACCATGATCTTCACCCACAAGGCCGAGTCAGAACTTGTGAACTAGTACTTATAATAACTGCAGCTCATGCTGCCAACGGCTTGCTGAGCATGGTGGCCTGAACTTTGTTCTCAAATATTTGCGGCCCCTCCCACCCCTGCTGCTGTCACATGTGTCCACGTCCCTGGCTCTGGCCAATGAAATGTGAGCAGAGGTGGCGTGTCACTTCGTGGAAGCTTTAAGAGCCAGCGTGGGCATCACCGTGATCTTTCTTCCCTCTGCCACAATTACTGGTGTTGTTCTAGACAGAGGCTGTCCCACCAGCCCGGGTCCCAGAGTGAAGGCCAGGCAGAGAAGAAACATACCCAACCCACGATGGGCTTGAAGTGAGAGGATGAAATACGCCTTTGGTGGTTTAGGCCACGAAATGTGGGGGTTGTTTGTTACACCGGCATGGCCCGGCCGATCCTGACTACTTCCCCGAGTCCACCTTCTAAACTCTGGCTGTGTATATGCTTAAAAAATAAGCCTCCCGAAAGGGATCATGTCTGATGCCCTGTGTACTGTGCTCGACTCACCTGTCACTTTGCACATGCACCTCAACGGCACACACATACGAGCAGAGTGAGGGAGCAGGGATGGAGGGGCGAGGCAGCATCACGCGGTGAGGGACAGAAGCCACAGGCCAAGGAAGGTTCATCGAGGGCTGGCAGCCTCTGGGACTGGCGGACACTCTGGAGAGCTGCACATCAGTCATGCCCTCTAACAACCAACTCAAGCCCGACCTCAAGGCCAATCCCGTCCCCCTTACCCAATGGCTGAACTTAATTCATCTGTAGTTCCCACGGCTTCAAACACCTGGTCGTCTTTCGGTCTCCTTTCTCCAGTGAAGGTGCTGGAAAACCCTGTGAAAATGTTTTGCTGCCCAAATTAAAGAGTTTTTTTTTCCTGATATGCTCTTTTAAAGCATTTTTCCACTTGAAGGATAACATACACAGAAAAGTGCTCGAATCATAAGTGTACAAGTTGATGAACTGTTACTAACTGATATAGACCTCTGTGACCAGTATCTAGATCAAGAAATAAAATAGGAGCCTCACCCTAGAAGCCCCTGTGTCCCCGCTTTCAGTCACTGCCCCCCTCCCCAGGGGTAACCACTGTCCTCACTTATGTCCTGATATACTTTATTTATTTATTTATTTATTTATTCTTGGCTGTGATGCTTGACTTGTGGGATTTTAGTTCCCCGACCAGGGACTGAACCCAGGTCCTTGGCAGTGAGAGCGTGGAGTCCTAACCACTGGACCGCCAGGGAATTCCGTCTCTGGAGTCTTTGGCTGGAGGGCATCAACACTGTCATCCCTTTGCATCTTTTCTTTTCTTATTGTGATAACATAAACATAATGTAAAATTGGCCATTTTAACCATTTTAAGTGTACAATGGCATTAAGTTTTTATCTTCTTACTACATAAATATACCTCCAAAGCAATAAATACTGGTAATCTGCGTGGTTTTTTTTGGGGGGGGGGCCATGCCACGCAGCATGAGGGATCTTAGTTTCCCAACCAGGGATCAAACCTGCGCCCCCTGCAGTGGAAGCGCCAAGTTCTAACCACTGGACCGCGAGGGAAGTCCATGCGTGGTTTAAAACTTTAGAAAACGGTATCATACTGATATGTTCTTCTGCACCTATTTTTTTCTGTACATTATGTTCTGGTATTTTTTTAAATTATCGAAGCAATATATGCTCATTACAAAATAAATAATAGAATAAAAGTATGTACAGGAAACAATGAAAGCCCGTCTATTCATTCCCCTCTCCCACAATTCAATCTCTCTCCCAGGTAACAGTCCAAGGTATAACCTTTCACAATGTTCTATGCACACCTGAACACACATATAAATACACACACACACTTTTATCGAGTGGATTCCAACTATTTGGATTGTTCTGCAACTTGCTTTTATCACTTAATATATCTTGGGCATCTTTCATTTCACATCACATTTGGGTGATGCCTATTGAGATCCGTCACATACTTTTAATGTCTGTAAAGAATTTGGAAGAACTTTAAAAAAATATTTTAAAGCTATTATTTCTCATTCCAGAATTTTCCATCAATTTCTAGTGCCGCGTGGCATACAGGATCTTAGTTCCCTGACCAAGGATCGAACCCATGCCCCCTGCAGTAGAAGCGTGGAGTCTTAACCACTGGACTGCCAGGGAAGTCCTAGAATTTGGAAGAACTTTAAGATGGAATCTGCCATGTCTTTCTTTGCATTTTTCACCTGTCCCCACCCTACCTTTGTCTCCTGTTTTGGTGTAGATCTTGGGGAGCTTGGGTGTCTTCGAGGAAGGCTGTGGCCTAAGGAGAAATAAACATCAAGAGGTGATGAGTGAGGATGGCATATATAGTGGGGCACGTCCTTCAGTGGGTCACAGTTTGCTACCCATATCCTCAGAGGCAGCACTTACCCCCTTCTGCTTGGATCTCTTGAAATCTTTCCCCTCCGTTCCTCTTAGTTTTAAGCCCTTTGTGGGCAAGTTCTGTGTCTTGCCACACCCGTATCTGCAGAATAGCTGATGTAGTGCATTGCTCAATGCAGACGCTCTATAAATGTTGTCTGAAAGAATTTATCGATCACTTTCCATAGTCTCTGCACTATGCTAAGTGAATTACAGGCATTATCTCCTTGAATTATCCCTGGAATCTTCCCAAGCACTACCTATGATGTTCATTTTTTTTTTTTTTTTTTTTTCAGTTCGCGGGCCTCTTACTGTTGTGGCCTCTCCCGTTGCGGAGCACAGGCTCCGGACGCGCAGGCCCAGCGGCCATGGCTCACGGGCCCATCCTCTCCGCGGCATGTGGGATCTTCCCGGACCGGGGCACGAACCCGCGTCCCCTACATCGGCAGGCGGACTCTCAACCACTGCGCCACCAGGGAAGCCCATTCATTTTGTTTTTGAGGAATCGGTAGCTGACGGGATGAGACTCACCCTCCTAGGTCACCACGGGAAGAAGCGGTAGGGCTGGGATTCTTGCCCAAGACTATCTTATTCGACACCCCAAAACTGTTACCTCTGCTCTACCAAGCCAGGGACTCTTGGAGGGAAAAATCCCTGGGCCATTACCATACTGTAAAGCTTCAAGTATACTCCGAAATGGAGAATTGCCAAAACAGGGTGCGAAAACTGGCATTTTCAAATAGCAACACCTTTAATAAAGACTTTAACATTAAAATGTGACATTAGAAGGTTATTCAAAGGTTAAATTACTGGATCTGTGAAATAGATTAATCCATTATTAAGTCAGGTTCTGAGGTCCGGGAACGGGGTGCAAGTTTCAAGGCATATAATGACAGTCCTCTTAAGACCGCGTTGGTGTATCTCTGTGCCTTAAAGTATAAACTGCTTTGGAGATAGGTTAATATCCGAATTGAGGCCCCTCCTGATTGTGGGGCCAGGCAAGATGACCCTCTTGGCTCACATGGGATATGCCCTGTCCTGATGGATGCTGGGCTTCGATTGGACTTGTCTTGTGCCAAGAAACCTTGGTCTCTGGCTTCCACGGAGCCCACGTTGCCACGGTGACGTCATGACTAAAGAGGACGTCACCTGGCGATTGCTGCGGTGACCTCCCAGCGGTTTGACGTAACCACGGCGACAACATAACTCAGGGCAGGTGCCTGAGTTACCCTCCCAGCCAGGTACTCACCTGTCCCCGTCTTCCACGCCCTGGGGGCCGCGGCTCTGGAAACGGGGACACAATAGCTTGCGGGCGCCGAGGCACCCGCGCAAGCCAAGGCGACCTCCCAGGCCCCACACAGCCATGCTCCAGGGCTCTGGTAGGGGACTGACCCTGCCAGGCTCCCGTCCAGATCCCGGGGTGACTCCACCTACCTCCGGCCGCGCCACCCATCAGCCGCCATCTTCCATTGGTCCGTGGCTCTCTCCCCAGGGCGGGACAGTCCCAGAGACTTGTTTCTCATTGGTTCACGGAAGGAGATGGGCGGGGAAACCCGTGAGGACTTAGTTAGCAACAGCTATTGGCCAACTCTCAAGCCAATTGGTAAAGGGGCTCTCGGTTCGCGCGCTCTGATTGGCTGAGCGAAGGAAGAGGCCTCTTCCTCAGGCCGCCCGCGAGCTTGGGGATGAAGTCCCGGAGCGGCTCGAGCTCGGAAGCAGAGGCCCTGTGGCGACAGGTGAGAGGTCGGGGTCCCGGGACAGGGTGGCGCGAAGTCCGAGGCCGAGACCCAGGACGACCCTGGACCGGGCTCCCGGCTTCTCTGGCTTAGTTTCCCCAACTCTGAGAATCCGTCCTGACGAGCCGGCAACCTGGAATCTGACAGACCGGATTTGGAGTTTCGGACAAGCAATAGGTACCCCCACTCCGAGCCTGAGTTTACCCCCGAAGAAACAGGGATCACTGTAGTATATACTTAGCGCATAGTGCGGTTCTGGTCTCACGCTATTGAGGTAAATCCTTAAATGGATGGTAGTTTTGCATTATTTATAAAAATCTAAAACGCGCACACGTACGCCCAGCAAGTCACTTTCTAGGACTCTGTCTTGTAGAGATCCTGACTTAAATGTGCAAAAAAAAAAAAAAAAGGTATAACAGCTGTTTTCTGCAGCCTGTTTGTAATTGTGAAACGTTAGAAACAGCCTAAATGTCCAGGAAAAGGTTCCTTCTGGTTCATGATTTCATTTAAATTTCTGTCTTTAATAGTAGTAATAATAAAAGCTGGAACCAAGAACAGAGCCATTAATAAGTAACCATGAGTACTTGAGTGATTATGGTGTGCCAGACTATAAGTGTTTCCCTTGCATTATTTAATTTAACCTTCTCAAAACCCACTGAGCTAAGTACAGTTATTGTACCCGTGAAACTTTTGAGGTTCATAGCTATTTGAGTGAGTTAGCTAAGATGATATCACTGGGGAGTGGAAGAGCTGGATTTGAACCCAGATCTATTTGATGTGTCTAGCTGACTGCTACCCTGCACTGCGTTATTTGGGCACATAGCAAATGCTGATGGTAGCTGCCTTTTTTATTATAATGGTGAGCTTGAACTAGGCATTCTCTGAGTTCTGGGGACCTTCCATCCGCTTTCTGGCTTTCCTTTTCAGGACTCCCAGGAGCCATGTTGCCAGAAGTCCTGCTAGTGTCTGCTCCAGGGAAAGTCATCCTTCATGGAGAGCACGCCGTGGTCCATGGCAAGGTACAAGGCCCCCTGAGCCTTTGAGGATAGGAACTGCTTCTCCCTGATGCTAACCTTAAAAGAAGCTGAAAGGAAGCCTTGAGGCATAGCTTGGGAGTGCATCAGAGAGGAGGTCAGTTTCTCCCCACCTGGGCAAAGAAAAGACAGGTCTTAGGCCCTCTGAAGGGCTTCTCTGGCCCACCCAGTAAGAGAGCAAAAAGATGACATGGAAAGCCCCGTGGGTGGAATGAGGCCACTTAGGAAGTGAGCTTCAGTGGAGAAGAGAAGAGTTCTAAGGACTAAACTCTTGGGAAAACGAATAGGATTCTGCAAAGGAGCCTGAGACATGCATTGTCTCGTTTACCTCTTACAACTACTCTCTGATGTTAAACTTGTATTATCCTATTTTGCAGACGTGGAAGCTGGGACTTAGGAGGGGATCGGTAACTTGATCAAGGTCCCGTACACCTCGGTAGAGCTAGGAGTGAACCTGAGTCTGCTTGAACCCAAAGCCATGCTTTTTCCACTCTTTCAAGCTGTCGTTTTTCATATTTTTAACTTATATTTATCTTTGAAAGCATGGTGATTATGGGGAAGCCATTCCTTGGTGTTGAAAACGTGTGAACTTTTACGTGGGGAGGGCAAATATAAGTAGATATTAACTCCTAATTGATTGGTAGTGGCTGTGCCTAGGTGTGTGGGAGAGGGTGCCAACGTTTGATTAGGAGAGGGTGCCAAGGTTGATTAGCAGTGTCTGCCAAGGGCATATAGGTGAGAGTAGCCTGTGTGCTAGTATTTGCCCTCTCTTCTCGGCTCATTGACAAGGGCCCCTTTTTCCTAAGACAGGAGCCATGCTTGTTGCCAACCACCCTCAGGCTAACTGCTTGTGCCCTTCATTCTATAGGTAGCACTGGCTGTGGCCTTGAACTTGAGAACATTCCTCCGGCTTCAGCCCCACAGCAATGGGAAAGTGGACCTCAACTTACCCAACATTGGCATCCAGCGGGCCTGGGATGTGGCCAAGCTTCAGATGCTGGACACCAGCTTTCTGAGTAAGTGCAGGGAGCAGGAACCAGGTGCGGGAAGAGCCTGGGCCCCGAAGAGAGGGGGAAGGAGGACAGCTGGGCTGTCAGCCCAGGCTGTCCCCAAGGGACCAAAAGCCAGCCACTCTGGGGGTGTTTTCTCTCCTGTCCCCACAAAAATAGCTTCACTTATTTATTAATATTTTTTAAATTTAAAAGCATAAAATGATGCACTGGGTCTATGTGAGCCGTTGGGACAGGTCATCAGGGCCTACTGTTGCGTGAAAAAACACAAGATGCAAAACAGCACGTATAGATTAAGTATCAGTGGGTATGTAAATGCAGAGAAGAGGCCTGGGAAGATATATATCCGCTGACAATGGTGATTAGTTATGTCTTGGAGGGTACTTCGGTCGGGGAGTGGACAAAGGGAGCCTCCCTTCTACAATGTTGTTTTAACAAAGAGAATGTTTTGGTGTTTTGTGTGATTGAAGATCGTTAAGAATAAAAGTAACTTATGTTACTGGAAAATACAGTCAATGCTGAGATGTTGCCAGGAAAAAAAAATCCCCAATTATCACTGCCTCCCACTCCACCCCCCCAGGACAACGCTAAGCATTTTGGTGTTCATCCTTCTGGGTAATTTCCTGTAGACCAGTAGTTAGATTGATTGATTGAGATAGGGAGAGAGCTTGTTTTTTACCCAAAATTGGATCAAGCCACATAAACTTTTTTTTTCTTTTCTCTTTTTTTTTCCTTCTTTTTCTTTTTGTTTCCTTCTTTTTCTGTTTTCTTTTTCTTCTTTTTTTTTTTTCCATATAAACTTCTTAGAAGTGTGTGGGATTTTTGCCTTCTTCGATATATTGGGGCTCTCTTCCCATGCCAATAAATAAAGGCCTCCGTGCTCATTTTTGCTAGTGTTGGGACTGTTTTGTCCACTCCTGAGCAGACACAGTTCGTTCATCAGCGGAGTGACTGTCTGCAGCAAAGCTGCGGTGTGTTCTTTGCTCTCAGTGCCTCCTGTCTGGGCTGACGCCTCGTCCTTTGGAACAGTGTCTCCCAGCCAGGGTGGGGCAAGTGAGACTCCTCCAGGGGCCTTTCTTTTTTTAAAAATAATTAATTAATTAATTAATTATATTTGGCTGCGTTGGGTCTTCATTGCTGTGCGCGGGCTTTCTCTAGTTGCGGCGAGCGGGGGCTGCTCCTGATTGCGGCGCGCGGGCTTCTCATTGCGGTGGCTTCTCTTGTTGTGGAGCACGGGCTCTAGGCACTCCGGCTTCAGTAGTTGTGGCTCGCGGGCTCTAGAGCGCAGGCTCAGTAGTTGTGGTACACGGGCTTACTTGCTCCACAGCATGTGGGATCCTCCCAGACCAGGGCTCGAACCCGTGTCCCCTGCGTTGGCAGGTGGATTCTTAACCACTGTGCCACCAGGGAAGCCCTAGGAGCCTTTTCCAGATGCTTCCCTGTCCCCCATGAGAATCAGTCCACAGCTAGTCACTCAGCCACTCCCAAACCCTGCAGGGAGATGAAAGAAGAGTTGAAAACCCACAATTTCAAGCAAGCCTCAGCTCTGCCTTGAGATCCCCGGGGGAGGTTTTTGTTGTTGTTGTTTTAACAGTACAGATGGCTTCCGGGCCCTGCCCCTCTCCTATTGAGAATCGGTGGTGGTGGTAGGTGACCCGGCGTGTGTATTTGGGTGATTGCAGGGACAGCCTCAATTCAGAGTCACTACTTTGGAGCAACCTGGCCCTTGCTTTCCGTGCTACCCCAGGCCACTCAGCCTGGCCGGAAACGTTCCATGAGAACTGGCTGCTACTTTTGTATGTCAGTAGCACGGATTGAGCAGCCAGGTATAGTGGCACACGTCTCAGACCACCTGTCTGAGACTCCCTGTGTGAGCCTGGGAGGGTCACTTACCTCTCTGAGCCCCTGTGAGCAGAGTCATGATGCCTGGGAGGGTTGCTATTGATGATCCCACAGGGTGGGAGGTGGGTGGAGGCTGTGATATGGAGTGTAGTCATTCGCAAGGGCTCGTTAGACTACTTCTCCAAGGAGACAAAGGGGATCTGAACTTTTTGGTGTCAAGTTTTCTACTAGGTTGCCAGGGTCTGCCACATTTTTCTTCCGGTGTTTTTTGTTCCCTCCTAAGAGTCCTAAACATAGTGAACATTTGGGCATTTATGTGTCCTGGTTTTATGTGTGTGTCCTGTTCTCACTAATTATGCTTTGGGAGAGGGAAATAATACTGCCTTTGGTTTTGATTTTGTACCGTGGAGTTCAGTCCTAGGCCTTTGATTGTGTGTGCGTGTGTGTGTGTGCTTGTGTGTATTTGAAAACTACTAGCAATTAAGCCCTTACTATATGCCAGGAGCAGTGCTAAGAATACCCTGTACCTTATTTAAACAACCCTGGGAGGATGTACTGCTGTTATCTCTGTTTACCAAGGAGGGAAACTGAGGTGTAAATAGATTAAGTCACCTACTCAAGGTCACAGTAACTGGCACAATCAGGGCCCAAACCCAAGCCTGCCTGCCTCCCAAGCCTGCAGTCCCCGACACCCTCAGCTGTGGTGCTCGGACCCTGAGTCCATGTCCATCCAGATGCTGACTCCCGTGATTGCTTGGCCTTTTGTATTCTGGTGTCTATAAAAGCCCCGAGGCCCTCTCACCCACCCGCTTGCACTTGTTTGCCCATGTGACAGAGCAAGGTGACGTCACAGCACTCACCCCGGAGCAAATGGAGAAGCTGAAGGAGGTGGCGGGCTTCCCCGAGGACTGTGCCGACCATGAGCACCTGGCTGTGCTGTCCTTCCTTTACTTGTACCTGTCCATCTGCCAGAGTCAGAGGTGTGTGCGCGGTCGGGGCAGGGAGTCCGGGTGCAGCCTGCCCCGGAAACTGAGCCAGGGTGGAGGTAGTTTTGGCTGCTGGACGATGCACGGGCTCCTTCCCAGGCTCTGAATAACAGCAGCTGTCCTCGCCGCGTGCCAGGAGCCGTGCTAGACCCTATATGTATGGCCTGCTTTCAGTATTCATGGCAACCCCACGAGAAGGACACTCTCCTCATTTTGCACAGGGAGAAACTGGGACCCAGAGAGATAGAGACATTCAGGGCCACACAGCTACTTAGTAAGTGGTGAGAGCTGGGAAATCAACTTAGTTCCCTTCAGTGTCGGCGCCTGCCTTTTTAACCCCACACTGCCTCCTCTGGCCTCTTCGATTCAACCAAAGCCAGATTCCATTCTCAGATCCACGGTGTGTCTTCTTCAAGCCATTCCCAGAGAGGCACCCTTGTTCCACATCCCACAGGCTCCAGGGGAACTCCGTGATTAGCAGAGTGAAGCCTGTGTTATGATAAGATCTGGGTTGTCTCCTCTCTCGGGAAAGCCGGCTCCTAGAGGGGGAAATTCCTGCTGAGGTGGTATCACATGGTGACAGAGGGCACGGGCTGAGGGTCAGACGGCATTGGTTCACACCCCAGCGCGACCATTTACTAGCTTTTGTGAGGTTCTTACCCTTCCTGAGCCTCAGTTTCCTCATCTGTAAGATGGGGGTGGTAATAGCACCTACCTCGTAGGGTTCCTGTGAAGTTAGATGAGTTCATTTACTTAAAGTGTTTGATTCAGAGCCTGGCACGTAGCTTGATAAATGTTAGCTATTATTATTATCACCTTCCTCAGAAAAACTATCAGAGGATTAGAAACATTATACATGAAATGGGCCTAGCACTGCAACTGGCACACAGTGCGTGTTCATTGTGATTTGTGGGCCAGAACCTGAAGGGAAAGCCTCAAGGCGCAGCCCTTCACTCGTGCAGCAGACGCTGGCTAAGCGGCCACTGGGCCCGGGCGCTGTGCTGCAGACACATTCAATCGCGTCTTGACACTTTTAGTCCAGTGCCGGGGTTTTCACCTTGAGAGGGGCGTGTCCCCTTCTGGGGTGAGGGCGGGGGACACATTCCAGAATCTGATGTGGGTGGGGTGGGCATGTGCAGTTTGAAAAGGCAGATTCAGTCTTATAATGTTATATTTGGAAAACGGGAAGAGTGCTTAATGGAAATGATAGAACCTGACGTCTGACGGTTCTCGCTGGGGGGAAGTAGAGGTAAGATGCAGCGATTGGGAACTCTCTGCTGATCCAGAGCAGGCCTGTGTTACACGCGGCTGGGAAACGCTGTCCAGCAGGAGAGGCATCCCGTGAACACAGTATCAGCGCCCAGGGGGATCATTTGAGGACGGTCTTGCAGGATGGGTAGGAATTCCCCTGGGGGAGAAAGGGGTGCAGAGCTGTCCTGGGCAGAGGGACCAGCCTATGCTGAGGGCAGGGCATTGAAAGAGCCTTGCTTCTGTGGGGAGCAGGAAGGAGTTTACAGGAATGGTCGGTGGATCGCGAGGCACTTTTAGGAAGAGCTCCGGTTGGACAACAACATAGTGACTTAAACGATCCTCTCCCTATTTTCAAGTTGTCTGATTCACCATGAGTTCCTGCCATCCAACAGGGGTGCCTTTGGGGTTGGGAGATCTCCCCGAGGTCAGAAAACTGGGCCAGACAATTAGAGTGAGGCCCTGCCCGTGTCCAGTCCTGGGTCTGGGCCGCCGGTTCAGCGCGGGCCCCTCGCGGCCCTCCAGGAGAGCCACGCTCTGCTGCCTGCTGTGTTTCAGGGCCCTGCCCAGCCTGGACGTTGCCGTGTGGTCGGAGCTGCCCACCGGGGCCGGCCTTGGCTCCAGTGCCGCCTACTCCGTGTGTTTGGCGGCTGCCCTCCTGACTGCGTGCAAGGAGATCCCAAACCCACTGAAGGATGGCGAGGCTGCCAACAGGTAATCAGGCCCTTGCCTCGCTCCTTGTCCTTCCTGGGCTCCGCACCCTGCACCAAGAGGAGAGAGGTGTCCCTTGGCCACGTTACAGCTGAGGATGCTGGGGGACAGGGCAGCCACACAGCTAGTGATGGCAGAGCTAGATCTGGACCCGGCGGTCTGAATCCAGAGCCTGAGCTCTTTGCCCCCAACCCGCCACCCCTCCTTGCCTCCTTTGGGTTCAGGTGCCCGTGATTTGGTAGAAAGAGCCTGAGCCCGGATGTAGAGGGCAATGGATCAGAGGAGCCATCGGGCCGCCCCTGCCATCGACTCGCTGAGGGACCTTGGCCAGCCTGCTGCCCCCCCACCCCACCCTGGGAGCCTCACTCAGTGAGGCTGTAAATGTCGATACGGATACCTGGCGGGTGTTGCCAGCTGGTACCAAATGGTTATGAAAAGCAGTGTAACGTGCTGAGAAATAAACAGAAGTGTCCGTCAGGTCAGGGCGTCTCCCCTCGCGTGGGTCCTCGACCCACAAGGTCGCACCGTCTCCTCCGCGGCTTATTGTAAGTCACTGAGGCTTGTCCAGACAGGGCTGCTGGTGGACTGTTTCTGTTACTTGGGGAAACTTGAGATACCGGCCCTAGCGCAGATAATGCAGTTTGCCCTGGGAGTTGGGGATGAGGCCCCAGCATCCAGCCTGGCAGCTTCTTGGTGACGCCTGCCCTGGGCCCTCATGGCTCCGGGGAGCCCTCCCGCTGGGGGGCCTTATGTACCAGCCATGTGGGCCCAGCTGTGCTGTCGGGGGCTCTGCTGGCTAAGCCCGGAGGTCGCTTTGGTCCCCGTGGCCACAGCAGGTGTGTGGGACTGTTGATGTGATTCCCGGTCCAAATTCCCCAGGTCTGCTCTGAAGGGCGTGTGCTGGAGAGAGGCTGGGGCGGGGCTGGGGGGGGGGAGGGGCCCGCGGAGGTGGCCGTGGGAAGCATTCGGCAGGTAATGAGCCCGTAATGATTGCACCTGCGGGGGATGCGAGGCAGCTATTCTCCGGAATGGTTTTCAGGAATCTCAGGTTTGCAGGTTAACTGGCTTCTCTCTGGGGCTCCATTTCCTCATCTGAAAGTGAGGGGCAGCACCTATGATCCCTTGGGTGGGGGGAGCTTCCAGTCTTGACATGTGCTGATCCCGAGATAAGATGGTGACTCAGGAAGGAGGCTTCAAGACAGCCGCTCATTACTGTGTGCTGATCACTGCTTCTAGCCCAGAGCAGTGAAGGCCGTATTGCCCTGGGTGTCCCACATAGACACCTGCCCACAGGCCGGCCAACTGGCTCTGCCTTTCAAAGGATATGGGTGGTTTTGTGTGCGTGCGTGCATGTACACGCCTGTGGGTGAGCCAGTGTCCAATGTGCATGTGGGTGTGGTCTTTCTCATGCTGCTTCCTTCCACCCAGTTCTCCCACCTCCCCTGAAGGCCCATCATTCCTTCTCAGAAGCTGTGAAGAGAGCAGACCCACCCGCCCTGCCCCCCAGCATTTCCCAATCGGAAGGAAGGCTCGAGTTTGCAGAGTGGGCCAGGCCCTGGGCTATGTTCAGCTACCCCTTCCCCACCTTGCTGGCTTGCTCGCTCACTTTTCGGTCCTGGAAAGGGCCAGTTCTTGTCCAGTTCCAGGAGTAACACAGGCTGCACAGCCTCGGGCTGGACTGCTCTCCCGCTATGTCTTGCCTCACTGACCCACCTTGTCCCTCAGCCCCTCCATTCAGAACAGGGTGTGCCCCGTCCAGCCGGCATCGCACTTCCCAGAGGCTGTAGTTAAGTTCTGGTGGCTTCCTGACATCTGCTCTGTATTAGACTCCAAGCTGCAAGCAGTTAAGGACCACGTCTGTGTGGGCTTAGTCACAGGTACATAGTAGATGCTCAATAAATATTGGACAAGTCAGTGAGTCTCGTCGGCACCAAAAAGGTCAGTAGTTAACGAGCTCAGGCAGTGAGTGGTACTGTGGTCTGAATCTCGGTGTCCTCTGCTGTAAGAAAGGGGATGGTAATTGTGCCTTCCCTTTTGAGTTATTGTGATTGTGAGGATTACAGATTGTCCATTAGAGAAAGCCTTTAGCGCAGTGCTTGGCCCTGGGTAATCAGTAGCTTTGAGCAGTGTTAACTCACTATGAATCATAGCCTCACAACCACCGTGTGAGTCTCAGGTCCCTAAAATCCTCATCTGACAGATGAGGAAAGAGACTCAGAGGGGGTGATTGACTTGCCCAAGGCTCCACAGCAAAGGAGTGGGTGGACCAGGCTTGGAGTGACTCCAGGTGCCGTGATCCCAGGTGGCCTCTTTTTCCAGAGCACATACTCTCCCCTGGGCATTTTACAAAGCACCTGTGTTTTTTCCATCCCACAAAATCCTCTGTGAGGTGGACATCTTTATCCCTATTTCCCAGATGAGAACACTGAGGGTCGGAGGTGACGCAGTTGCTCAGGGATGCCCAGTGAGTCAGCGGCGGGATGGGGTTCACCCCAGCTCCCTGCTTGATTCCCAGCTCAGCTGCACAAGCCCCAGTGGCTTCTGCCATTTCACGGGGCAGGGGCTCGACAGAAAGGAAACAAGAGCTGAGAGAGAAGGTGGGGCAGTGGGGCTGAGCACTTGCCCTCGTTTGATACTCACATGTTTTGGGTCTGTTCACTTAAACCGTCATTGAGTCCGCATCCCTTCTGGGGAGGCACTGTGGCCACGGGCTGGGGAGGGATCCAGAGATGACCCACATTCCACACCCCTGCGCTGAGCCTGTGAGGAGGGAGGAGTTACCATCCTACAGAGAAGAGTGAGGCTCAGAGAGGGCAGGCAAGGGGCCCAGGGTCACTCAGCTCGTAAGAGGCAAAAAGCAGGATCCCGTGAACTCAAAGCCTTGGCTCTTTTCGCTGTACCAGGCGAAAAGGCATGCTTTAGGGCGTGCTCTTTAGCCGGAGAGGTTCAGAATTGTTTATTTTTCTCTTCTTTCTGAGTTCGGGGCCCAAGCCCCTTTGCCTTTTGGTCTCCAGCAAGCCCAGCCTGTGACCCCTGCCCTCTGCTTCCCTCGGTGACCCCCAGCCCCCTCTTCACCACCATGGACAGTAAAGACAAATCTCTGTGTCTCCTCCAGGTGGACTGAGGAGAGCTTGGAACTAATTAACAAGTGGGCCTTCCAGGGGGAGAGGGTGATTCATGGGAACCCCTCCGGAGTGGACAACGCTGTCAGCACCTGGGGTAGGTGCTACCTCGGGCCTGTGTTCTTTATTTTTAGTCTTTTAGAAATTCTTATGACAAGCGTAGCTGCCCAGGCTCTGTGGGTTTGGGATGAGCAGCATCAGTGGATTCTGAGGAAGATGGCATTTTCCTGGTGGGAGGGGAACGGGGGACATCTCAGGGCCTCACATGTCCTAGATCCAAATCTTGGGAGGTGGGCCGGGGCCTGGGCAGCTACGGTTTCAGTGGGACCCCCAGCCCCAGGGGTCCAGATGGTGAAGCTGTGGAACCATTGCTGTGGGGTCTGCAGACCACACCAGCTGGGCTCCCCTCCGGTGAGAACGCCTGCTGTAGTCCCACCTCCACCCCATTACCGTGCAGCCCATCGGAGGGAAGCTGGATGCCTGGATGTAAGGGAGGGACCCCAAGTCCTGGGTGCAGAGTGCCTTCGCGCCCTCCTGGGCCTTTGCTGCCTGAAGCTGAGATGCCTAGTTATGGGGTTGAGTCTGGTTACGGTGACACTCTACCCCTACCCCAAACCCAGCCCCTTTCCCAAGAGGCACAGGTACGGAGCTTTTCCTACGACTCTGACCCACTCTTTCTTCTCTTTAGGAGGAGCGCTCCGATACCAGCAAGGGAAGATTTCATCCTTAAAGAGGTAATTCTGGGGGAGCCGCAGCTTCCGCGTCTGGCAGGGAAGGGGGGAGCCCCATTTCTTTGGGAAGGAGTGAGGGGCATGTGCCCCTGGGCATCCCCTCCCCTGTGTGGTCCCACAGGGCGTGGGCCGCGAGGAAGCCTGCTCTTTCCTCTCCACTTTAGCTCTTTTTTTTTTTGCTGTTCCGCGTGGCTTGTGGGATCTTAGTTCCCTGACCAGGGAGGATTGACCCATGGCCCTCAGCAGCGAGAGTGCAGAGTCCTAACCACCGGACCGCCAGAGAATTCCCCACTTTAGCTCTTAAATTGCCGAGAGATCAGAGGGGGAGGTCATGCAAGGCTGCGCCATTCCACTTCCAGGAAGTGGCTGTTTCCCCAGACCTTCATTCAGTTACCTGTTCATCCGTTCAGTTACCTGTTCATCCGTCCATTTGTTCAGTAAACAAGAACTGATACCTTCCTGTGTTCCAGATGACACTGCATTAGGGCCTAGGGGTATAAAAGATGAATCTCGGACATAGTCCTGGGCGGTTAGGGACAGACATACACACACAAGCCACCAGAAGACAACGTGGGAGTTGCTATAGTGATGGCACCGTGGCCGAGCACGACTGGAGCCCGCAGCAGGCTCGTGGGAGTCCGAGTGGAAGGGACATTTAGCAACTTTCAGCTTGTTTTGTATTTCCTTCCGCCTTCCCGCTGGAAGCCTTGGAATTACAGACATGCGTATTAAATTCCAACACCCTCTGTTCTGTTTGCACTCAGTGTGGAAACATCAGCGGCAGGAGTGAAGCTCATGGCCAGCAGGAGCAGGTGCCTCCTGGCTCTTCCCTGAGCCCTCCATCAAGTTGTGGGGGGGCAGTGGTTGTCCCAGGGTGCTCTGCCGCCTCGGGGCACCTTTCCACGCTCTGAGGGTCCCAGGGCTCCCTGTCACCTTCTGCAGCCAGGGTGGTCTTCTTGGCAGCTGGACAGCAGGTCCCGGCCCTCTGCCTCTGCCAGCTGGGCCACTCCATTCGAGTCTCAGTGACCTGGCAGGCCATGGTGCGGACTCCTTCTGCCTGCACCTCTGGCATCTCCCCAGCCCTGCTCTGTCAGCTTCTGGGAGCCAAGCCTGCCTTTCTGAGGCCCCACATCAGCGTTTCTTTAGCCTCAGCGCTGCGGACGTTTGGGGCTGGAGAATCCCTTGCAGTGGGGGCGGTCCTGTGCAGCGTGGGATGTTTAGTAGCATCCCTGGGCTCTGCCCACCGGATACGCGTAGCACCTCCCCTGTCTCCCAGTGTGACAACCAAAGAGAGCTCCAGACATTGCCACCTGTCCCCTGGAGGGCAAGTGCCCCTGGGTGACAGCCACTGCTCCACACAAAGGAGGGAGCGGAACCATTTAGGAGCTCGGAACAGCTTCCTCCGGCTGCTTGTGGAAGCGATGGCAGGGGGGTCTTGTGCCCAAGTGGCGGCTGGCCCTGCCAGGTGGACCGAATCCACGTGCAGTGAGAGCAGGAGCGAAGGCGGGATGCAGAGGTCTGTGGGCCCGTGCCTGCCCTCAGCCCACGGGCTTTTGGAGGAGGCAGTCACGGCTGTGATCCTCGGCACACAGGTGTCCTCGGGGTTCTGAAGCCGCTGGGGATGACAGTCATAGGCAGGCTGCAGACCTGGGGAGTCCTTCTCAGGGCAGGGGCAGGTCATTCACTCTGTTCCCTGTGAGCCTGTTGTATCCTAAGCCCTGAATTGGGCCCTGGGGACAGAAGATCAATGCAGATGTGGCCAGGCACATGCATGGCCTATGGGGGGAATTAAGAGCTGAGCGCTGGAGGGTTTCCCAGGCATGCGGAGGCGTGGGGAGAGGCCCCAAGGTGTGCACAGTGACCAGCGGTGGTGGCGGGGTGGTGGCAGATTCTCTGGGGTCCACAGGCTCAAGTTTGAGCCCAGCTCTGCCATTTGCCTGCTGGGGGCCCTTAGGTGAGTCACTTCTCCTGAGGCCTCTGTCTTCTCATTTACGTAATAGGGATCCTGGGCATGAAATCAGAAATGGTATTTATCAAGTGCTTATTCACTCCTTCCTGACCAAATTCATTCATCCAGTCTACAAATTTCTCTGAAAAACTACTGGGTGCTGAGGCCTCAGCAGGGAACCCAAAGTCCCGCCTTCATGGAACTCCCACTTTGTGGGAGGACAACCCACAGACAGATGTCCCTGTAAGGGCACAGCAGGCCATCCCCGTGGCCTTAGGACACATAAAGCAGAGTGAAGGCCGGAACGTGAAGGGGGGAGTTGGACAGGCTGATCAAGGGAAGCCTCTAACCGGACGGCATTTGAGCAGAGCTGCCGAGGCCGGGGCAGGTCCCTGGAGGAGGAGACGCACATGCAAAGGCCCTGAGGCAGGAGTGTTCCTGGCGTGCTTAGCAGCAGCCAGGAGGCCAGTGTGGCTGAGTGGAGTGAGCTCCAAGGGAGGGCAGAGATGAGATGAGGCTGAGGACATAGCCAGGCCCAGATCACTTACAGGGCATAGCCCCAGGTGGTGGTCACTGGATGTCATAGGACCCTGAGTTTTGTGGGGCCCGCAGGGCTAGCAGCAGGCCCGTTTGCAGAGGACTTTTTCTGAGAAAGATGAAGATGTGACACCCAAAGTTCTCCCATCCCGATGGATGGTGACAGAGCGGCTGACCTTTGCTGCTGGTTACAGGGTGCTGCGGCGAGCAGATGGCAGATTCTCTGAGAAGCCAGGAGGCCAGACTCCACATTAATCCCACCAATGGCTTAAAGAGGAGCCCTTGCACCCCAGACCACGCCTGGTGCTTCTCAATAAAAAAAAAATAATAAAAGCATTGTTTGCGGAGAGGATCAAGATGCGACCTCCCAGAATGCTGCCCTTTTGAGGAATGGCTTGTCTTTAAAGGGAAGAGAAAAGCCAAATAGGATGTTCATCGTTTGTAAAGTTAAAAAAAAGCCAGTCTCCAAGGCTGAGAATCGATATTAATTTCATGGGCTTATGGGCGGTGAGATCAAGCAGGTTTCTGACAGCCTTTTCCAGCCCTGTTGGATTTTACAATCTTGATCTGTGAAAAGAAAAGCGAATAAACGTATCAGGGGCCTGTCTCCAGCTATCTCTGGCTAGAGCTCATCCAAATTCTCCACGCTCTGTCCCTGGCCTTGGAGCAGTGCTCTGAAAGGCAGGTTGGGATGACAAGAAACAGTGGCTTAAGTCCCCAAAGACAGCCAACCACAAGGACAATTGGGGTTGTGGCTTTAGGAGGGATTAGAAAGCCCAGAGGGCAGATGAGGACGACGGGGTCGTGCTGGAGAGCCGGCTGACCGTGGCCCCACCAGGCCCTCCGTTCTCCCATCTGGGGGTGACTGACTTCCTCTAACCACACCTAGTATCAAACCAGGGCCACTGGTCTGGGCACCGTCGAGGCAGGGCAAGAACTGGCTCAGAGTGCTGGGACCCTGACTCTCCCATAAGGCTGCCCTCCCCTCGCGTTCCTGTGCCCACTGGAGCATCCTTCTTCCCCATGCCCCCTCCATGACCCATCCCTGGTCCTGTGGCTTTTTCTTTTTGAATCTCCAGCACGCTCCTCTCCAGTTCCCTGGGGTGGCCCACAGGACAGAACCTCAGCCCCTTCTTGTACCCTTTGTACTTCTAACTCCATGCATGCCAGGCCCTCCATGTGCATGTTCGCTCGAGGTTGAATGAATGAATGAGTGAGTCACCAGCCAAAGGAAAATGTCCATCCGCTCAGGGGCCAAAGCAGGGAGGCAGCTGTAGGCGGTGGTGGGCACCCCGGGGTGGGCGTCAGGAACCCATGCTCCCTGGACCTGTCTCCAGCCTGCCATTGACGTCGCCTCCCTGGGCCTCTGCTTCCTGCACTGGGTCAGGGTGGGGCGGAGTACAGGCGGGCCCCCAGCCCTGACCCAGCTGCCCTGTCCTGGGCTCACTGTGGACCCTCTTCACCCCACAGGCCACCAGCTCTGAAGATCCTGCTGACCAACACCAAAGTCCCTCGCAGCACCAAGGCCCTGGTGGCCGGCGTCAGGAGCAGGCTGCTGAAGGTGCCGCTGGCTCCACTCCTGGGCGGGTTCCCGGCAGGGCCACGGCACTCACGTTTGGGTGTCCAAGCCCTCCCTCTGCCTCGTGGGTTAGTGGAGGGGGGTGGGGTGGAGGGGACCTGGGAAGGTACCGTCTGTCCATACCCCTGCCGGGAGGCAGAACAGGCATTGTTAGACGTGCTGGCTTTGCAGTGAGAACCCCCGCTTGGGTCAAGCGTGACTGGACGAGGCGGGGACCAGGCCAGAAGGAGAGGGGGTCTCCTTAGAGGGTGGGTGTGGGCCCTGGGGACACCTCCTCCCCCTGCCCTGGTGCTGGAGCAGCTGTCCAGTGTCTGCCAGCCCCCAGGCCTCATGGGCCCTCGATCCCTTTCCCTGCAGTTCCCAGAGATCATGGCCCCCCTCCTGACCTCCATAGATGCCATTTCCCTGGAGTGCGAGCGGTTGCTGGGGGAGATGACGGCGGCCCCGGCCCCAGAGCACTACCTTGTGCTGGAGGTAAGAGCCCGCCTGCAGGATCGGGGTCCCTCACCCATGGCGCTGTCCCAGGCAGGGGCTCCCCATCTGCGCTCAGAATCCCTGGGAGCTAAAACACAGAGGCCGGGCCTGGGCACCCATGTGTGCACCCGTGAGCAAGCGTGCCTTCTTTTGAAGCCTCTTCCCAGGTGATTCGGAATAATCAAGTGAACACACAGACAGCACTGAGGGCGGTGCGTGGCATGTGCTAAGTACGACGGGCCAGGTTTGGGATCATGCATGTAAGGACACAGTCCTCCATAGGTCCAGGAGCAATTTCTCCCCTGGCCGCTTCCCGTCATGTTTGCTAAGTGCATCTATTCATGCAGTAACTGTTTCTCACCTGCATGCTGTGGATCAGACATGGTCTAAAATTGTTCTCTCACTGTCAATACTCCAGCCACCACCCTGTGCCTAATTCTAGTGTAGAGGTTGAGACCTCACGCTTTGGATTTCCTCAGGCCCAGGTCTGAATCGTGGCCTCACTGGAGTGTCTTAAGAGTGCAGTGAGGCCCTGTGGGTAACACACGAGCACAATGCCCGATGAGCCACCAGCTCAGCCAGAGGGCCCAGGCTCATTCCCAGACCCGGTCCATCTGGCCCAGTGAATGGACTGCATTAAAAAGCCATCTGGCTTCCCTGCAAGAATCAGAAGATCCGGCAGCCCCAGCTGACATAGCTGTGTGGCAGCGGTCAGCTGGAGGTGCCCAGGGGACCCCCTTGAGAGTGGCCCTGGGGTCTCCATTTCTCCTAGTCCCCACCACTCCCTAAGTATTACCCACAGCCACTATACTCTTTGCCTGGTGCCTCCCTGTCCCACTGTAGGCATTTGAGTCTGCAGCCCCTGTAATGAGTGGGAACTGCTACTCTCCCAGGTCTCTTCACAAATGATTCCTCACTTAGTCCTACAACAACCTACCTGTGAAGTGGATAAGTTGCCACCCTTTTACAGATATAAAAACCAAGACCTAAAGAGGATGACTTTCTCTGAGGTTTTCCAACTAGTGAGTGGCCCTGAGCTAGGGAGTCACTGACTTACTTGTTTATTCCTTTAGTCAACAATTTTTTTTTTTTGGCCTTGTTGCACAGCTTGCAGGATCTTAGTTCCCTGACCAGGGATTGAACCTGGGCCACGACAGTGAAAGCGTCGAGTCCTAACTGCTGGACCGCCAGGGAATTCCCAACAAATTTTTAATGAGTATCTACTACAGGCCCGGTGTAGGGACTCCATCTAATTCATTTCTGGGCTTTTGCCCTCGTTCCCCCAGCCTTTGCCTGCTCATTCTCAATTCCTTTCACGTAGAAAGGAAGGGAACACAGTCCTCCCGAGTAGGAAATTAATAATGATGGAGTGCTGCCTAAAATACACCCTGTTGAGCCCCTGGAGAATGCCTCAGAACAGCACGTCGATTATACATCATGTATATTTTTGGCTTCGGCAGCCGCTGAAATGTGCAGCTCGCCTCCCGGACAGCTCTGCGCTCAAGCCAGCGAGCTGTCCTCCTGTGTCACAGCCTGTCATCTGATCCTTGACAGATTTTGGATCAGAATGTGACAGGTGTCTGGAACCTGCCTTGGCAACGTGACACCTGGTGCTCAGGCGCAGAGAGAGGCCCCCAGAAGTTTTCCCTCCCATCCAGCCCTCGGGGCCGGTGAAAGGCACCCGAGGCTGCCACCGGGCCATCACGCCTGTCTGCTCGTTTGTCAAAAGTACTGGGGTGTGTGAGGCGGGCTGCGGGGGGGAGGCAGACCCGACCCTGCCCGACGGCTCCAGGCAGGAGAACCAGGTGGGCCTCGGCAGACAGCCCTGTGATTGGCAACCCTTATGGCACACAGGCGCTCCCAGGACCCCGGGGCAGAGCTGCATGCTGTCAAGCCGCACACGGCAAGAAGTGGGTGGCGGGAAGGATGCCAAGGGTGCTCTCAGAGGCGGGGTAGATGCACGCTTCGCATCAGGCAGACCCGGCTTCCCGTGCCAGCTCAGTACCTTACTGGCTCAGTGACCTTAGGCAAATCACTTTCTCCTCTGAGCCTCAGTTTTCCCCTTTGAAAAATGGGGATGATAGTAATGCAACCATGAAAGTACTAACAGCAGCTGACGTTTGCCAAGCACTTACCCCATTCCACGCATCATGTGAAAGATACCTCATTCCATCCTCACAGCAATGAGGCAGATACTCTTACAATCCCTGCTTTACAAGGGGGGAAACTGAGGCTCAGAGTGAAAGACCTCTTCCCAAGACAAACGACCAAGAAGTGGCAGAGCTGGGACCCAAACCCAGGCCCCTCTGCCTCCAGATCCCACATTTGTAACTTCCCTGCAGACCGGAGCTCATCCTCAGAGCCTCAGCATCTAGCAGGGTGCCAGCAGCATGTTGAAGGGATTTGCCAGACACCGATGGAGTAAATGAAATGTAAATAGGGAACGCCTGGGCAGTGAGGGTTGTTAGCTTTGTTATTTCATCAACCTGTATCTTGTTTGATCTGCAGGAGGGCAGGAATTTTATTATGCATAATCAAAGAAACCTGAACAAACATTTAGCAATTTCCCCCACTTGTGACCTTGTTAGAACTACAAACCTCTTCTTATTCTGAAAATCGGTAGCTGAGGGAGCTGTAGGGTGGCATATTACTTGAGACTTCTTTTCCTGCAAATGACAGAAATCCATCTCAACTAGACTTTAGCAGAAAAGGAATTTATTGGCTTATAACTGACACGACCAGAGGGGACAGCTTCAGGCATAGCTGGATCCAGGGGCCAAAGATCTAGTGTGAAATCTACATCTTCTCTGTAATCTCTGACCATGTGCAGGGAAGATAACTCTGGTGGCCTACCTCTGAAGCCAACCAGTTTTGGCAGCTTCCAAGGAAAGAGGCAGAGTAAACCCTGGGAGGGATCTCATTGGCCCAGCTGGGGTCACAAGCCTGATCAGTCCCCATGGCCGGAGCCTTCTGTGGCCAGGCCTGGGACATGTGCTCACCACCAGCTCCATCCTAGCCCCGTGGGACGTCCTGCAGGAAGGAGAGGTTCTTTTATCAGTGGAGAGGGACAGTGTGCTGGGTAGTCAGAGCCATTTGCGTTCCCAAACCAGCAGCTGTCACGTGGACAGGGCGGGCACAGGACCTCGACCTCAGGTAGGCCAAGCAGGAACAGAGACCTCTCTCCCTCAGGAGCTCATCGATATGAACCAGCACCATCTGAATGCCCTTGGTGTGGGCCATGCCTCGCTGGACCGGCTGTGCCAGGTGACCATGGCCCACGGACTGCACAGCAAGCTCACTGGCGCGGGCGGCGGGGGCTGTGGCATCACGCTTCTCAGGCCAGGTACCCAGGGGATGGGCAGGGTTCCACCTGGGCAGTTCCCTTGGGAGAAAGAAGAGGCCTCTGAACAGTCTCAGCTCTGCTATATGGCCTTGGTCAAGTGAATTAACCTCTCTGGGCCTTTGTTGCCACATTGGTAAAATAAGGATGCTAACAATCTAGTTTATGTAAGATTGTTGCCTAGATTCAAGGAGGAAAAATGCATTTAGAGAGGCTGGTGCTGGGCTTGTTCCCACCACCTCCTTACCTGCCAAGCCTCCCACAAGCTTGAGAAGGAACCAGGACATTGTCACCACCAACCCTACCAGCCTTGCATCCCCTGCTGTCACCTCTTGATGGGGCCATGATGTGGACTGACCTTGCTACAAAAGAAAGGGGTCTCTTTCCTCTTAGTCTCTGGGGAAAGAGCAGGGCCGAGGATGAGGAACGGGCCTATAGCAGCCCCTGTGCTGGGGTGGGAGTCACTGCTCCTTTTGGTTTCCTTTCTCTCCGTCTCCCCTTCTTGGCCTTCTCCTCCTTCCTTTTCTTGTCCTGCTTTTCCCCTTTGCTCTGCTATAAGCCCTCAGTGGCCCACAGAGGCCCCCTCCGCCTCAGTGGGACTCCCAGGCCTCAGGGAGTCACCGTGTCCTAACTTCAGGAGACCTTGACTGTGGGGACCTAGTTCAGGCGGCGATGACGATGGCGAGAGAACATTCTTGAGCGTGTGTGGTGTACCAGGCGCTGTGCCAGGCTCTCCACCTGCAGTAGCCCATGCCAGCCTCACCGTGACCCTTGAGGGGTAGGTCTCATTATTATCCCCTTTCCCAGATGAGGAGACTGAGGCTCAGAGAGGGGAAGTCATTTGTCTGAGGCCCCACGGCTGAGCCAAGGCCAGGTCCGTGTGACTCGGGATCCACAACCCTCCCGGGGAGGGCGCCAGGCTCGGCATACCAACAGGAAGACCGGCCCCTGGGCCTGTGCCGTGAGTGGAGACAAACATTCTCCAAGGGAGTGGACGGTTGTCAGGGGTGACCTGCTGCCCTTCCTCCCCACAGATCTGGAGCGGCCGGAGGTGGAGGCCATGAAGCAGGCGCTGACCAGCTGTGGGTTTGACTGCTGGGAAACCAGCATCGGTGCCCCTGGTGTCTCCGTCCACACGGCCGCCTCCCTGGACGCCCCTGTCCGGCAAGCCCTGGATGGCCTCTGAGATGAAACCACCCCACCACGAAGCCCCTTCCCGATTATCCTGGGCACTGGAGTTGTCCTCTGTGCCGGCCAGTGGGCACCCAGCTCCTGACGCTGACCGGGAGGCCCCCAGCCCCTCTGTGCCGTGAAGGCTGCAGAAATGACCTTAGGTGTCATCTAGTTCAGTGTCCCCTCCCACTGGCCATGCCCCCCAGTCCCCGGAGTGAGTCAGGCGGCCCAGAAGCCATGTCTGTGTTGTACAACGTTCTCTGGAGCCAGCGGACAGTGGGGCCATGTGGAGTCCTCTGAGACTCAAGGGCCTTTTTCCTGTCCTCCCTGAAGCACCCACAGACCCACAAATTCCCTGGCAGAGCTGCTTGGATCCGAGATGCAGGGGTCTGGTTCCCAGAGCAGCGGGCCTTCTCCCTCCTTCCACCTCTGCTCACCTCCCCCAGGAAGCCTTCCCAGGCTGTTCTCTCCAGCTAGACTGTGGGTTCCCTCAGGCGGTGTCCGGGTGGTGGTCTTTGCCTTCTACCCTGCAGCCCGAGGGTTGGCCAAAGGCAGGGTTGATGTGCAGCTTCTTCCAGTCTGAACCCAAGGGGTTTGCAGAAAAGATGGCAAAGGGGGAATAAAAAGATCTTGAGTAAACAGTGCTTCACTCGTGTCGGGAAAGAAGAGGGAGGGCCTGGTAGTCTCCAGCTGCCCACACCTTCCTCTCCTGTCCTGTCCCTTCTCCAGCCACTTTCTCAGTGGAAAGAAAGGCTTTGGGTCACTTGGTTGTGTGTCTCGGGGGATGGGGCGGGGTTTGCCCAGATGGCCCTGGCCAGACAGGGATGGATGCCCGGACATCAAGCTCTCATCCCCTCAGCAGAGCTCCAGCCCACTTTTCCAAAAAGGGGAATTTTAAGCTTCCTTCCTTCTCAAATCGTGAGTACCCACTAATCCGCAGACTTTTTTAAGAAATGGAAACAAACCTGCTGTAGGTCATGGAATATTCCTTTCTTTCTAAAATTGACTGGGGGTGGGAAAGAGACGAGCACTGGTAGCCAGTGCCTGGCACCTGCTGGCCCTATTTGAATTTTATATTGCAAGTCAAGGCTCTATGAAATGGCAGAATCCATACAAAAGCTCTGGTAGCTAGCACGTTGCCACCGGAAGCTCTGGAAGCCCTGGGTCTGCGAGAGGCCGGACGAGAAGTTTGGGGGGGCTGGGGCAGGGAGTGCAGGATTTGGTTAAAATGGCTCTGTGCTTCTGCCCTTGACCACTAGGGGGCAGCTGGCTTCTTTCCCAGCATCTTCACAGGGAGGGCGAGTAGGAGCCAGCCTTAGAGCACAGTCTCTCTGCCCCCCACACCAGGGTTCTCTCTCCAGGTTCCGCCTGGGGTCACTGCCAGGAATCTGAGGGCAATAGGAAGAACATCTGCCCCAGCTTAACATGTGAAAATGACCCTAGCATCACTGATGGGGGGTTGCCTGCCTCTGCCCTTCAAAACAAATAATGCATAAAATGATAATACTGAGGGCTTACCATGTGTGGGGCACCGTTCTAAGCACTGTCCCTCAGTCATCGCTTTTCATCTACCCCAATCTTGGAGAATAATTGCCAGTCTCAGTCCCATTTTACAGATCGGGAAACAAGCTCAGAGAGGTTGAGTAACTCATCCAAGGCCACACAGCGAATCAGCATCCAAGGCAGGATTCCAACTCAAATGGTCTGACTCCAGCCCCTGCCCTCAGCCCCTATGTGCTTCTGCCTGGACACAGGTTTGTTGTGATTCTTGCTGTTTTCCACGCTCGGGCTCCTGATTTCCTCCGGACTCTGATGTACGTGGTCAGAGTGGGGCTTGGGCCTGGGTGTTTTTTGAAAGTTCCCCATATGGTTTGAATGAGCACTCAGGGTTGCAAGACGCTTTCTCAGGGATGAGGCTGGTTGGCAGCATTTCTACACTGCAGGAGGCGGGCCTGAGAGGAGGGTGTCCAGAGGCTGAGGCCCCAGAACCTACCTGCTCCTTGAGACGCTCCCTCTTCCTCGCTCCCTGGGGACCAGGTGTCACTCCTGGAGCAGGAGCCAACCCGTTACTCTTGCCCCACTGAAGCAGCCACCTGGCGTGCCTTGGCCTGCAGGCTCTCACCTCAGCCACTGTCACCGGCCACCATATGGGCCTAGTAGGCCCCACTCCTGGCCACCTGTCTTTGATATAACATTTGTACACGATTTGCATTTGTAGCCTCGCCCTTCTCGTTGCCTAGCGTGGTGGTTCTCACTCCCAGCTGCGCCTGGAAACCACCCCTGAATGCCTCACCCCACCCCCAGCTGTTCTGATTTAACAGATCACGGCGGGACTCAATCATGGGTAGTTTGTCCAAGCTCCTAGGTGACTCGAATGTGCGGCCAGGCTGAGGACACTGAACTAGATGACACCTAAGGTCATTTCTGCAGCCTTCACGGCACTGAGAGCTCGCCTGGGCCCCCAATCAGCTCTGCCAGCCACTAGCCACGTGACCTCGGGCAAGCCAGTCCACTCTCGGGGCCGTGGGCTCCTCATCGGGAAGATAGAAGTAATAGTAATGCTCACCTTATAGAGTTTCATGAAGATTGAATGAGAAAATGCACGTAACACCCTTGGCACGGTGCCTGGCACAGTGTAAGCGCTCAGTAAACGCTCATTTTAACGGTCCTGAGCTGAGAGACAGTGTCTCTCAAAGCCCAGAAATGGTGCACAGAGCTGGTTAGACGCATACAGCCCCGTCTGTTCAAAGCCCCTAGGTGGAGAGCCCCGGGGTCGCAGTTCGAGAAACACAGCGAATGCCAACTGGCTTTCCAGCCTCCTGGCTTCCTCCCCAAAGAGGCGGTGACGTAGCCCCAAGCCCTCTCCGGCTGGAGGACAGCAGTTTCTCAAGTCAGCATTTGGAGAGGCTCCCAGCCTCTGCAGCCAGTTTAACACTCACCCCCCGCCCCCCACCAGCCAGAAGTCGCAGGACATTTGCCCGCTCTGGCAGAGGTCTCGCTTTGGGAGACAGGCAGCAGACGTTGTGATCCACAGCAGACAGAGGAGCCGCTACAGTCACACCCATGTTCTTTCTGTCGGTGGGGATCTTTTTCTCCCTGAGACCGGCTCCCATGGACTGCTGGCAGCCTGTTGAGTCAGGCGCTGGCTGCAGGTCAGCAGGTTGGTAGGGCCCGCCCTGCCATACCAGTGTGCTTGGGCCCATCCCTTTGCCTCTCGAGGTCCCCATTTTCATTCTTATTCTCCTGCGAAAGCTTTTTGTTAAAAAAAATAAAACTAGCAGACGCCCCCTTCCCCCGCCCTTCCTGCCTTCCAGCTCATTTTGGACCGGCTCCTTGGCTGTGTCTTAGCACTTCCTGTGTGCCAGTCTCAATCATCAGCTTACGTGAGGAAGGCGAGGCCCAGAGAGGTTAAGCAACGTGCCTACAGTATGCTTTCATCTCCAGTGCCCAGGCCATAGTCACATTTCCTCCCAGTTGTTCCCCAAATGTCCAAAATCCTGTCCAGGACCACACATCTGGCTGTTATATCCAGATGTGCCTCAGTTTCGTCACATGAAAAATGCCAGGCAGTGTGCTAAACCCCGAAGGCATTGTCACATTTAATTCCCACAGCGACTCTGCGGTGTCTGTAGGACAGGACCACGGTGCCTTTTCTGAAACCCTGGGACCAGATGTGATTTGGAATTCAGAATTTTGCAGCTTTAGGGATAGACATCCTATGTTCCAGCCTTTGTGGCATCTGGGGCAGCGCCACTCCAGACTGCAGCGATGGGTGTGAAGGGTAAAGGTCACACATAGTGTGTCAGCCCGTGTTGCATCTGCCGACAAGTGAGTTTTGGTGCCAAGCTTCTGGGTTTCAAAGTGTCTTGGACCGTGGGCCTGAATGGCCTTCCCATTTTGCAGAGGAGCAGACAGATGCTCCCTGAGAGAGTTCAGTGACTCACCCAAGGCCACAGATCTAAGCGGGTGAAGCCCAGGCTTGAACCCCATCTGTCAGACTGGACACGACATCCCTCACTGCAGGGTCTGACCAGGGCCCATCTTTGGCCACCGGGGTGAGAGGGCTGGGGTGTCAGTACAGACTGAGGGTGAGGGGCTTTGGGCTCCAGCTGGTAAGTCAAACTGGAGTCCTCTACTGTATTTGTTTCTTTCCCACGGTAAAGCTTGTAATGTGACAAATGCGACCGCAGGAAATGGCCCAGTCCACCTGCTGGGCCCTCTTGAGGGGTCTGCTTCTTCCTGAAGACTGGGGGCAGAAGTGAGGGGCCATAGCCTGAGGGGGAGGGAAGGGGCCTCCCTCTCCTGCTGGGCCGCCCCTCCTCCCTCCAAGGCAGCGGGAAGGGGTGGGGAGGCCGAACGCATCCATTCTCACCACTCTCATGGGCTAACGGGGGAGGCCACCTAACTGCACACGTAGGGGAAGAGATGGGGGAGTTGGGCCTCTTTCACAGGCTGCTCTGCCAAAACCCCCCACCCCCGCACAGAAGGTGAGCTGGGTCTGCTCTCACACACTGTTTTAAATCTGATAAGGAAAACGTCCATTTCAATACATTTACATAATGTATTGGCTGAGGCTGAGGTGTCCCCCATGAATGCTGATGGGGGCACACCGAGGCTTTCCTGGGATGCACCTGGCCTCCCCCCGGGCATCCTCCCTGCCCAGAGAGAAAGGGGTTGCCCTCCTCCCCACGACTGCCAAGGGCTGTAGGCAGATCCTGGCCCCTGAGCTCATGGACAGTATTCATTCAGCAGATATTAAATCGGCACCTATGCATGCCAGGGACTGGGCTGGGCCCTGGGGAAGCTAGGTGACTGATGGAGCTGCTCCTACCCTTGTAGGCCTGACGGCCTGTGGCTCTGGATGCTGTCATGATCATTCTCTCCACCTGTACCCACAGCAAGCCTGTGAGGAAAGTGTGGTGAGCCCCATTTTACAGATGAAGAAACTGAGGCCCAGAGGGAGTCCCTGCTCCAAGCCACAAAGTCAACAGGTGCAGGAGCTAAGCCCTGAGATGGGTCTCTAGACGCCAGTACAGTGCTCTTCCTAAGATGCTCTGGCTGTGAAGAGGAAACCAAAAGGCAGCTTGCTGTGTGACCTTAGGCAAGTCTCTTGCCCTCTCTGGACCTTGGTTGCCCCATCCATAGAAACCACAGGGCCCATTCACCGTGCCAGGAGCTTGCACTTGTGCCCTCGTTTCATCTTCCCAGTGATTCCTATTTTGTGGTCTCTGAGGTCAGACAGGTCTGGCCTTGTTCTGTGGCCTGATCACCTCCAGCTGTGGGGCTTGGGGTGGCCACATCACCTCCCTGAGCATCAGGTTCCTCGTCTGTAAAGTGGGAATACTAGGTAACAATGCACATCAAACACTTAGCCTGGAGCCTGGTATGTGGAGTGAGTGTCCAATAAGCAGGAGCTCTTGTTATTATCAGAGATGGGGAAGCTGAGGCTCAGAGAGGTGACGGGACAGCTTGGAGGTGGCTGAGCGGACGGCAAAGCCCGGGGCTTCCTCCGTTTTCCTTGCCGGTCGAGGCTGGGTTTTGCCGATGCGACGTCCTGCCCTAGGAGAGAGAAGATTGGATGCTAGTACCTCCCCTGACACCCTTAGGGAGCTTCGACCAGAGCCTGCTTCTAGGAGGGGTGATGTGATAGCACACAGATGCAGGAGTCTTCGTGGCTTTGATGGGGAGCGGGGAGGGGAGGTATGGTGGGACCAGAGTCACGACCCCCATCTCCCCACCAGCCTCATGTGGTTGAGGAGAGCACTACCCACGAATTGGGAGATTTCTAAAATGCTGTGTGACTTACACTTGAGGCCTTCCCTCTCTGGGCCTTGGTTGATTGTTCCTAAGGATATTATTTTCAGCTCCATGAAAAGTACCCTGGGGTGTTCCACCTGCCCCTTAGCCCTGCTCTGAGGAACCCTACCCACCCAGGAGTCTCACATTCACAAGCCTCCAGGGGCCAGCCAGGCGACACAGAAAAGCCAGGCCTGGGGGAGGGTGCAGCACCTCCACCCCCAGCTCCGGACAGGTGTTTCCTTGCGGGGTGGTAGGTCCTCTATCGCCCAACATTTCTATTCAGTTTTTAAGGAGAATTCAGACATCTGGGTTTTGGGGGTAAAATAACCTGGTTTTTAAATGCTGTCAACCAGTTTTTAAAAACCCCGAATGGTCAAATTAAGCTCTTCTGCAGATGGAAAACCGCCAGGGCTTGAGACCTCTTTCAGAGCCCATCTCCCTGGGGCTCTGGAGAGTGAGCCGGGGAGCAGGGGCACCACCTGTGGGAGGGCACCCCGCCCCCAGCGGAATCTGATTACCCCCGGCGCCCCAGCCAATGGCAGGCGGCGGGAGGCAGGGGCGGGCCGGGGCGCCAGAGGTTGGGTTGAGAGCGCTTCCCCGTCAGGCACAGATGGTATTTTTTTTTTATCAGCGTCAGCATTGGCTTCTTTCTGCTCTGATGAATAGATTCTAAAGAGGCAGTGACATTATTCGAGATAACAGAGGGAACAGAGAAAGGGTCAGCGACGGAGAGAAAATGGCAGAGCCAGCAGATAAAGGGGAGGCCGGAGGGGGCGGAGTGCCGCGGCTGGGGCGCCCCCCGCCCCGCATTACTGCGATGCCCACCCCCGCCAAGCCTGGCTTCCTGCAGCGGGGGCTGCGGTACCTGCCCGGCCCAGGGCAGGGGAGGCCCAGGCAGCTGCGCGCGCGCGCCTGCTCCCTCCCGGCGTCCCGGCCGCCCATTCCGCCTTTTCAATTCGATTCAATTAGGCCTCCCCGCTCGGAAGCTTGTCTCCTCTGATATCCAGTTTAACTGACAGGGGATTAGAGATGTTTGTATTACACACACACTCTCTCGGGCTGCTAAACCACAGGCAGGGCCCGGGGACCGGGTTATTTATGGAACGTGCAGCACTGTTTCTCTCGACCTGCTTCCTTCTGGGGGGAGCTAGGGGGCCTGTTGTCTGCTACAGCCCCACGCCTCCCTCACCCCCACTCCAGGCCTGGGCAGTAGAGCAAAAGAGCTCAGGGAGAACTGAATCTCAATCCCAGCTCTGCCACTTGCTGGCTGTATGGCTGCGGGCAAGCCTCAGTTTCTTCATCTGGCAGGAACAGGTGTAGGGCATTTAACACGGTGCCTGTGCATTCACTTGGCATATCACTCAACAAATATGATTGAGGGACAGCCCTGTGCCAGGCGCTGGTCTGCGTCACTGAGGAAGTAAGGCCCCCTGTGCCTGCCTTCAGGAAGCTTACATTCCAGTGCAAGAGCTGGAAAATAAACATGGACTCCCTCCCGGTGCTACATGGGGAGGACCAGGCAGGTGAGAGTGAGGATGGCGGTGATGGTGATGGAAGCGAGTACCACTGCACACCCCCACCCCACCCCACCCCACCCCACCTGTCTCTGTTTTATTTCCAAAGTGCCGTCATTTGCTCTTACATCACCTGTCTCCCCAGTCAATTGGCAGGCGCCAAGGCTGTCTTCTCACTGCTGCCCCCTCCCCAGGTTAGCACAGTGCCTGGCGCATGGTAAGAGTGAAGAGTGAATGAGTGAATGAATGAATGGATGGATGGATGGATGAGAAGGTAGGGAGACAGAAAGTGGCCACTCTTGCCTGCGACGTGGCTACCCTGCTCAGCTCAGGAAACCTGGCCATCCCCAAGCCCACCTCTCCAGACCACCTCTCTAAAGGGGTTTTGCTGGGTTTAGGAATGGGTGGGGGTCAGGGTCTTGGTCAGAGGGCAGGGGGCTCTTCCCTTCTTATCCTATTTTCACTCAGAGGGAAAGAAGGGCCTCCACAGACCCTCCCTCTCCCAGCAACCAGGGGCTGGGGAACAAATAGTATTTCTAAAGTCTGGGGGTGGGGAGGAGGAGGAAGTGTCCTCATTGTTGGGGGAGGAGTGATGCAGCCAGCACCCATCTGCACCCTTTCCTCACTTCACTTCCCAGACCTTGAGGGGGCCCTGGCCCTAGGGGAGTGCAGGTCTGGACGCTCATAATATTCGGTGCAAGAGAATAACAGCCACCAGTAAATGCACACATTCCCCGTGTCAGTCTTGACACGCAGGACCGAATTATTTCCCACAACGGTTCTCAGTGGTGGGAGTTGTCTCCATTCTCCAGAAGAGGAAACTGAGGCTCAGAGTGGTGGGAGGGCAAGCCCAACATCACCCAGCCAGGAAGGAGTGGCACTGGGATGGAACCCAGGACTCTGAGGTTCAATACCTGCTCATTCATCTAATGTCTGCTGTGTGCCAGGCACCTTCATGTCTCCAGACATCCTGAGAAGTGGGTATTCTGTCCCTCATTTTGCAGAAGGGAAAACCGAAGCTCAGCAGAGAGGTGAAAGGGCTGGCCCTCAGTCTCACAGCCTGTTAGAGGCAGGCAGAGCCAAGTGGAAGCACAGGTCTGCCTGACTCCAAATCCACTCTGCAGTCTCTACCCTGCAGTTTGCTCCTCAGCTCAAGTGTCCAGGTTGTTTCAGATTTGTATTAGGCCCTGGGTAGTGAAGGGTCAGATCAATCAACCAGCAGTTGTTGGGTCCCTCAAAAGCCCCTGAAGTATGACACTGTCCCTACAGGTAAGGAAGATGTCATCCAGTTGGGAGGGTGGCATATTAATATGTAAAGAGTTATAAGAACTAAATGACAAACAGAAACTTTGGGCACTCTCACAAGGGCATGTGTATGATCCACAATTCTGAGGAATTGGTCAGGGAATGTGGCCTTGAAAGATTTTTTAGAGACAGAAGTCCACATGATACGCATTACAATTACAATGAATTGATCATCATTATAATGACAAAAACCGTTAATAATCACTATAATTAGGCCCCGTTGCTGTTCCCATTTCACAGATGAGGATGCTGAAGCTCAGAAAGAGAAAGCGACATCCCCAAGGCCGGCCAGCTGGTAAGTGAGACTCAAGCCCAAGTCCTCTGACCCCAAAGCCAGTTTCTCTCCCCCTACCCTGGGCAATCTGAGTGTCACAAGCAGGAAAGTAACTGGCCCAGGTGTAGGTGGCTGAGCTAACATTTGTTCCCAGAGCCAGCTTCTTGGCCAAGGCCTGAGTTTGGCTGGGGCCAAGGGATCAAGTAGACATACTACCTGACCTCAAACAGTGTGCTGGGTGCTAGGGTCTCAGGGGTGAATGAGACCCGTCCCTGCCCTCCAGGGCTCACAGGCAGAGCCAGCTAAGCAAAATGACAATGAGAGTAAAGAGCGGCAGGTTCCGAGTTACCATGGAGCCCAGGGAGGCGTGGTACGTGTCCCAGCTAGAGTGTGGGAAGGGAATCAGGGAAGGCTACCTGGAGGAGGAGGTGCCTTTGCAGAATTTTGGCTGAGCTGGGAAGTGAGCGAGGGCATTCTAGGCAGCAAAGGCACTGAGGGGAGCAGTGCTGGAGTAGGTGCAGAGAAGGCACACATGGTTCGGTGTTCAGATGGCACCTATTGTATGAAGCAGGGTCTGGGCCAACACGAAGCAGGGGCCCTGGGGAGCCATGGTGGGTGTTAGACACGGGAGGGCAGGTCACAGTTGTGCTTTGGTGAGTCCTCTAGCTGTGGTGTTACAGAGGCAGGGGGATAAGGGGAGGTGAGAGATGGCAGTGGCTGGAAGGGAGTGGCGGCAACGGGAACAGACGGACTGGAGGTGACAGATGGAAGGATTACCCAGGTGCCCAGAGGGGCCTTTCAGTTTTGGAGTCCTACTACACTCCCCCATTCAGGGAGCAGGTCTCCCCTTTTCGGATAGTCTCCTGCCTGGGGTGGGGCCTCTTCACTACTTCTTTAGTTGGCATGCAAGCCCCTCGTATTAGCGTCCAAGGGCTGCTGGAACACAGTACCACACACTGAGAGACTGAAAACAACAGAACTTTCTTGTCTCACAGTTCTGGGGGCCAGATGTCTGAAATCAAGATGTCAGCAGGGCCCCGCTCCCTCTGAGACCCTAGGTGGAATCCTTCCCCGCCTCTTCCCTAGCTTCTGGTGGTGGCCGGCAATCCTTGGCATTCCTGGGCTCACAGCTGCCTCCCTCCCATCTCTGCTTCTGTCGTCACGTGGCCATCTCCTCTCTGTGTCTCTGTCTTCACACGACATTTCCTCTTCTTATAAGGGCACTAGTCACATTGGATTCGGGCCCACCCTCGTGACCCCGTCTTAACTTGATGACACCTGCAAAGATCCCATTTGCAAATAAGGTCATGTTCACAGGTAGCACGGGTTAGGCCCTCACCATCTCTTTTGCGGGGGATGCAACTGAAATCATAACACCCTTCAGAGCAGGGGTTTTCCTGGTTCGTCTCTGCATCTGCGGTCCCTGGCACAGAGCCTGGTGAATGTCAGAGCTCGGAGGGAGTCGTGGGATGAACAAATGAGCGGACTGAGTCCGGGCGGCCAGCCTCTCCTCCGTGGCTGACCCTAGCTCCTCTTGCGACTGCAGCCACCCCAGCCCGAATGGCATCCAGGCCAGGCAGGTCTCGGGGGCGGCCTCTCCCGCGGGTTGTTCCGCAGGTTGTTCTCCAAAAGAAGTGCTGTCGATGTCAGCAGATGCCTATCACTTTCCTTCCCCAGCAGAGTCTCAGCTGTCAGAGGAAGTGAAATAGTCATTGCCTATCCTTGCGTTTGAGATTTTATTGACAGTTTCATTGTCACCCAAAAAACCCTCCTTTTCTCCAGTGGCATTTTCATCAGGAGAGCCTGGGGGCAAGAGGGGAGGCAGGGCTGGTTCCTGAAAACTGGTTTTGGCAGGCAGTGAGCACTGGTTCCTCCCGCCTGGGGTCAGTCGGGGTAGAAGCCGCCTGCCACCAGCCTTGTCTCCAGCCCTGCTCAGCACCCCCCTCCAGGGGACAAGAGGGAATGAGAGGTAGGAGAAGAAGGCACCCCGAGGGGCCCTGGAAATAGCCACGGTGGCCAGATGGGGCAGCCCAGACCCCACAGGGGGTCCTCACACCTTTCTCCAGCCCTCCACGGTGGGCATTCGGTGGCATCAGGGGGCTGGGTGAGAGCACGGGCTGTGCGATCAGGCCCACCGGGGTGCAGTTCTCAGCTCGGTGATGCACCTCAGGGCAAGTCCTTAACCCTGCGGAGCCTCAACGGCCCCATCTGTCCAATGGGGTAATAACTTGTAGCTTCAGTGGCCGAGGCTCCATCTGAGCCAAGCACCCATTATCCTATTCAGTTCTCCCCAGAACCCAGAGAGCTGGTGCTGTCAGGATCCTCACTTTAATGATGTGGAACCGAGGCTCAGAAGGTGGGGCAGCCTGGCCAAGACCTCCATGGCTAGAAAGTGACAGAGGCTGTGTCTGAACCCAGGTTGTGATACGCCAAGTCTGGCTGTGAACCACCTCATGGTGTCAGTGGGAGGGTGCAGGCATGAAAGTATCACGGCGCCTGCGTGTGGGAAAAGCCATCTGCTATTATTATCATTATTGTTTTTGTGGGGTGGAACCGGGCCCCTCGACAGCCACTCTGCCCCGAGGACTCTCTGGATGTCACTGGGAGGTGTTGGCCACACAGCCAGGTGAGCTCAGGGGCTGAAGGCCCTATCAGCGGGTCCTATCCTGCTCCATGCTGCAGCCCCTTCTGCACTCCCCTTCCCTGGCCCCCAGCAGGGCTCCAGGCAGAGCTGTCAGTTACCAAGTGGGCAAGGGCAAGGTCAGCTGACCACAGCATCAGCCTGCTTCACCATGTCCAAGCCACCCAATGGGAAATGAGGGCTGGACAGCTGCCCCTGCTCAGGGCCGCCGAGCGAGGGAGGTGGATACTGTAGTTAAAACAGATCGTGGAGTCCACGAGTTTGAGTTCTGGTGTGGCCACCTGCTGGCCGGCGAAAGTTGCCAAATATCACCGAGTCTAAGTTTCATCTTCTGTATGATGAGATAATAAAAGGTCCCCCTCGTAAGGTCCAGGGGCTAAATAACACTGCACGGAAAACACTTAGCACAGGGTCTGGCACAAAAAGAAGACAGAATTTTAGCACCTAAAAGCTTCTTAAAGGATCTCGGGCTGCCAACCCCTCCACGGTGCACAGGAGGAAACAGAGGCCCAGAGAGGGGAAGAGTTTCCTCTTAGCCAGTCCCCAGAGCGGGGCTCGCACCTTGGCCTCTGGACCCCCAGTCCAGTGCTCCGCCACCTCCCCGCCCAGCTTGTCAGCCGAGTCCCTCCGGCCCTTGCCCATCCTTCTCCCGTGTCTCCGGCCCCCGTGGCTTCGAGAGCCCGAGCCGCAGGCCCCGCAGCGAGGCCTGCCATTCTCCCTCTCTCCGGCACACTGAAGGTTTTGAAAGTTAAAGTATTACCGTCGGCTTTGTTGTTGCCTAACTACGACAGACAAATTGAAAACCAGTTGTCAAAATGTCAGTGCACAACAAATCAACATGCAGGACGAGTGGCGGCCCTCTGCGGTGTATAATTAAACAAAAAATCCCTTTTAGAAATTTCAGCGAGCGTTGGTTCCACTTTATATTTGTCTGTGTGATTAATAAAGGCAGCTAATTTTCAGACTTTAAAAACAGCTAGAAAATAGCTCCTAATTACATATTAGGTTCCTAGCGGCCCCCGCTGAGCTGCACCGGCATTGGTGGGCCAAAGAATTTGGCAGAAGCTTAATTGCATTCTGAGCATCATCTAATTTTAGTTAAATGTAACGTAATCAGCAGCAGGCGTCTGAAATAAAATATGAATTATGAATATGATGGAATCTCATTCTTGAATAAAAAAGTAATTTGCTATTTAGTTCATTAAAGTCTTAGAATTTTATTAGGAGCAGGTATATACAGCCTGGCGAGGTGATATATTCAATGACATCTGGGGGAACGAGAGAAACCCCGAAGGGATGGGAAACTTTATCCAGAGTGTCCAGTTATGATTAATTACTGTGGGGCCTGAGGAAGCCCCTGGGGACCCCGATGAATCTCTCAGGCTCCTTGAGGTGGAGCCTGAATTTTAGGGCAAGGGGCTTGGAGTGGGAAGCCATGGGTGCCTCTGAGGCCTGTGCCACCCCTGGCATCCCACCCCTATCTCCCTCCCACCCACAGCTGGTGTCCCCTGGCTTCTGAGATGAGTATGTGGAGGGCTTGCTCCTGGTGACACTGCTGCATGGCGGGCCCCGCGCTGGGCTTGGTGACACCATGTGGGACGGCCGTGGGCCTCCCAGGCAGGGATTCAGTCTCTGCCTCTCACTGTCTGTGTGACCTCAGTTCAGGGCCTCAGTTTCCTCTTCCATAAAATGGGCATAAAAAAAACGCCTATCAGACACTCAGAACAGTAGCCGGCATGTGGCAAAGCCCTGCTTCATGTTTACTATTGTTGGAGTTGTTATTACTATTCATAGAGGTCATAGTAAATCAGTATTAAAATGCCTTCTTTGGTTTCGTCTCTCGGAGCAGCCCGTGATGCAGATTGTAAACTCTGTCTTGTTTTTCAGCTGAAGCTCAGAGAAGTCAGACGACTTGCCTGTTGCACAGCTAGTAGTTGCCAAAGTCAGGATTTGAACTTGGGAACATCCCTGCTTCCAGTGTTTCCCACGGCATCCCAGGAGAGCTGTCCTGGTGGGAGGCCTGGGCTGAGGATTCTGTAACGGGACTGGGCAGGGTGCAGGAGGGAGCAGGGTTCATCTGCCCCAGATTCAAGGCATAGAGAAGAGGGTAAAGGCGGGAGGCTGGGCAGAGGGTCTAGGCTGGTATCCTGGACTCTGCCAGGAGCTGCTCTGGGCAGGTGGGGGGACAGAGGCCACCTCTCCACCCTCACTTCACACCAACCAATAATTTCCTGCAATTATCTGGAAAAGATTCATTAGCAAAGTGCACCGTATTGAGTGGAGGCTGCCCTGGCAATCGATAAACTTGGGACAGGCTCCCGGGTGCTTGGAGAAAAGGACCAGAACTTGAAAGCGGGGGAGGAAGGCCAGCTCTGGCAGGTCTGAGCCTTGTTTTCCAGCCCTGGGGAGGGCTGGTCGGCTTCCTGGGTGGGGCTCAGCTCTGCGTGACCTCCTGGTGGCTTTGAGCAAGTCCCTTTGCCTCTCCGAGCCTCAGTTTCCCCACCTGTAAGGTGGGGGTCCGGGCTGCCCCTAGTCAGGGATCTTCCTTCTTCTCTTATAAGTTCTGGGAGGTGTAGGGGAAAAGGGGGTACAGGGGGCCAGTAGGGAAGCAGCTGTGGAGGGAGCCCCTCTTCTCGTGGCCTCAGCTTCCCTTTGCTGACTTGGGAGCCTGCTGGGGACTGAGGAAGCAGAAAGGGTTCACCGAGACTGCCTTTTAAGGACAAAATTGAACATCTGGTCTTTCTGAGGAATCATCGGTGTACAGCCCCAGGAGCCCACCACTGTCCCAGGTTCTGGTCAGCCTAAGAGCTGAGCACACGCAGCCTGGCGGGGAAGGTGACAGAGCTAGAGGTCAGGCGAAGGATGGCTCAGGTCCCGACTCCCCCACCTCCCCACTGGGCGCCCCAGCCAGTCTCCAGGCCTCCTGGGGCCCCAGTGCTCCCCTCTGGAAATCACACACCCCATTGAGCAGTTGGGAGTTTCCAATGGGCCAGGGGATGCCGGTGGCCCAGCCTGGTGCTGGCACAGAGCAGCTGTGGGGAGGATGGAAGCTGCTGTCCATGCAGATCCCCACCCTGACCCCACCCGCATCCGGCAGCGTCCAGCCGTACCCAGTGTCCCACTCGGATGGTACAAGTGAAGAGAGTTCCGTGGAGGGATTCTGTACACAGAGGTGCAAGCCAGCCGGGGACGCTGAGGCCCCCGCACTCAGAAGGACACGGCCGCTGCCAGGAATGCCACACCGAGGCAGGCATACCCCAAACTCACCCTCTCCCTCGACCCCCAGCCTCCGATCAGGTGATCCTTCCTGGAAGCCAGAGGGTGGGAAGCCTGTGGAGGTCAGCTTCCCAGGGCACAGAGCCGGGCCAGGAAAGTTGGGAACAGACACGTGGTAAAAGGGAAGAACCCACCACCGCCCCTCTTCCCAGGACTTTGGATAAGTACTGGGGGAGGGCAGGCTTTGGGTGGGAGTGGGGACGAGGGGGTCCTAAGCAGACGTGGTGTCCGCCCCGTGTTGCTGATGCTGAGTCCCATGTGACCTCTGCCCGTGGCTCCTCCCCTCCCCCCCGGGGCCTCATCCCACCCATCAGAGTCTCACTTGGCACCAGTGCTCCCAAAACAGTGCTCCCTGGGGAGTCAGAGAGGATTCCAGACAGGCTGGGTTCTCCAGTTCCCAACTTGCTTGTGCCCTAGGCTTAGGGGCTCCACCTCCCTGAGATTAATTGAGGCCACATCAGCCAAGCACCTCGCACAGTGCCTGACACATAGTAGGTGGTCCACAAAGCATCCCCTTCCCCCCCTCGCCACCCTCTTCCCAATCAGCCCCTGGGGCATCAGCCACTCATCTGATAGTGACTGGGCTCCTGCCACGTGGCAGGCCTGCGCGGGCCCCCGACCCAAGCTGCAGGGAAGCTGGAGTCATTTGTCCTGCAGTGAAAACTGACAGGGCTTCTCCTACGAGCTGGACTCTGGGGACACGGCAGTGAGAGGACAGTGCTGGACTCTGCTCCTGTGAGGTCCACGGGGTCTTATGGAGGCAGACTTGGAGTGGGAGTTTCCAAAGTTTGAGGTGCTGTAGCAGGGGGTGACCCAGAGGGCTGTGGGGTAAGGCCCCTGATGTCAGTCGGCAACACGCTTCCAGGAAAGAGCCCCTTCCTCTGTCCTGTCCTTAGATGCAGGGGGTGCTCGTGTGCAGAGCCCTCCTAGGTGGGTCCAAACAGCCCTAAGTCCTGTGCCTGGAGGGGACCAGGAAGGCTGGACGGCTCCGGTGTCCCACCTCCACTCACCTCCCGGGTCCCCCCTCACCACCTCACCTCCCGCTAGGCCCTGAGGCCACCTGCCTGGCTGCCACCCCCTGGCCACTCCCCAGCCCAGGTCAGCCGCCTGTCCCTGCTCTATTCATCAAGGGCATGACAGCTAAAATTCATTTGAAGATGAAGAAAGTGCCCGCTAATCCGTTCTGGAAGACATTGATAGACTAGCAGCTCAGGGAGAATTGCACAGCAGTAATGAAATTAGGCTAAAACTGCTGGCGGATTGCAGATAATTGCCCTTGTCTGTCACTAGGAATAACATCTCCCAAATCCAACACAAGGATTGTTCAACTTGCAGGAATTTCTTTTCTTTTTTTCTTTTCTTTTCTTTTTTTTTTTTTTTTTTGAGAGCGAAAGCCAGTCAGGGCTTGGAATCTTTGTCTGGGCAACAGCCTCAGGAGGGTTGGGGAGCAGAAATCGCTGTGGTGACTGCCTTCCCTGCCCCTAGAGGCCCCCAGGAGCCCCAGCTGCAGCCAGATAGACGAGGGGGCTGAGCCACGGTCCCGGGACCGTTCTTCCACGGCCCTTTGTGGGTCCCACCCTCAGCCTTGGTTTCTCCTTGATGCCCACCAGCGTGGCCCAGCTGGCAAGGTTCTGGGTAGAAATCAGGGAGGAGGGAAATCTTAGGGAGCTGCACCTACAGCAATGATGGCTCTGGGTTCTGGGGGGACAGAATCTGGTTGGAAGAGGGCCATAGGACCTTGTATGGAAGTTACCTTTGCATTATGTTGAGATAAAATCAATCCTTCATATAAGAGGATGGACTGTGGGAGATGGGGACAGCTAAGGTCTCCTGAAGCCACTCTCTGGTGCTACCATGGGGGTCTAGATTCCTGGAAAGGAAAGTTCTGAGAAGGGACAGTTTATGGACTCACAGATTTCCCCTGGCTGTTGGCGTGACCAGCACACAGCTGGCACTCAATTCACACTGATGTCATAGAGCGTTCAGTGTCAGCCACAATCCCTGTGAATGTCAGCATAATGTCTTTTCACGTGTTAGCATTAGAGACTGTTTGATGTCGATATCACTGGATGATGTCACAGAACATTTGAATGTCAACGCCATGCTACGTTCAAATGTCGATGGTCCAGAAAGCTTGAATCTCCCTCTCACAGGAGGTCAGAGTGTCAGTCAACGTCAATGACCATTAGTACATGAGTATCATTGACTCAGAGAATTTGGGAGCTGTAAGGAGTCTTAGAGATTGATTTAAACTCTTCATTTGACAGATGCAGAAACCGTGGCCCAGAGAGGTTAAGTGATTCGCCAAAGGTCGCACAGCGAGAAGGACCGCCCCCCACTTCCCCCGATGTAAGTTTCATCAAGGTCACAGTTTCTCTGGGTCAGCCGTCAGAAAACGTGTAACTCCTCCCTCTCCTCCAAGCCCCACCTGTCCCAGTCCCCACAGGGTGCTGGTCCCTGGTGCTCAATTCTTGGGGATATGCCCATGTTCTGGGATTCATAGCAGGATCTCCCGGGATCCTCTGGTCTGCTACCCACGGTTAGCCAGTGTCACTAATCAGCCCCAGCCATGGGCCGAGTCACACTTTCCATCTCCTCATTCCTTTGGATCAACGTGGTTCTGTTGAGGACTTATTGTGTCTGATGAGGGTGCTGAGAGTAAGGTGAGGCTGGAAGAGAGATGCTGAGTGGACAGGAGGTTCAAAGGAGGGAGACATGATCCTCGCTGAGGGCTTGTGTTCAGGAAGAGCTTGACTTTGAACAGGATCTCGAAGGAGCCAACAGGTTTCCATTAGTAGCTTCACTTAGGGTTGGGATCGAGGGAGGAGCTGCACGTGGGGATGGAGGACACTTGCCCCCAGAATGCAGAGGCGGCCTGATGATAGGGGCAGGGACGGTGGTATCCGACGATGGACAGCAACTCGTTAAGGACCGTTTGCCCATCAGACTTCATCCTCGTCTTCCAACACCTCTAGCGGCACCAGGGATCATCACCCTGGATCAGTGGTTCTCAAAGTGTGCTCCGCAGACCTCCTGGGACACCTTTCAGGGAGCCTGTGAGATCAAGACCATTTTCATAATAATCCTAAGTCCCTACTTGCCCTTTTTCACTGTGTTGATGGTGTAAAAGTAATGGGTGGATAAAACCTGCTGGCCTCATAGCATGAATCACGGCATTGGCACCAACATGGAATAGAGATGCTTGCAGTTTTTACCCTGAACACTCCCTTGGTTAAAAATTTGACAGCTAGTTTCACTTAAGAATGTTCTTGATGAAAAATAAAAATTTTAATTTTTAAAAATCTCAACTTTTGTGTACACATCTTTTAAATACTCCATGTGACAAAATAGGAAGCACACCCAGAAAGGCCCAGAAAAGTGCCATGTGGCTGTTTGAGTTGCGAGCTGCACTAGCCACTTTTTTCATGGAGCATCATTTTCACTCTAAATAATGACACACAGACAAACTATAGCCTTGCCGTCTCGGCGATTTGGTAGGTATTTTCTCGAAAATGCACAAAGTTGCCTGTCAGCTGACAGTATTTGTTGCCAATGATAAAATTTGACTTTCAAGCAAAAATTTGAATTTTGGAGAACTTGTACCTGCCGCTCTGGGTTTGACAGCTTCCTACGGAAAGGCTTACCAAAGAGCTGGGTGGTAATAGTGAATGTGACTTTTTTTTTTTGGATATTGTATCATGAAATATGTCAACATTTGGAAGAGCTACATAACTCAGTAAACCAGTACGTTCCCAATGACTGATGCAGAGTGTTACAAAATGAGTAAAAGAGCCATTCAAAGTGCAAAATAGACCAATGGGTTTTAATTTAACAGAATCTGAGAGTTAATGGATGTGGTTTCAGGTGCCATAGTGCAGCTAGCCTTTAGCGAACTGCCACAGAAGAACTTTTGGTTTAATATCAAAGTAGAATATCCATTATCATCTGAGAAGGCTATTAGAATATTCTTCCCTTTTCTAGCACACATCTGTGCCAGGTCAGATATTCTTCCTATGCTTCAACCGAAACAAAACATAGCAACAGATTGAAATGCAGAGGCAAATGTGGGAATCCAGCTGTCTCGGTAGGCCATATGTTAAAGAGATTTGTAAAACTGTGAAACAATGAATGAACCGCTCCATTTTACAGATGCAGAAACTGAGGCTCAGAAGGCGACAGAGGTAAATCTTGGACCAAATCCCTTTCCCCATCTGGGCCTCCATCTCATCTGGTTGCCGACCTCCAAGAATCCCCTGGCCAAGCGTCTTCTCACGGCTCCTGCCCAGGCATCCGGGAGGCGGAGTGGCGCAAAGCCAGGCCTCACCTCCCTGGCCCCTGCCAGCCCGCTTCTTACCCTGCTGCCCAGGGTGGGCGGGGTCCAGGCCAGGGCAGCTGGCAGCTGGCCCCACGTCCCTCCGGCTGGTGAGGAGGTGACCAGGGCCATTTGCGGTAATGGATTGCGGGCGGGTGGTGGCTGGGTGAAGGAGTACATTGGCCGCGGCCCTTAATGCCTCACAAGCCAGCTCTGGCATGGGTAATTTACTGCTGCCGACAATAACATATTTCACTTCCCGTCGCCCCGATGAAGATTAGTTGTGTTTGAAAGTGGCTGAGTACACAGTCAATTCCGCTTAAACGTTTACAGTCAACTGAGCACAGATAATGCCCCCTCCAACATGTGTCTGTGCCTCCTGTGGCTAGAGGAGGGGCCCGGAGTGGGGGCAGGGGGTCGCAGCCCAGGGAAGGGGCTGCAGCTGCACGGAGGAAGGGATTCGGGAGCTGGGGGCTGGGCAGAGGTCTACGGCTTCCTTCGGCCCCACTTTTCAGATTGTCTTTTAAAATCATCCGTGCAACAAATGCTTCCCTGGGACTGGCCAAGGACATCTGTGTAGATGGGTATGGGGAGGATTCAAAGCCATGATTACATTTCATCCCGTCAACATCCCTGGGAGGCAGGTCTTATCTCCAGTTTCCAAAAGAACGGAAACTAAGGCTCAGAGAGGCTCATTAGCTTTCTGGATGTCTCACAACTGGTACCAGATGGGGCCATGATTTGAACCCAAGCCTGATGGAGTTTCTGAGTCTTGAGCTGTTCCTAGTGACGTGGATTCTACCAGCTTAAGCCCTGGGCTGGGCAGGGTTGTCTGCCCAGGGCTCCTGGGTAAACTGTAGACTTGCATCCTCTATGCACCCATGTTTGGGTTGACTACCAGGCTCCAAGGCTCAGACTTAGAATCCCTGGGTCATATGGAGGGTCCCGTGGGTGCCATGAGTCTGATGGGATTGGAGGCTGGACAGAGTCCCAGGCACAGAACTTCACTTGTTGGGGAGGGAAGTTTCCCCTGATAAGCAGGCTTCTTGCCGTCTTTGGGAGCAGAGTGGTTTGAGGATTGGGTGCAGCTCCCGCCAGGCCTGCCGGTGACACTCTCAAGGCTCTGGATCGGGCACAAATGGAGGCCCCAGCACCAGCCCCTGAGCCTTCTCTTCCCATCATGGGCCATGTCCAGAACTGGAGGGGCCTCACTCCCACACAGTGGGACACCAGCTTGCTAGGGTCACACCACCCCCTTCAAACATCCACCCCTTGACCTTGGGCTTGGGCGTGTTCACATCTGTGACAGGTTTGTCCTGGGAGGATGGACCTCGGAAGAGGACTTCCAGGCCTTGGAAGTGGACTCAAGGCTCTTAGAGAAGGGGATTCCAGGATGCCGTCTTCCTGAGTACGGTCAGCAGAGGCACAGGCTCCTGGTGGGCACGTCTCCTGGGCCCGTAGATACTTCATCCTGTGGGAAGGGGCGTGGTCAGCCCTGTAAGACACAGGTGGCGCCCATCCAAGGTGGTGGCGCCCATCCAAGGTGGTGCAGCCGCCCAGCCAGACTTGCTCACAAGGCGGGGGGAGAGGGGGTGAGTGGGTGGCCTGGGCTTCTCCCCTCCTCACCGCTCCCCGCCTTGAGCCAGCCCCGAAATTCCTCCGAGGGGCATCCACGCCCAGGGACGCTGCAGGCACTGCACCCAAGGCCTGCAGGGAAGAACCAGAGGCTTGCCTGTCTGGCCTGAGGCTGGGCCTTCCACAGCCAGAGCCACGCTGTAAGCAGCATCCTTTATTGAGCACCTGCAGTATGCCAGCTCTCCTCCAGGCCCCTCCAGCACTGTTCCACTCAAGCTGCATGGTATCCTGGCTGGTGGCTGTTCCCTCTCCCTTTCTCAGAGGAGAATGAGACTCAGAGCGGGGAGGAGGACACACAGAAGGAGGGATGGAGCCAGGATTCAACCCTGGGGCTGTGCTCCTATGGGGGGGCCTGGCCTCTGTGCTCGGGACACGTGGTGTGAGAGAGAATGTGCTTGTGCGCGTGGGTGGCCACTCATGTCCCTGTGTGACAGATGGGGAGTGTCCCATGCTGAGTGTGATACCGTGTCTGGTAAGTCATGCCCGTGGATGCCATGGGCACTGCGTCTCCCAGGGTGACAGTGTCCCAGTTACGCTATGTTTTTCCATGTCTTTAGGACATGGCCATGTGACCCTAAGTTGTTTGTGTGATATCGGTGTCGGTGTCTATCCGTGCCTGATGACACCATCTGGGTGACTTGTGTCTGTGTGACCCCCATCTATCCGTGTCTCATGACATTGTTGGATGACCTTGTTGTGTACGGGTGGTGCTGTCCCCACTGAGGAGCTGTAACTGGGTAATTTGCAGGGTCGAGGGGCCGTGCTGGACACTGGGTGCTGGCAGAGCTTGGTGGCTGCTGGACCCATCTCTGCAGTCCCGGTCACCCTGTCCACCTACCTGGCCATGCAGGCACCCTGAGGCCTGGGCCCCCGAGTGGAGGAAGTGGCCACAGAGGCTGCGGTCCTCGGCCACACCGACCAGAGTGCCTGCCACTGGGCAGGGCTGACCCCATGTCATCTTGTCATCCCTCCACCCCAGGGGGCACCTCTCACCATCAACTCTCTGTCCTCAGCAGCAGCAGTGGCAGAGCCCTCCGTCCGGGGCTGCACCCCATCCCAGCCACGTCCAAGCCTGGCCCCTCTGCGGGGCCCCCAGGACCCTCCCCCACATCCACTTATCAAGCTCCAACGAGCCAAGCCTATTCCAGGCACTGGGGATTCAATCAATTCCCTGCCCTCACCAAGCACAATGAATAGATGTGCTCAGGCCAGGAGCGCCCCCATTAGACCACCCTTGGATGCTGAGCCCCTGCCTAGCTCCTGCCCCCATGGTGCCCCCAGCACAGCTGAAGCCTCCTGAATTGGAGGATAAGGAATTTGGGATGGGAATTGTGAGCCTGCCTGACGTCCCCTTGCTGTGTGACCTTAGATATATTGCTTAACTTCTCTGGTCTGAGACATGAGATGACCTAAGAAAGGGCTTGACAGTTTGGAAGGGCAGCAGAAACAGCAGACTGCCCTGCATGGCCCAGAGCTCTGCGGTGTTCAGAGGGCTGCTGCCCCCACCACTGATGATGACAGAAATGGCAACTTCTGTCTCTTAGCACAGGGCTGGGGCCAAGCTCCTTGTGTGTTGTAGCTCCTCGGAGACAGGCCCTCTTTTATTTTCACTCTGCAGATGTGGAAACAGGTTCAGAGAGGGCAAATGACTTGCTCAAGGCAACCACAGCAAGAAGCGAACAGGCTTAAACTAAACCTGTATTCAGGACAACTCCCGCGTCCCCTACCATTGTCTCCAGTATGCATGGGGCGTGGCAGAAATGACTATCCCTTTTACAGCTGGGGAAACTGAGGCTTAGAGAGGGGATGTGATGTTTTGGGGTCTCTGGACTCCCAAGCCACTGCTCTCTCCCACCCCTCCCTAATCTCTCTACCCTCCTGAGTGCAAATCACCATGGTGGGGTTGGGGAGGGCTGGGAGGCAAAGAGAGAAAGGCTGTCAGAGACAAAGAACCGCTGTGGCCGCACAATGGTGACAATCCAAGCCAGATGACAGGCACTGGGCTTCAGGAGCAGCTTGGAGCCCACCTGCAGCTTCCTCCAGACAATGAGAAGCCTATGCTCCTGGGGGGTGGGGCACAATAGGCACCCTGTGTTCAGGGGCCTGCCTCTCCCTGCACCACTCTGGGGACGAGAGATGGCCCAGGCAGCCACTGCCTGGCCTAGGAACAAGGGGCGAGGGGCTGGTGAGCTCACACATGGTGGTGGTGGGAGGGGGAAGGGGCAACCCACCCACATGGCGGGATTTGGAAGGTCTCTCTTTCCCGACCCAAACACCCCACCATAAGTGGCCTCTTACCTTGCCTGAAAATGTAGAAGTAGCTCTCCAATTCCCTCTGGGCAAGCAACTTAAATTTATCTCCGAACTTCTGGTTCTCCATCTGTAAGATGAAGATGATAGATTTTGCTTGGCAGAGGTGCTGTTGGGATTAGATGAGGGAGACACATTGAATGACATGTAGTAATGGCTTGAGATGTGTTAGTTCCTTTTCATGATGAGTGAAAGGATGGCTGGGTGGGTGGGTGGGGTGATGCGTGGATGCATGTATGGATGGAGGGGAGATTAGATGAGTGGAAGGACTGGTGGATGGAAGGATGGGTGGGTGGATGGATGGATGGATGAACGGCTGAAGGAGACAACAGACGAGTGGAAATATGGGTGGATGGATGTATGGATGGAGGGGAGATTAGATGAGTGGAAGGATGGGTGGGTGGATGGATGGATGGATGGACGGCTGAAGGAGACAACAGATGAGTGGAAGTATGGATGGGTGGATGGATGAATATCACATTAGGGTCTAGGTAGCAGGTGGATGGAGGAATGGCAGATGGAAGGAGGGATGATGGCTGGGAAAGTCTGAGAAGTCTTCCAGGAGGAAGTAAGCTGCAGATAAACAGAGAGAAGGGTATTGTGTGTCCCTCAAGGGCAGGCAGTGTGCATCTCCAAGCTTTGAATCCCCATCTTATGGCCTGAACCTCCACGCAGAACAGGTGCTCAGAGATCCCCTCTCCCTGGATCTCAGGTCTGTGCCGATCAAGGTCCTAGTGTGTCCCATCTCTCACCAGGCCCTTCCAGTGGGCGGGACGAGGACTGCAGCCCCTCTCCATCCTTGGCGGAGGTGGAAATGCAGGAGACTTGGAGTCAGGTGGCCCTGGACCCGAGTTCCAGCTCTACCTCCTACTTGCTGTGTGACTTTAGGCCCATCCCTTCCCCTCTCTGAGACTCAGCTTCCTCTGCTCGTACACTAGGCACCCTCATCCTGACCTCACTGGTATTGTGGGTAGCAAGAGAGAGAATGGAGGTAGAAGCTCTCGGCACACAGTAGGTGCTGAGACTTAGGGCAGAGGAGAAGCGGACGGCAATGAGGATTCAGAACCCCTGCCAGGCCTGAGCTGTCCCCTCCTGAATCCTAATAGTCCCCTGTCTCCTGTCCTCTGACCCCTGAAACTAGAAGCAGCCAATGGGACATTTCATAATTTAAAGAGAACAAGCAAGAGACTCTCGAACCACAGCCACCTCTTAATGGAATTACCAAAAAGGGCTTCTTAATTAAAAACAAGAAGCTGGGGACAGGTTCATATCCATGATTCAGGGCCCGGTGCTGCGGCCGCCCATGGTTTCATTTCCCTTTATTTGTGTCTCACTCTCGGCATGATCTATATTGTTAAGATCCTGCGTGAAAAATGGGCCCGGCTTTTCAGGTGGAGCTGTAAATATTTACCCTGCCTAATACGGGTCCCCCTGTCGTGGGAAGCTTGGGGGCTTTCCAATGCAGCTTAAGACATCCCGGCGATGTCTCATTAAAATTTAGTCTTGCCTTTTCCGTCTGCTCTGATTAACGCTCAGGGCATGGGAGAGGCAGCTGCGGCGGGGGTGGGGTGGGGACATAGAAGTTGAGTGGGGAGCGGGTTAGGGGATCCTAGCTGTACGGAGCTGACGCCCTCCCTTTTGGAGTCACAGGCACCCCAGCCCGGAAAAGCGGACAAGGCAGGGGACATGGCTGGGAGCTGATTCTGCCTCTGGGAAGGGGCTGCTCAGGGCCGACCTGTGGGCTGCTCCAACTCTACCCTCCCAGCCCCTTCCTCACAGAGCCAGGGGTCCTTCCTCGTCCCTCCCAGCCCCTTGTCCCTCCCTTTCTTTTTCTGAATACACCATGCTCTCTTGAGCCTCTAGGCCTTCATATCTCCCTTTCACCCTGCCTGGCTACTTTTCCACCCCTGAGCTCCTTCCCATCTCTGCCTACATGCCCGTTCCTTGGGAGATGGTCCGGGTCCCAGGCTGCGTTAGGAGCCCTCCTCTCTGTGCTTGCTGGGATTGTAGCAATGTCACACTGGGCTGTCATTTCTGCCTACTTGTCAGCCCCACTCCATCTGTCTGTCAACTTCCTGGAGTTAGGGAGTGTTTCTTGCTCCCCACCAAGTCCCCAGCTCCAGGACTGAGCCTGGAAGGGGGAATAAAGGTTGAACGGCCGCGTGGGTTCAGGGACGGGCCCAGAGCGTCTCGTATGGCGATTCCCTGTGTCACCCCCTGGGCTGTGCCATGAGGCCCTGCCCAGGTTTGGTGGGGAGTCTGAAGGCCTGGGGGTACCCCAGCTGGGCTCTCCCCTCAGCTCAGGTGCAGGGCCTGAATCGCAGAGACACTGGGCAGGGGTCTACTCGCCGGGGTTTGGGGAACAGCTTCAGTGAGTTCTAATTCACACATTCGAAGGGTATCATTCAATGGTTTGCAGTATCTGCACAGAGTACAGAGATTGCAACCAGCACCACAGTTCTACAGCGTTTCACCATTTCCCCCAGAAGGGAACTCCCTGCTCATTAGCGCGTGCGCACGCGCACACACACACACACACACGCAGCCCTGGCAACCACTAGTCGTTCTGTTGCGTGGACTTGCCTATTCTGGGCATTTCATATAAATGGAATCATACAACACGTGGTCTTTTGCGACTGGCTGCCTTCACTTGGCATCCTGTTTTCAGGGTTCATCCACACTGTAGCATGTATCAGCGTTTCATTCCTTTTTAAGGCTGAATACTATTCCATTGTCTCAATGGGCCACATTTTGTGTATCCCTTCCTCAGCTGCTGGACATCTGAGTCGTTTCTGCCTTTTGTCTTTTATGAATAATGCAGCTTTGCACATTTGTGCACAAGTTCTTGGTGTGGACGCATCTTTTCATTTCTTGGGGGTGGAAACTCAGGAGAAGGAGTTCCCTGGTGGTCCAGCGGTTAGGAGTCGGCACTTTCCCTGCTGTGGCCCCGAGTTCAATCCCTGGTCGGGGAACTGAGATTCTGCAAGCTGCGTGGTGTGGCCAAAAGAAAAAAGAACCTGAGGAGGAGAATATGCTTGGGTTTCGTGATGGCATTTTGGCAGCTCTGAAGCTTTTTGGCAGCCTTCTAGGTGGCAAGAGAGGGACTGTGCTGAGACGTGGTGGGAGGGGTGGGAGCTCCAGCAAGAGGGGAGCACAGCAGTCCCCGTCTACCTGCCGGGAACTCGAGTCGCTCTGTCTCTGAGCCTTGGGCTCACCATCTGCCCAACGGGGACAACCAAGGCGCCTCCCAGAGTTGGTGGGGGCCACGGGAAACGACAAGGCTGCAGGAGGAAGGCTCACAGGAAACGTTCTCCTTTTCTGGGTGTGGGAAGGGCCCTGGAGATGCCGTGCCGACTGTCCAGTACTGCCACCCCTGCCAGCAGGGGATGGGGTGGAAGAGCCAGGCTTGATGGTCCTGACTATATCGCCCTGACAGGGGGGTGTCGTTATGGCCCCCATTTTGCAGATGAGAACACGGAGGCCTCAGGAAGCAAAGTCACTTGCCGGGTCACAGTTGCAGTCCCCACATCTGCCGGATGAAGTCTTTCCCTCAACCCGCTCCCAGCCTGATCCTGCCTCCTCCTGGCTGCCGTGAGAAGCAACAAGAAGCCAGGTTCCTTTTGTGGGTGCGAGTCCCCAAAGGGCTGGGACGATCTGTCTTGTTGCCTGATGTGGTCCCAGTGCCCAGAACAGTCCTTGGCACAAAGCGGGCGCTAGGCAATTTTGCCAGGATGCATGATTTGGAGACTCTGTTTCCCCATCTGTGAAATGGGCATAACATCCAGCCCCTGCGTTTGTGAAAGCACAGGGCACAGAGCCTGAGCTTTTCAGATGGCATTCCCGCCTCTCCCTCCTCCCTCACCTGGGGGCGGGTCCCCTGGGAGGAGAATGGGACGACAGTCGGAGCCCATGGCTGGTCCTGCTCTAGAGCTTGTGGGGGCACCTGGCGCCTCTCCTGCTGCCCTCTCCCTCTTCCCAGGCTGGTCCCCATCAGTCAGCTCCCGCACACTTCTCTGGGGTCCCTACCTCAAGTTCTGCCCATCCTGGGGTGCCGAATGAGTATGTCTTCTGCGCAGAGATGCCCTCGCTCCTTTTCCAGCTAATGGAGCCAATTAGTGATGTTGGAGGCCTCTCCCCTGTGATTCCACTACAGCAGCCAGATTTTTAAAGTCCAGATTATCAGATGCCCAGCCCTGCCCCTTGCCCACCCAGAAGTGGTAGCAGAGGGAGGGGTGTCCCCAAGGTGGAGGTGGTCAGAGGCCTGGCTTTGAGGGGGGCCCTAGCTTCCCTCCCCCCATTTGCAGGTACCGTTCTGCCAGGGAATCGGCCCCTGGCCCCTGTGGGCTGTGGGCTGGTGGGAAGGGGAGTGGGACCAAGGCCTCCCCGCTTCCCAATGGCCGGCCTTTCCCTGAACCAGCTCACAAAGGTGGCACCATTGATTGCAGAGCTGAAATTCCCCTGGGGTTGCAAGACCCAGAGCCTGTGCTTTGTCAACCTCAGCGACAGGTCGGTGCTGCTATTGCATTATTATTATTGTCAACATTCTCCACAGATACACTTGGCAAATTGCTGTCCTGGTGGAAAAAATTGTGGGGTGGGATTGAGGGGCCTGGGTCCTGGCCCCTATCTGCTATGGCCCAAGTGATCTTGGGAAATCCCACCCCTCTGAGCCAGGAGCCACCCTTCGTACAGTGGCAGTGTCTTGCGGTGGCCGAAGCCCAGGCTGAACGCCAGGTTGCCTGCTCTGCTCTGCATAAGCAGGTGAGCTGGGAGAGGTGACTTAAACACTCAAGACCTCCATTTCCTCACCTGTAAAATGGGAGCATAATAGTCCTCACTCAGCTGGGTTGTGGTGAGGATATCTGTTGGGGTTACGTGTGCAACGCCCGACTCAGCAGATTGCTATGCAGTGGACCGAATCAGGGGGTTATAGGATCAAGACCACAGGGAGACACCTGACCCCTTGCCTGTGGCAACCACGCAGGTAGATGTTTGAGGGGGCCTGTCCGCCCGCATCACCCAGGGGCTGCGGTTGGTTGGAGGAGAGCCATCGTTTGTGTCATTTTCCAATCTGCCACAGGGAATCAAAGGCTCTGAGGGGCCTGTTAGCACCCATTCTCTGCGGATCACTCAGACAATTTCCACAGTGCTCCACGACAATGGGCCATAATTAAGGTGTCAGCATATCATTTAGCCCTTTCAGCGCAAAGCCCAGAGACAGGCCGGGCAGTCTTCAGCCCCTTTAATGAGAGATGCTTAGAAGGAGTGGGA